CTCCTCTCCCTCCCCCTCCTCCTCCCCCCCCCCCCTCCTCTCTCTCCCCCACCACCAGGTGAAGCTCAAGTTCTCAACGGTTGCTCTCCTCACGGAGCCACTCCTCCTCCTCCTCCTCATCCTCCTCCTCATCCTCCTCTTCCTCCTCTTCATCGCCTACACCCACTCCGATCTCACCATCGCCAAACCGCCCTTCTTTCCCTATCACTCGCCCTCTCCCCCTTCCCTTCCCTCCCCTGTCCTTCCCTTCCTTCCCTGTCCTGCCCTGCCTCTTTCTGCCCTGCCCTGTCCTGCCCTGTCCTGCCCTACTCTGCCTTGCTCTGCTTCTCTGATTCCCCCCATCAGGTGAAGTACAAGTTCTCAAAGGTGGCTCTCCTCACGGAGCCGCTCCTCCTCATCCTCTTCTTCTTCCTCCTCTTCCTCCTCTTCATCGCATACACCCACTCCGAAATCACCATCTCCAAAACCGCCCCTCTTTCCGTGTGATGTGAACTGCCCTGTCTCCCTTCCTTGCCCCGCCCTGCCCTGCCCTGCCCTGCCCCCCTACCTCCCCTCCCCCCGATCCTCTCTCTCCCCCCCATCAGGTGAAGTACAAGTTCTCAAAGGTGGCTCTCCTGACCGAGCCCCTCCTCCTCATCCTCTTCTTCTTCCTCCTCTTCCTCCTCTTCATCGCCTACACCCACTCTGACCTCACCATCTCCAAAACCGCCCCCGCCTACCTCGCAAAGCTTCACCACGAGGAGTTTCTCGACCTCATCCAACGGCTCTCGCGCCTCGTGGCCGATCGTGCGGCTCAGATCGAGTCTCTGGATGCTGGGCTGCTGAAGCTGGGGAGGAGCGGGGATGTGGCGGGGGCGAAGTCGGGCAGGAGGAATGTCGAGACTGAGTTGAAGGAGAGTGGGAGGGAGATTGCTGCTGTGGTGGGCAAGATCGAGGCTCTTCCCAAGGTTCCTGCTGGTCCCCTTCGCACAGTGAGTGCTCTTTCTTCCTTTCCCACCCACCCAGCCCTCTTTCCCTTGTCGCAAGCTTCCTATGTCGCTACCTATCCGCCAATTCCACCGCTCCTCCCCCACGTGGGGGAGGGAGATCGCGTCTGTGGTGGGCAAGATCGAGGCCCTTCCCAAGGTTCCTGCTGGGCCCCTGCGCACTGGGCCCCTGCGCACTGTCAGTCCACCTTCTCCCCCTTCCCACTCTTCTCCTGCTCGTGGCCGTAAGCTTCCTGTCTACCTATCCGCCCATCTCACCGCTCCTGATTCCCGTGTGGTAGGAGGGAGATTGTTGTTGGGGGGGGATAGACTCTTCCAAAGTGACTTTTGAGTCGACTCAAAAGTCAAAGTCACATCTTTTGAGTCGACTCAAAAGTCAAAAGTCACCTTTTGAGTCGACTCAAAAGTCATAAGTCACCTCTTTTGAGTCGACTCAAAAGTCACCACTCCTGCTTCCCGTGTGGTAGGAGGGAGATAGTTGTTGGGGCGGGGATAGACTCTTCCAAAGGTTATTGCTCCTTATTCCCCCTCTTTCTCCGTTCTTGCAAGCCTTCCCACTTGCACCATGAGTGTTTTAAACTGGCTCTCTCAACAACGTTTTCAAGCTAAGCACACCAGGCTCCTTCCGTTTTTTTCCATGGAGTTTGTTTCGTTGTCCTAAACAACACGAGTTGATGGAAGTAAGGCCTCCGCAGCCCACCTGTCCTCTTTTGACACCCCCTCTTTCTCCATTCTTGCAAGCCTTCCCACTTGCACCATGAGTGTTCCTTCTCTCTTGATTGAAGAAGTGTTTCGAGACGTGTCAAAACACTTTCTCCGTTCTTGCAAGCCTTCCCACTTGCACCATGAGTGTTCCTTCTCTCTTGATTGAAGAAGTGTTTTGAGACGTCTCAAAACACTTTCTCCGTTCTTGCAAGCCTTCCCACTTGCACCATGAGTGTTCCTTCTCTCTTGATTGAAGAAGTGTTTTGAGACGTCTCAAAACACTTTCTCCGTTCTTGCAAGCCTTCCCACTTGCACCATGAGTGTTCCTTCTCTCTTGATTGAAGAAGTGTTTTGAGACGTCTCAAAACACTTTCTCCGTTCTTGCAAGCCTTCCCACTTGCACCATGAGTGTTCCTTCTCTCTTGATTGAAGAAGTGTTTTGAGACGTCTCAAAACACTTTCTCCATTCTTGCAAGCCTTCCCACTTGCACCATGAGTGTTCCTTCTCTCTTGATTGAAGAAGTGTTTTGAGACGTCTCAAAACACTTTCTCCGTTCTTGCAAGCCTTCCCACTTGCACCATGAGTGTTCCTTCTCTCTCCGTGCATGCACCCCTCTTACGACAAGAAGATCCCTAGTAGGTAGATTGAGGCCAATTCACTCGCTTGAGGCCAATTCACTCGCTTGAGGCCAATTCACTCGCTTGAGGCCAATTCACTCGCTTGAGGCCAATTCACTCGCTTGAGGCCAATTCACTCACTCGAGGCCAATTCACTCACTTGAGGCCAATTCACTCTCTCGAGGCCAATTCACTCACTCGAGGCCAATTCACTCACTTGAGGCCAATTCACTCTCTCGAGGCCAATTCACTCACTCGAGGCCAATTCACTCACTTGAGGCCAATTCACTCTCTCGAGGCCAATTCACTCACTCGAGGCCAATTCACTCACTTGAGGCCAATTCACTCTCTCGAGGCCAATTCACTCACTCGAGGCCAATTCACTCACTTGAGGCCAATTCACTCTCTCGAGGCCAATTCACTCTCTCGAGGCCAATTCACTCACTTGAGGCCAATTCACTCTCTCGAGGCCAATTCACTCTCTCGAGGCCAATTCACTCACTTGAGGCCAATTCACTCTCTCGAGGCCAATTCACTCTCTCGAGGCCAATTCACTCTCTCTTCCCCTCTCCTCTTCCCTCTCCTCTTCCCCTCTCCTCTTCCCCTCTCCTCTTCCCCTCTCCTCTCCCCTCCCCTTCTCTTTTTTCCACCTTGCGTTCCTCCAGGTGCAAACGCTGGTGGCCAAGGAGAAAGAGCGCGCCGAGAGGGCCGCGGCGAAGCACACTGTGGCAGTGGAGGCTTACGAGAAGACGACCCCCGCTAAGGAGATGGACGCTAAGATTGGCCCGATGCAGCAGCGACTGGAGGAGAGGCACTCCCACCCTCTCCCTCTCACTCTCTTCTCTCTCCTTGCACCCCTTTTCCCTCCACCAGGTGCAAACCCTGGTTGTTAAGGATAAGGAGCGTGCAGCGAGGGCCATGGCGAAGCACACTGTGGCAGTGGAGGCTTACGAGGAGAAGACCCCCTGGGAAGGAGATTGACGCCAAGATCGGTCCGATGCAGCCACCCACTCTCTCCCAACCCTTCCTCCAGGTGCAAACCCTAGTGGCCAAGGAGAAAGAGCATGCTGAGAGGGCCGTGGCGAAGCACACTGTGGCAGTGGAGGCTTACGAGGAGAAGACCCCCTGGGAAGGAGATTGACGCAGACTCTCACGCTTCTTCCCTCCTCTCCCCTGCTCTCCTCTTCGCCCTCCTTTTCCAGGTGCAAACCTTAGTGGCAAAGGATAAGGAACGCGCAGAAAGGGCTGTCGCCAAGCACACTGTTGCGGTGGAAGCGTATGAAAAGAAGGCTCCTGCCAAGGAGATCGACGCCAAGATTGGCCCGATGCAGCAGCGACTGGCTGCTCTGAAGGCAGAGATCAAGGATCTGGTGATGGCTCTGGAGGAGTGACGGGTGTGAGGGAATGGAGATGGGTTGTGTGGGGTCGGGAGGGAGTTGGAGGGGTATGGAGGGGGGAAGTGCGATGCAGCAGCAGCTGGCGGCTCTGAAGGCAGAGATCAAGGAGCTGGTGATGGCTCTGGAGGAGTGAAGGGTGTGAGGCGGGAAGGTGAGGATGGGGATGGAGGCTTGCGGGATGAATGGGAGGAGGGGATTTTGAAGGGTGGGGGCGTGGGGAGTGGTGGAGAGGGGTATGGGAGGAAAGGGTGGAGGGGGAAGGCACATTGGCACGATCATCCCCACGTGCGATGAATGTTGTTAAGTTGAGCAGAGTGAGAGAGCTTGGAAAAAGTGCACTGAAGGACTGGCCTAATCATTTTTTTTTCCATGGTTTTTTAGAGCCGCTCGTTAGAAGTTACATTCCGTTACAAGCATGTTGATCACTTAGATGATTAATTATGGTAGGATCATAGATAGTAACGTTGGTTCGGGAGAAGCTTGATCTTACGTGACATACGGTAGCTGTTCGGAAACAAGCGAGTACCGTACGCAGGCAACTTAATACCGAGTTCGTGGCTGCCTAGCAATGCAACCAGTTAAAAACCGCGGAAATCCCCGTAGACTGGTACGCGGTGTCTGTCGCACACTAAATTCTGCAGTAGGCAGCTACAGTCAGTAGTGAGCATAGGAGTTTTCGAATCCAATCCGCTGCGCGCCGCCACATCCTGAGTTTCCTTGTGGTTCCGCTCAGGAAGCCTAGAAACACATTTTTGTTCTGTCTTGCCCAACCGGCGCTGGTGTTCGGGTTGCGCGGATCGGGTAGCGCGGATCGGGTTGCGCGGATCTGTTTGCGCGGATCGCGTTGCGCAGGCGAGTTCAACCCAGGGGAAGTGGTTGCGCCGATCCGGTTGCGTGAGCGAGTTCAACCGGGGAGCTGATCCGCGATCCGATTGCGCGGAGCTCCGTGCGCGGAGCTGCGTTCCCGTCAGGCTTTCGTCGCCTTTTCTGGGGTAGCCATGACAGCTGTCGAGCCGCCTTCCGCGGCAGGAACTGCCCGCGCCACCGCGAATCCTGGAGCCGCAGAAACAGCGTCGTCTAGCCAATACACTGAGTTTAAAGCCCAAACTTGGTACGACGTGCAGCGGAGCAGCGGCGGAGGGTTTTTCCGCGGAGGCGGTGCTCCGCCAGGCGGAGCAGCAGGCGGCGGAGCGCAGGCGCGGCGCAAGGCTGCGCGCCGCTCCCCCGGTGTATTTCTTTCCGCGACGGTCGTGGGGTGTGACTATAGCGAGATACGGCGCGGTCGTGGCAGCGGGATTGGCGGCGGGAATGGCGCTAGAGACATGGATTCGACAAAAGGTAGCAGGTATGAGATGGAGGGAGTTATTAGGGGAAGGGGGTTGACTGTAGGGGTACAGGGTATAAGGTACAGGGTACAGGGTACAAGGTGTATGGGTGTATGTATGTATGGGGGAAAGCAGAAAAGGGGAAGGGGACCTGCGGAAGGGGGAGACTGGAGGGGCTAGTGTGGAAGGGGAAGGGGAGGGGATAATGTGCAAGGGAGAGGGGGAAGGGGAGAAAGGGAGGGGGGAGCGGGAGGAGGAGAGAGGGGATAACGAAAATGGGAAATCAGGGGATTTATAAGAGCCTACCACCAGGCCATGTGTCCTTCCTCCCCCTTTGCACCCCTCTGTACTGCTCTGCACCCCTCTGTTCCTCGCTGCGTGCCTTGGACTAGACGCTGGGGGTGAGGGAATTTGAGCAGCCTAAGGAGCAAATGTCCCTTTCTGCCTCTCTGTACCGCTCTGCACTGTTCTCTGTTTCCTTTTCTCTGTGTCCAGAGGATGGTGGCTATGTGATGGGGAAGAAGGGAGCAGCAAACCATTAGCAGGGACGTTAATCTATACACAGTTCAGCAGTTGTCTCATTATAAGCACATCAGTACCGTAAGAGCAACGCAACCGCAGTAGACTTGTTCATTTCTGCGGGTTTTTGTCAACTTCAAGTTTACTGCTAGTGCGTTCATGCGGCTCATGGAAGGGTAGTGATTGGAACTTTTACGCAACATTTTTATTTTGTTTTATTTTGTTGTAACACAAAAATATGAAGCGAGGCAGGCTAGAGATGAAGGTCTGGCACCTTGGATTGGCATCCCCTGGGCTGGGGTGAGTTGTTTAACACTGTAGGTTCGGTAGTGAACCTAAGCGATTGTGTACATTCAATTCACAGGGTTAGGTAGTATCTCACTGTAGACATTGCAGTAACCTAGCACTTCCTTCCCAAATTCCGTTCACTACACTAAGAGTCTTGCATCACATCACATTCCCCTAACGCAAGCAGCCAAGCAAGCCCACAAATCCCTACACAGGTCATTCCTAGACTCGCCCTCTAATTCCTACACTTAAAGCCCGCAAACCTGCTCATTCCCAGCACAAGTTGCGTATCTTGTATCCATCTCAGTAACTGCCTGACTCAGTGTCGATAAGTTGTTAGAATCTGGCAGCAGGAATGATGAACTAACAGCATGCAGGAGTACAAGTAGGAAACCCTAATTTGGTTGTACCCCATATGGGCTACCCCACTACAGCCTAGACAATATGCAGCATACATGTTTGACACACCCCCATAGGCAAAGTGGGGGAGAACAAGGGGTCACACGACCAGTCAAGAGACGCAAAGCAAGCTCAGGGTGGATCTCAACGTCACCACACATTCTGAGCACAAGCAAAGGGCCGCAAGGCCAGTCCACATGCAGAGATATATATAAGCAACAAGAGCAGTACAGTGATCAATACCTAGCAAGAGCAAGCATGCAGGTATAAATATAGAACACAGTACACACAAAAGACTACAGCAAGTGTGGAAACGTAGGCACAAGGCCTAACAAAGTACAAAAGCGCTGATGATCACTAGACGGAAGTGCCTTGGTGAATATATCAGCAGTGTTGGCCCTAGTGGCCACGTGTGCAAGACGAAGCTGACCACGCTGCTGCAGCTCTCGAGCCAGAAAGTACCGCAGAGCGATGTGCTTCGTTCTGTGCTCCAGTCTGTGCTCCTCACACAAGGCAATAGCAGCCTTGTTGTCGACGTACAGCACTGGAGGAGAACGAGGCCGCTCTCCCAGGTCGGTCAGCAGGTAGGTGAGCCAGCGTAACTCCTGAGCAGCCATGGCGGTGGCGTAGATCTCAGCCTCACAACTGGAGCTGAGAACAGAAGACGAGCGAGTAGAACGCCAAGAAACAGAACCAGAGCCAAGGCTGAAAGTGTAACCCTGTGACGACCGCTGCGTAGCCTGGTCGTCAACCCAAGAAGCGTCTGAGTGCCCAGTGAGGACCACCTCTCGCCGTCCTCCAAGTACGAGCCCCATGCCCGATGTACTGCACAAGTAGCGCAGTACCCTCTTCGCAGCATCCCAGTGCACCTTTCGGTGCCGACCAGGAGCCACGTAGCGAGCCAGAAGGCCAAGAGGGTACGCAAGGTCAGGACGAGTGCAAGTCATCAGGTACATGAGGCAGCCCACTAGCTCTGGGTAAGGACCACTCGGCTCTACGGACTCATCCGAAGGCAGAGCTGAGAGCGAGTGACCTATAGCCAGAGGAGTGGCCTGTGCTGAGGACCAGGTGAAGCCGAAGCGCTGAAGGACCTGCTGCACCATGTGTGACTGAGTCAGTGTGATGGTGCGGCGTGCTCGGTCCCGGGTGATCTGCAAGCCAAGGTAGCTGCGCAGCTCACCCAGGTCTGTGCACGTGTGTCTCCTCTGCAGCTCGGACTTCACCAGGGCGAGGGCCTCAGTGTCAGCAGTAGCAAAGACCAAGTCGTCGACGTACACGAGGATATAGAACGGCGGCAGCGAAGTGTCGGTGCGTAGAAACAGTGAAGGGTCAGCAGTCGAAGGCGCAAACCCAAGAGCCGCAAGGGTAGTCCTCAGTGTGTCGTGCCACTCACGGGGTGCCTGGCGGAGACCGTAGACTGGCCGGCGGAGGCTCCACTGGGTACCAGGAGGGAACGTCCCAGTGAAGCCAGGTGGGCGGCGCAGCCAGATCTCCTCGTGCAGGCTGCCCTGTAGAAAAGCTGTGCTGAAGTCAAGGGAGTGAAGCTCGTAGTCACGCTGTGCGGCAACGTGCAGCAGCACCCGAAGAGTAGTCATCTTCGGGGTAGGAGAGAAGGTCTGGAAGAAGTCAACTCCCTCTCGCTGACTGAAGCCTCGAGCAACGTAGCGCGCCTTGAAGACAGGCGGAGAACCTGGCGGCCGCTTCACCCTGAAAATCCACATGCCATCGACGATGTTTGCCCCGGGAGGGGGAACCTCATCGACGTAAGTGCCTGTGGACTTCCAGGATGCCATCTCTGCGTCCATGGCTGCCTGCCACTGAGAAGAGTAGGGACCCGCGATCGCCTCAGCGTAAGAGCGCGGTGTGGGGATGTCTATAGCATTCGGGTCTCCCTCAGGGGCAAGCAGCATGGCCACGAGATGAGGCGCAGCGGCTGCAAGAGACTCAAGGTCCTCGTGCCTGTCCTCAAGGACGTCCGTGCCAAGGGCACACTCACCCCCGACGGACGGAGGACAGACAGACTCAGACTCAGCAACAAGACTAGCAGCGTAGTCTAGACGACAGGCAGCAGCAAAGTCAACAAGCTCAGCGACTAAGGCAGACGCAGCAGCAGACTCAAACGACGGGTCAGTGACAACAGTGGCTAGCAGACGCGTGACAGTAGGGTGCTCAGCACGAAACCGGTCAGACTCAGGGTCCGCGACGACAGGCAAAGAGGACGCAGGGGGAGACGGAAGAGGAGTACGCTCCGGAGTAGGGGACCGACGCAGGGCTACAAGGCGTGTGCCGGGGACAGCCGGCTGACGCGGACGAGGAACACGACGACCGGTACGACTAGGACGAACAGGCGAGACAGGACGCGGCGCAGGCTCACGACGCTCAGCAAGACTACCTGTCTGCTCAGTGTAAGGAGAAGGAGCAGGCAGCGGTGAGCCAGGCTGTAACGGAAGACCAGTAGACGACGGGAGAGTAAGAACCTGACGAAGAACAGAGTCAGGCGGCGGCAGAGACGACGGAGACGGCGGAGCGAAGAACAGTCGTGGCGGCGCAGCTGCACCAGTACCGGCAGCTCCAGCAGCTCCAGTACCTCCAGCAGCTCCAGCACCTCCAGCAGCTCCAGCACCTCCAGCAGCAGAACCGACACCTCCAGGCCCAGGGTCTCCAACCCCAGTGCCTCCAGCAGCAGCACCCCCAGAACCAGCACCTCCAGTCCCAGGGTCTCCAGCCTCCACGTCTCCAGCAGCAGCACCCCCAGAACCAGCACCTCCAGTCCCAGGGTCTCCAGCCTCGGTGTCTCCAGCAGCAGCACCTCCAGACGCAGCACCCCCAGCCCCAGCAGCTCCAGTACCTCCAGTACGAGCACCTCCGGGACCAGCGACTCCAGCACCACCAGTAGACAAAGTACCAGCACCACTCCTAGCTCCAGGGACGTCAGCAGAAGTACCTCCAGCAGTAGAGCCCCGGGCTCCAGCAGCGCGACCCTGACGGCGACCGTACCAGTCGTGCAGCTGCTGTGAGGTGAGAGGCACACGTGGACGAAGGCGGCTACTCCAAGGAGACCGCGCACCAGCAGCTCCAGAACCTCCAGCACCCGCACCCTCAGCAGCCCCAGAACCACTAGCTCCAGCACCTCCAGACCCCTCACACGTAGGCTCAGCACCTCCAGGCTCCACACTCTCAAGCTCCGCACCCCCAGGCTCAGCACCCCCAGAAGTAGCACCCCGAGCAGGACCACCCCCAGTAGGACCTGAGTCACCAGTGACCTCGACCGGCGCAGGGAAGGGAGGAGGGTCTACCTGAGACACACCTGAAGGAGCAGGACCGGGAGCGGGGAGGGGGTCTACCTGGGGAGCACCCGGAGCGAGGAAGAGCGGCGGGGGAGGGAGAGGGGCAGTGCGGTAGGGGAAGAGACGGTAAAAGGGAACCGACTCATCGAACGTGACGTCCTGAGACGCAAAGACACGGCGCGAGGTGGGGTGGTAAAACTGCCAACCAGGCGCGTCAGGGACAAAGCCAAGGAAGACACAGGGAATGGCACGAGCGGAGAGCTTGTCCGCAGTGGTATCGCGGACAAAGGCACGAGCACCCCAGACCCGGAAACGCGACGCATCGCCAACCTTCCCCGTCCACAGCAGTGTGGGCGAGGTCTACGGCAAGGAGACACGGGGTCAGAGGTTGAGCTGATGCGCGGCGTACCGGACCGCAAACGGCCACAGAAATTGGGGGTAGCCGCATGGATCATGGAGGTACGAGCGACCTCCATGACTAAGCCAATGCGGCGCTCAGCAAACCCATTCTGCTGCGGAGAGTCCGGAAGCGTGAACGACTGGGTGATGTCGTGCTCCGCACAGAAGGCTGCCAAGAGGTCTGAGGAGAACTCACCACCTCTGTCAGAGTGCAGACGCAGGACGGGAAACTCCGTCCCAAACCGCTCGCGGAGCTGGAGACGGGCAGCGCGGATCCAAGGGATCAAAACAGCAGGGACCTCCCCCTTGCTGCGCAGGGGAAAGACCGTGGTGTAACGCGTGTAGTCGTCAACAACCAGCAGGAAGTACCGCTCGTGGCCCTGTCCACGGACGCGGGCGGGGCCCCACACGTCCAGGTGGAGAGTCTGCAGGGGAGCCTCTGTAGGAGGGAACGAGGAGGAGTGAGGAGCGGCGCGCTGCCGCCCCTCGACGCAAGGAATGCAGGGCGGCGCAAGCGAGGGAGGCAGGGCAGGCAAAGACCTGGGAAGACCAGAAACCAGGAAGCGAGAGTGCATGCCACGAAGGCGCTGCACCGAGGGGTGACCAAGGCGGTGGTGCCACAGGAGGGTCTGGTGCGACAAAGCGCGACACTCGCAGGGGGCCGTCGGCTGACCTGACGCAGACGCAGACGCAGCTACCTGAGGGGACTTAGTGGTCAGGGTGTACAGACTCGAGCCAGGCGCACGGGTAAACGTGGCCAGATGTCGGCCGGTCCGAGCACACGTACAGTGAGTCACTCGCTGACTCGCAGGAGTGAACTGGTGCACCCCCCTATCCTGGAGGTCAGCTCCACTCACCAAGTTCGTAGAGAACGAGGGGAGGTAAAGACCTGACAGCAAGCCAGACGGGGCGGCCGGACACGGTAGAACCGTGGAGTAGTGGGCAAGGACCGGACCCCCGGAGGGGTCCGCCAGGGAGACTGGAACCGGCCGACTAAGCGGCGTGAGTGTGGTACAGTCGCGAAAGAAGGAGCGGGAAGCACCTGAGTCCAGCGTGAAGGTGTACAAGGCCGCAGCAGGCGCAGACCCAGAGAGAGCAGACTCACCAGCACCTGGAGCAGGAGACGTACCGGCACCTAGAGCAGCAGCCTCACCAGGACCCAGAGGAGGAGACGCACGAGCACCTAGGGCAGCAGCCTCACCAGTACCGGGAGCAGCAGGCGCTATACCAGGGTCAGGCGGGACGCACAGGTAACAGGCACGGTCAACACTAGTAGGTAATGCATACATGGCAGTGAGAATAGCATCATAGTCAGGAGCAAAGATATCTACCCTCCGTCCAAGCAGCTCCAGCCAGTCGGGGAGCTCAGCCTCGTCTCCAAACACTGTACGCCAGTCGTCGCTCAGACGGGCGAAGCAGCGGGACTGTGTGTGACCAAGCGTCCCGCAAGGCTGACCAACCCGATCACCTGTGCGAATGACGTACTGGCAGCGAACTGTACGCATAGACCTGCTACACTGAGCGTACCACTCGTGGAGCTGCCGGGACGTAAGTGTCTCGCGAGGACGCCGCTGCAGCTGCAGCTGGCCACTGCCGGACGCTCCCAACTGACCAGCTCCAGGGGGACAGCTACGACTGCTACCGCGACAACCCCAGCTAGTATACCACTCACTAAGCTGCTGGGGCGTGAGAGACTCTCGCGAACGTCGCTGGGGCTGCATCTGGCCACCGGCCAGTAGCAGTAGCAGCAGCAGTAGCGCGGGCAGGGCAGGCGCGGCAGGCCGACAGGCAGGCAGGCCGGCAGGCAGACAGACAGACCGGCAGGCAGGCTGGCCGGCAGGCCGGCAGGCAGACGGGCAGGCAGGCAGGCCGGCAGGCAGGCAAGCAGACAGGCAGGCCGGCAGGCTGGCAGGCAGGCAGACAGGCAGGCAGGCGCTCACCAAAGGCTGGAAGAGCAGGCGCTCGCCGGGCGAGCAGGGCCGGCGCTCAACGGGCGGCGGCCGAGTAGGCGCACGACAGCGGCGACGTCGGGGCCGCAACACCCGGTGCAGAGTAGGGCCGAAGCAGCTGCAGGGCGGGGCCGCTTCAGCGGCAGGTCGGGGCCGTGGCAGCTGCAGAGCGGGGCCGTATCAGCGGCAGGTCGGGGCCGAGGCAGAGGGACGCGCGCGGCTCGGCGCGGGCTGCGCTGACAGCGCGCTGGGCTGCTGCAGGCCGCGCGCGGCCGCGTTAGGCAGTGGCGAGCCGCGCGCGGCTCGGCGCGGGCTGCTGCGGGCCGCGCGCGGGCTGCTGCGGACGGCGCGCGGGCCGCGTGCGGCTCAGTGGGGGCTGCGCGCGGCTGCAGCGGGCTGCGCGCGGCTCTGTGCGGGCTGCGCGCTGCCGCAGCGGGCTGCGCGCGGCTCGGTGCGGGCTGCGCGCGGCTGCAACGGGCTGCGCGCGGCTCGGTGCGGGCTGCGCGCGGCTGCAGCGGGCTGCGCGCGGCTCGGTGCGGGCTGCGCGCGGCTGCAACGGGCTGCGCGCGGCTCGGTGCGGGCTGCGCGCGGCTGCAGCGGGCTGCGCGCGGCTCGGTGCGGGCTGCGCGCGGCTGCAGCGGGCTGCGCGCGGCTCTGTGCGGGCTGCGCGCGGCTGCAGGGGGCTGCGCGCGGCAGCTGCGGGCTGCGCGCGGCTGCAGCGGGCTGCGCGCGGCAGCTGCGGGCTGCGCGCGGCTGCAGCGGGCTGCGCGCGGCAGCTGCGGGCTGCGCGCGGCTGCAGCGGGCTGCGCGCGGCTCGGTGCGGGCTGCGCAGGCCTGAAGGGCGTGTAGGGGCGGTGCGAGACTTTACGGGCCTCTAGGGGCAGCGCGCTGGCCTAGGGCAGCAGGAGGCAGCGCTAGGGCTGCTGGACGGCTCGCGTAGTGCAGCACGTCACAAGGCAAGGCAAGGCAGGCAGGTACGTGGGGTAGCGCGGTAACCGCTGTGGTAGGTGGGCCCGAAAAAAACGGTCCTACGGACCTTAGTGCTCTGAAACCATGTTAGAATCTGGCAGCAGGAATGATGAACTAACAGCATGCAGGAGTACAAGTAGGAAACCCTAATTTGGTTGTACCCCATATGGGCTACCCCACTACAGCCTAGACAATATGCAGCATACATGTTTGACATAAGTCTCTTTCCCCATCTCCGATGGGAGTGATGCCATACCTGCATGATTCTCCAAACCTGCACGTCCGGGGCTGCACTGACCATACCAGCAAACCGCCTGTCCAGGCCTCTGGGACAGGCTCGGCAGGCGTATCTAGGTTTGGTCCTTTTCAGAAGTTGGTGGCTTCTTTGGATGGTGGTACCGACATGATCCTCCGAACCTGCACGTCCCGGTCCGCATGTAGTATTGGCAGACCGGCTGCCCGAGCCTCTCTGGCAGGTTCGGCGTGGCCTGTCGTGCCTCATGCTGCACCCGCTTCTGTTGTTGTTGCTGATGATTCTGCTGATGCTGCTGCTGCAGCTGCTGAGGCTGAGCAGAAGCATCTAAACCAGAGACACCTACCTCAGAACCACCTGCAACGGCTGTCACTATACGACCTGTACCAGAAGCACCTACACCAGAAGAACCTTCACCAGAAGCACCTACTCCAGCTGCACTCACACCAGAACCAGAACCAGAGGCATCTGCATAGGAAGCACATACACCAGAAACACCTACACCAGAAGCACCTACCCCAGAAGCACCTACCTCAGGAGCACCTATCCCAATGGAACCTACATCAGAATCACCTACACCAGAAGCACCTAATCCAGGAGCACCTATCCCAGTGGAACCTACATCAGAGACACCTACACCTGTAGAACCTAGACCAAGTGAAGCCTGATTGAGCTGGAAAGGAGCAGCAGCGGTGCCAGCTGTTGCTGCTGCTGCTGCTGCTGCTGGCGCTGCTGCTGGTGCTGCTGCTGCTGGTGCTTCTGATGGTGGTGGTGGGAGGACGGAGTGGGGGACCACTAGAGAGAAGAGATGAGCAGAGGCAGAAGCAGCAGTAAGAGAAGCAGCAAGGGGAAGAGCATGCGGAGCAGCAAGAGGAGGAGGAGCAGCAGGAGAAGCAACATGAGGAGCAGGAGGAGCAAGGGGAAGAGGAGGAGCATGAGGAGTAACAAGGGGAGCAAGGGGAACAGCAAGAGAAGCAGCAGCGGCAGGAGCAACAGCAAGAGTGGCAGGAGCAGCAGAAGGATCAGAAGCAGGAACAGGAGGAGCAGGGGCAGGCCAAGGAGGAGGCGGGAAAAGCGGGGCAGCGGTGGTAGCAGCAGTGGGAGGAGGGGCAAGAGCAGGAGCAGGAGGAAGAGAAGAGGGAGGAGGAAGTTCAGAAGCGGCAGGAGGAATGGAATTACCACAGCGACCGGCAGGGGGATTTGTGGAAGAGTAGTGAGGGTAGTAAGTATAGTGAGGAGGATGCTGAGGGTGGTGCGGGTACTGAGAAAAGTGGTGGGGGTATGGAGGATAAGGAGCAACTGAGGATGCGTAGGGGAATGATGACGTCATGTACGGGCCTGATGACGTCATGTATGGGGCTGATGACGACATGTTGGAAGCTGATGATGACGTCATGTAAAGGGATGATGAGGTCATGTAGAGCCCTGCTGGCGTCATGTAAGGGCCTGATGACGTCATGTAGGGACCTGGGGACGCTCCGTATGAAGATGGCAGCTCTGATGCGCCTGCATATCCTAGTCCCATGCCCGTGCCCATGCCCATGCCCATGCCCATGCCCGTGCCCATGCCCATGCCCAAACCCACGCCCATGCTGACTGTTTGGTTTGGGCTGGGACTAGGTATTACACTTCCCCCACCTCCCCCACCTCCCGCACCGCCCCCTCCTACCCCACCACCCGCTTGCTGCATGGGTGGGTAGTACTGATGCTGGTGCTGAAGCTGGGGATGGGGATGGGGCAGGGGTTGGGGTTGAGACTGGTTCGGCTGGTATTGTGGCAGCATGTATTGCTGATACTGCTGGTAGTGCTGGTACTGCTGCGGGTACTGTTGATACTGCTGCTGCTGCTGCTGCTACTGTTGCTGCTGCTGCTGCTGCTGCTGCTGATACTGCTGCTGCTGCTGCTGCTGCTGCTGCCTCTGCTGCCTCTTCTTCCTCTGCCCCTGCGCCCTGCTCCCCTGCGTTTGACACGTGTCACCACCAGAACCGTGGGATTGATCACCCCCTGTTGGCCGAGCCACGCTGCCACCTACCTCCTCCCTTTCCGGTCCAGCCACGACACTCACCACTCGCTGGTCAAGTCCTTCCTCACCAGCATCCCCATCTGTCTCCCCGCTTTGCTCTCTGTCCACGCTCTCTGCACTCTCCTTGCTCGAATGGGCTTGCAACCCCTCACCAGCACCTGCTGCTTCTGCTGCTCCTGCTGTTAGTATTGATGGTGCTGGTGCTGATTGTGTTGGTGGTGGCGATGATGGTAATGATGCCGATGCATCGTATGTGGGATCTCCTGATCCAGAGCCACTGACCGTTGCTTCTGAATCTGCTGCTATCCCATCTGGTTTTTCACCTGAGCTACCACTTAACCCTCCACCTGAATTTTCTCCTGACTCCCCATCTGGCCGTTCTCCTGAAATTTCACCTGGGTTTTCAGTAACATCAGCAGCAGCAGGAACAGCAGCAGCGACAGCAGCAGCACCACCAGAAGAGATACTGGCTTGTTGCTCCCCGGATGCGTCCCCAGAGATGCAGCTGCTCAGGTGTTGCTTATCTGCCCCCTCTACTTCTTCTGTGTGTGCCTCGCCTGGGTGTGCCACCTGCACCTGCTGCTGCTGGGTCGGATGTGGCTGGGAGGGCTGCTGGGAGGGGTACTGGTAAGAGGGATGCTGATTGGACGTATGTAGCTGGGAGGGGTGCTGTTGGGACGGTTGTAGCACACCAGGCAGCTGCAGCTGTTGGTACGGATGTAGCGAGGACGGATATAGCGGGGACGGTTGTTGCCCAAGGGGCGTCAGCTGCTGGGTCGGATGTAGCGGGGCCGTGTGCAGGTCAGGGTGGTGGAACTTGCATGTAGATCCGAACTTGCATCGTCCTGTCCGAAGGAAGAAAGCACATTCCGTCTCTCCCTGTGTGGGAAAAGAGAGAAGCGGGGGAACAGGAAGGAGAGGAGGGTTAGAGGGGGGCGTGTGCAGGTCAGGGTGGTGGAACTTGCACGTTGCTCCAAACCTAAACCTTCCTGTCCGAAGGAAGAAAGCGCACTCTGTCCCGCCCTGTGGGTTGTGGAGCATGGGTTGAAAGAGGGACGGGGTGAGCTCAGGTCAGGGCGGTGGAACTTGCATGTTGCTCTGAACTTGCACCGTCCCGTGCGAAGGAAGAAAGCGCACTCCGTCTCGCCCTGTGTGGAAGGAGGCGGCAGGCGTCTCAAAACAGGTGGAGAAAAGGGGAGGAATGTAGCAAGGGGCGAGTGCAGGAGTGGGTGGTGGAACTTGCAAGTTGCTCTGAACTTGCACCGTCCCGTGCAAAGGAAGAAAGCGCACTCCGTCTCGCCCTGTGTGGAAGGAGGCGGCAGGCGTCTCAAAACAGGTGGAGAAAAGGGGAGGAATGTAGCAAGGGGCGAGTGCAGGAGTGGGTGGTGGAACTTGCAAGTTGCTCTGAACTTGCACCGTCCCGTGCAAAGGAAGAAAGCGCACTCCGTCTCGCCCTGTGTGGAAGGAGGCGGCAGGCGTCTCAAAACAGGTGGAGAAAAGGGGAGGAATGTAGCAAGGGGCGAGTGCAGGAGTGGGTGGTGGAACTTGCAAGTTGCTCTGAACTTGCACCGTCCCGTGCAAAGGAAGAAAGCGCACTCCGTCTCGCCCTGTGGGGGAAAGAGAGGAGGAGAGAGGATGTGGATGAGTGGAGGTGGGGGTAGCGTCAAGGCATTCAAGCAGCTTGCACGTTGCTTGGACCTTGCATCTCCCTCTGCGAAGGAAGAAAGCGCCCTGAGTCTCACCCTGAGCAGGAGAGAGAGTTGGGATGGCAGGCACAGGAATGAGAGGAGGGTGGAGGGAGAAAAAGCAGTAGAACAGAAGGCACCTGTGGTGTTGTGTACGGTGTACTCAGCCTTTTTCAGGTTATTTTGAAATTCGCCCTGTTTTTTGGCCAAAAGACCTGTTGTCAGGTTATTGTGTGTTGAAAACGAGGTTAGTTTTGAGTCGACTCAAAACGAGTCTAGTTTTGAGTCGACTCCAAAAGAGCCTAGTTTTGAGTCAACTCAAAACGAGGTGGGCAGGGCAAAACAAAAGTGAGCAGGTACCTGTGTGCGTGTGCTCCTTTTTTGAGCCGACTCAAAAATCGACTACTCAGAAAAAGTGAGCAGGTACTTGTGTGCGTGTGCTACTCACCGGTCTGAGGGGATAGCCAAGGGTATTAAGAGGCAGGTGGGAGGAGGCAGCAGGCGTTGCGGGGAGTAGGGGCGGGTGGTGGAAGGTGCAGGAGGGACCGTATTTGCACGTGCCAGTCTTGAGATAGTACTGCGGAAAATGCGACGGGGAAAGTGGGGAAGGAGGTGCATGAGAGGGAGATTTGCAGGTGATGAAGCTGGTGAGGCGAGGGGCGGGTGGTGGAAGGTGCAGGAGGGACCGTATTTGCACGTGCCAGTCTTGAGATAGTACTGAAGAGGGAACGGGGGGAGGGGGGGAGGGGAGAGGAGGGAGAGAGAGAGAATGGGAGATTTGCAAGAAGAGGGAAAGAGTGAACATGCATTGTGGCGAGCGGAGGGCGGTGGAAGGTGCAGGAGGCTCAGATACTTACAGGTGCCAGTCTTGAGATAGTACTGTGGAGGGGAAGGGAAAAAGGAAGGAGAGGGAAAGGGAGGAGGGAAGAGCGAGTGTGCAAGAAGAGGCGTTGAGGCCAGTGGAGGGGGGTGGAAGGTGCAGGAGGCTCAGGTACAGCTGGTGACAGTGTTGAGAGAGACATATGTGAATTTGTTGAATAGATTGCTTGTAAATAGAGACAGCAGAGATAGTCTCATGTTGGTTTTTGAGAATTCTCAAAAACCAGAGACAGCAGAGGTAGTCTCATGTTGCCCTCTGTTTGCCCCCATCGTGGCGGATAGGGCGTGGCTGGGAACAGCGGTTGTGCTGATTGGATGACATGTGATGTGATGGCATGTGGTGTGGATGGCTTATGATGTTGATGACATGTGGTGGCATGTGAAAGGAAAGAGCAGCAGGCCTCTCACCTTGCGCTCTGGTTGGCCGTGGCTGGGAGCAGCCGTTGCGCTGACTTGGTGGCCATTTATAATGCCCTACTTGATGCGAATAGACTGGAAGGAGCATCCGGAGCGGATTTTTGAGTCGACTCAAAAATCGACTCATCACACAAGGAGGATCAGGAGCCTCACCTTGCACTCTGTTTGCCCTGGTCGCTGTGGATAGGGCGTGGCTGGAAGCAGCGGTTGCATCGCCTGGTATTAGATGGGATGCGGTGGAATGGGGTGAGATGGGGTGGGATAGGATGGGATGAGATGGGATGGGATGGGATGGGATGGGATGGGATGGGATGGGATGGGATGGGATGGGATGGGATGGGATGGGATGAAATGGGATGGGATGGCTTGCGCAGGTGGATCCCTGTGAGCAATATCCGAGAATTCGAAATGATTGCACACTCCTGCGGCACCTAGAGCCATACGCACAGCTGCCCGTTCGCATGTAATACGCACACTCCCGCTCTGTTGGCACTCTCCTGCTCCCTTAGTGAGTTGCCTTCTTACCTCCAACCTGGGAGGGTGGTTGAAGCGGCACCTAGACCCATACGCACAGCTGCCCGTTCGCATGTAATACGCACACTCCTGCTCTGTTGGCACTCTCCTGCTCTGTTGGCACTCTCCTGCTCTGTTGGCACTCTCCTGCTCCCTTAGTGAGTTGCCTTCTTACCTCCAACCTGGGAGGGTGGTTGAAGCGGCATCTAGACCCATACGCACAGCTGCCCGTCCGCATGTAATACGCACACTCCTGCTCCCCCGGCCGCTGCGGGTACACTGGCGGAAGCTTCCCTAAAGCATCCCAATCTTGTCTCATTCTTCCGCTCCCACCACTACCACCACCACCAGCAGCACCACCACTACCACCTCCTCCTCCTCCTCCTCCTCCTCCTCCTCCTCCTCCTCCTCCTCCTCCTCCTCCTCCTCCTCCTCCTCCTCCTCCTCCTCCCCCTCCTCCTCCTCCTCCTCCCCTCCCTCCTCCTCCTCCGCCTCCCATCTCAAACCCCCTCCTCTCATTGAAGCTCCTGCTACTCCGCAGCTCTTCTCCTCCTCCCCCTCCCCCTCCTTTACCTCCTCCTCCCCCCCCTCCTCTTCCCCCCCATGCTCTTCCTTCCCCGCCTCCCTCCCCTCCTCCCCTACTGTAGCTGCTGCCAATGCTCCCCGTGCTGCTGCTGTGGCTGAGGCTTCCCGGATACACCATTGACCTCCCCCCCGTGCTGCTGCTGTGGCTGAGGTTTCCCGGATATACTAAGGACCTTCCTGTGCTGCTGCTGTGGCTGAGATTGCCTGGATACACCATAGAAGGAGGGAATCCAGGGGCAAAGTAAGGAGATGGGATGATGCCCGAGGGAGGGAGAGAGGGAATGAGGGAGGGGAGGTTCCCGTAGGAGGAAGCGGGGGAATAAGCGTAGATCTGAAGGGGCGGAGGCCCCAAGCTTCCTGCTCCCCCTGCTGCTGCTCCGGCCGCTCCTGCTGCTGCTGCTGCTGATGCTGGTCCTGCTCCTGGTGGTGCTGATGTTGCTGCTCCTGCGGCTGCTCCTGCTGCTGCTGCTCCAGGTGGCTGCATCGGTGGCAGCAGCGGTACTGCTGGTGGTAGCACTGCTGGTATTACTGCTCCTCCTGTTGTTTCTCCTGACGCTCCTGGTCTGCGCTCCTGGTGGTTCCAGAACATGGCTGGGTAGGCCATTATAGGGCCTGGAAGAATGGGAAATGGGGAATGGAGAAAGAGAGGCAATGTTACGACTTTTGAGGCGCCTCAAGAATGGGAAATGAGGAACGGAGAAAGAGAGGCAATGAGAAAGGTGCACTCACCAGATGGGAACAGCAGAGCGGGAGTGACATCAACTTTTGAGATGTCTCCAATCGCTTAATGACAAAATGTTGCAGTGCGGCTTTCATGAAGGTTCAAATAATGGATATTTCAGTCTGCGCAGCTGATGCACATCCATGTGAAGGATCGTGACACTTCACCTGACAAACCACCTGAAGGAGCACCTGAAGGACCACTTGAGGGACCGATTTGCGGTTGAATTACCTTTTTTTAATGTGCAAGATCTGACGGGATCACCTGAACAGAAGGCTTTCAGGTGCCAAAGGACTCACCTAAGATCGTCTGATTTTCGTCAGCTCCTGCTCCATCCAGTTCGCCTCCTGTTATAGTCACTCCTGCTCCATCCAATGCATCTCCTGTAATAGTCACTCCGGCTCCTTCTAATGCACCTTCTTCAGCCGTTATGATCACACCAATTCCGCCGCTTTGCCTGTCCACTGCGGAATCTCCCCCTTCCGGGGGAGGCTGCATTTGGTACAAGATTCTGGGCTCCTGCCTGTCACAGCGGTTTAGTATGGCTCCCTGGACGTAGGATTAACTGGGGAATGTGGAGAGAGTGAATGAAGACTTCAGGCATCTGAGCAAACTGCTTGCGAATCACAGCCACAGCTGCCGTGCAGAACACTGTTCTGATACGATGACGGCAGATCACATTGGTTCCAGATCACATTTGCCGCCAAAAATCACATCTGCGAGATAACCAGATTGAATCTGCTCCTGGATCACATTCTCTTCCAAATCACGTATAGGAGCCTTCACAGTTCTGATAGCTGCTGCTCCCCTCCAAATCTCAGCTCTCAGTGAGCGTATTATACTTCTTGAGTGGCCTATGAACAATCTCGAGAGATTTTTTAAAATTCCAAGGATTCTAGCAATGAACGCATTCTCTGCTGCGCTTATTATAACAGTGGTAAGGTTCTCCTGCTTTTTGACCACGGTGCTCTATACCACATGAGATTCCTCGAAATTCCTAGAATTCTAGCGTTAAACACATGTTCTGCTAGCGCTAACGCTAGAATTCTCCTATCAGACCATTTCGGTTCTCTGTACTATCTGGGTGCTGGGCTGACTCTAAACAGGTGCTCCAGTAGGTGCTGCTTCTACTAACACTATTTTTCAGTGGTGTGCTGCTGAGAACGTCACCGGCATCTGAAGTTAACTTCACGCGTCACGCGATTTCGCGCGATCTCTGACTCGTGACAGGTGACAGGTCGAATGATGCGTCCAGTGATCTTCACCATCATTTCGGAATTAATACCTCTGTTCCCTGACGTCGCTATCATGTAAACAGTGCTAGTAGCAGAACAAAATTGGTACAGGACATTTCGACTTCTGGGCCAGTCCAAGCAGCAACGTGAGTTCTCCTCCCGTCGTTCAAGAGTCCAAAAGTGCGCTAGTTTCCCGAAAACATCACAGAATTTGTATTGTAGGTCCTTGAAGCTCAGCTGAGTTTAGTTGCGTGGATGCACAATATGTCTCTTAGTTTAGTGGGCCGCCGGACCTCTGTCGGATGAGCTATTCAGTTTGGTTGCAGCATAACTGCAAAGAAAAGAAAATCCAGCGCAATATGGTCAGCATAAGCTACCCCTTTCAACCAAGGCTCACTAACCACTGTACACGCGAGCACCTAGAATTGAATTCTCGCTCTCCTCGCGACCTAAAAGCTGGCGCTTGAGGTGACGTGTCGTCCTTTTCAGGCGGAGGAGCAGCCTGCGCGGAATGAACTGTATGCCTCTCGGAACCTTTGAAGGTTCTTCTGCTCTGAAACTGATCGGTGCTGCCATCCATCCACAGCACAAATGAAAAAGTTCCCCCTCACATTCATGTTTCTCCCCTCGAGTTTGTTGCTGACAAGTCTTTCTTGGAATTCTTGGCAGATTGCAAATGTGTCAAAGGCAAGTGTGGGTTCGCACAAATGCCCGAATATGATGCATTATTACTTCGTACACTCATCAAATACAGTAAACCACAGATCCAGGGGCATCCTCTCGGAAATTTGAAACGTTTTTTTGTTTTTGCTACTGTATCATCGAATTCGTTGTTGTAGAAGGTGAGGTGAATGTGGACGAAATTCCGAGCCTGGTTTCATAGTGCAGTCTGAGCCTCGCCTCGGTACGGTACCCTCCCCTAGAAAAGGTACGGTACCCTAGAAAGCGGTTTTCGGCTTGTGACAAACCAATCACACGGTTCAGATTACATCATTGACCGGTTTGGCACAGACCGGCTTCGCCACAGAATCCAATCAAACTGGAAGAATTCCCAATAACTGGGGCACGGGAGCCCGCGCTTTTCAGGGACAGCTTGGCTGAGTCGCACGAGTCAGTTGTCAAGATGCTTGTCTACCGCTGGTTGGAAAAGGAATCTTTTATAGCTCCTCCTGCTGTACTCATGACCACAAAGTGGCATGAATGTGCCCCGGAAACCGCGTTACTTTCTGTGTAGTACAGTAAGGAAAACGCTTAGTGCTTCACACAACCGAGCTGGAAGGACAGAAATGGAAACAAACAACGAGGCAGTCGTCTGCATTTACTCACTGCCACGTCAGCTTTGGCCTGAAATTTATTTGCATGAATGAGCAACGATTGGCCAAAATAGGGAGGTCTCTCAGCCAATAAGAAGCACGCGCTAGATCGACCATTCATTGGTCAGGGAGCTGTTGAAGGTTGTATATTGATTGTGATCAGGTCAGGGAGCTGTTGGTGCTGGGCAGGGCAAGGAGAACACAACCATTTTATCAGTCCTTTTTACGGTTCCCACCAAGTAAATCCCTGAATGAGCAGAATACGAAGAACTATCGTGTTGTCATAACTTTAGCCTCTTCATCAACTCCCCTCCTCACCAGCGAGCCCCCTTTCCGTCCGTCCCATACAATCTTAGGGCGCGTAACCATTTTGCATTTTTTTTTTTTTACGTTCCGTCCGCTTGTACGGTCCGATTTGAATTTTTGCAACTTTGGACTGTCCGAAGGCTGTCATGACACTTTTTCATCAGTCTAGGGTTTCGCGATTGTTTTTCGTAACTCTAGTCTCACCCCCTCGCAATTTTCGCAAGGGACATTCCGCGCCTCGGACAAAGAAAGGAAATGTCAATGTTGTGGCTGCTTGTATTGTAGGTTGTCTACATTTGATTGGTCAATGTCAATGTTTACGACCGAGTCACACATTTCTATGTTTTGACGAGGCGGCCTGCTGAAATTCAATATCGCGCGCCAATCGCGTGCGCGGACTGGCGGACAGTCCGTTTGTGTTTCGGATGGTCCGATGTCAGAGTTTCGGTACGTTGGAAACGGGAAAAAGTGCCATGACAGTCCGAATATTTGGCGACGTCGCCAACGTTCTCGCGAACACCCTAACGACGTTGTGCGAAAAGCGTTACCCGTCGCCACGACGAACGGTCCACGGTTCGAACCGTCGGGTGCAAAATGGTTACGCGCCCTTAGGACCCACCCCTTGCAAAACGGAAGATCCCATGTTGCTTCCTCTCTTGAAGTTGCCTGAAAGCATCTCACAAAGGAACAAGAACAAAAGAGGAGATTTGAAGTCGAGGGAAGCAGCACAAGAGCGGTGGCAGTGATATCTGCAGCACGACACAATATTTGTTCCAAAATGTTGAAATCAGTAAATGGAGGCAGAACACATCAATTGGAAGCCTTGTCATGCAATGGTAGCAGGTGGACTTTTACGAATTACCAATGAAGTTAACCAGTTGCCAACTACACTCACTTTTGCATAAGTTTGGAGCGCTCTTTAAAGGCCGTGGGGATATCCTGCCCCTCATACGACTGCAAAACCACCCGAATGTCTGCCGGTCGCTGCCGCGCCACACCTGATAAATGAGGAACAAGGAGGAGGGTCAGCCTGGTCAAGCAGGTCGGAAAGTCAAGCCCGGTCAAGCAGGTCGAAAAGTCAAGCCTGGTCAAGCAGGTCGAAAAGTCAAGCCTGGTCAAGCAGGTCAACGGAGTCAACGCATGTCTTGCCCCTCATACCACTGCAGCGCCACTCGGAAGTCTGCTAACCGCTGTGGTGCCACACCTGGGGACCGAGCAACAAGCCGCTTCACATGTTTTTTTCGAGGCGTCTCAAGAATTGAGAAACAAGGTGGAGCATATGCAGGTTAAGTAACAAGGCGGAAATTAAGACGTCCAGAAAGGCGGTGTCTGCTCCTGTGTCCTTCCAGGCAGGCAGGGGGAGGGACCAGACTCCTCAGTCAAAGCAACACCACTCACACCCACAGCATGCAGGCATTCACATTCAAGGAAGGGCAGGAGGTCCACCAGTGCTGTGTCTGCTCCTGTGTCCTTCCACGCAGGCAGGGGGATGCGATTCTCCTTCTGAAGCACTGACTGCGATTCCCAGGCACCCTCTCTCACTGACACTCACAGCACCAACACTCACATTCAAGGAACGGGAGGAGGTCTAGGAGTGCAGTGTCTGATCCTGTATCCTTCCACGCGGGAAGGGGGACGAGATTCTCATTTTGAAGCACTGACTCCGGCAGACTAAAGCACTCACTCATAGTCGAGGGATCACAGGGAAAAGAGGGGATGGCAGCAGAATCACTCACACTCGAGGAACGGGAGGAGGTCTAGGAGTGCTGTGTCTGATCCCGTGTCCTTCCACGCGGGCAGGGGGACGAGATTCTCCTTTTGCAGTACAGACTGGGGGAGAGAGCTGATGTAGATGACCTTGTTGGGGTCACGGTTGAGCTTGGATAGGTCCTGAGATGATGTTGACGGATTGCGCGAGGGAGACGGAAGACAGAGCATGAGAGGGAGGCAAGGGACCACTGACTGCTTCTGAGGCGCGTCAAAAGTAAATTCTCCTTCTGCAGCACCGACTGGGGCAGAGAGGTGATGTAGATGACCTTGTTGGGGTCTCTGTTGGGCTTGGATAGGTCCTGATGTAGGGGGGAGGAAAAGATCGAGGGAAGGAGACGGAAGGAAGGCCATGAGAGGGAGGGAGGGGAGCTCCTAGTGAGGCAGAGCGCTGATGTAGATGACCTTGTTGGGGCCTCTGTTGGGCTTGGATAGGTCCTGATGTAGGGGGAGAAGAGGGAAGGAAGAGGGGGAGATGAGGAAAGAGAGGCAACGGAGACACATCGAGGCACGTGAAAGACCGCGAATGGCCTTGTGGGGAGATCGCAATGGAGCTTGGAGAGGTTTGAGTACTAAGGAGAACATAATGCCCATGATTTTAGGGGTAGAAACAGCACGTACCCGCACATAGTTCCCGTCAGTGAAAGGATCCCATCCCGGTAACGAGGTGACTTTTGAGTCAACTCAAAAGTCACCCCGCACGTAGATCCTGTCAGTGAGAGGGTCCCATCCCGGGACAGCCGGCAAACCACTTCTGAGACGTCTCAAAAGTCTGCTCTGAGAATAGAGGGCGACACACACACTCACAGATCGCCACATACCCGCACGTAGTTCCCGTCAGTGTAGAGTGTTCCATCCCGGTATAGGCGGTAGCGAATGCACCCCTTCTGATCCAGACGATCCAATATGGGATCGACAGACTGCAACAGTTGGGAGATGAGGGGGAGGCAGGGATAGAGAGAGTGCGTGTAAAGGCAGAGAGAGAGGAAAAAGGCAGAGAGAGAGGGAGAAAAGGCAGGGAGAGAGGGGAAAAAGGTAGATATCCCGTCAGTGTAGAGTGTCCCATCCCTGTAAAGAATGTAGCGAATGCACCCCTTCTGATCCAGACGATCCAACATGGGGTCCAGATGAGGGAGGTGATGAGGGGCGATGAGGGGCGATGAGGGGAGATGAGGGAGGTGAGTGGGAGACAGGGAGAGGAAAGGAGAAAGGCAGCTGTCCCGTCAGTGTACAAGGAGATGATAGCGAATGCACCCCTTCTGGTCCAGGCGATCCAACATGGGATCCACAGACTGCAACAGTTGGGAGATGAGGGGGAGGCAGGGATAGAGAGAGTGCGTGTACAGGCAGCTGTCCCGTCAGTGTACAAGGAGGTAGCGAATGCACCCCTTCTGGTCCAGGCGATCCAACATGGGATCCACTGACTGCAACAACAAGTTGGAAGATGAGGGGGAGGCAGGGATAGAAAGAGTGCGTGTACAGGCAGCTGTCCCGTCAGTGTACAAGGAGATAGCGAATGCACCCCTTCTGGTCCAGGCGATCCAACATGGGATCCACTGACTGTGATGGGGAGGGGAGACAAAGGCAACAACGGAAGTGATGATGGAAAAGGGGAGAGGGTCTTATCGCGGTACAGGTAACCAGGTAACGCGACTCACCAGATTCAGCTGGTCTGAGAACACCACCACTTAGAAGAACTGCGCCATTCTCTCCAGAAACGCCTCTGCGCCCGGAAAGGCCCAGAAATGGCCGGATTACCAGAACGAAAACAGTACTGCAAGCATCTAACACGACCCACCAGATTCAGCTGGTCCGAGAACACCACCACCTCAAAGAACTGTGCCATCCTCTCCAGAAACGCCTCGGCGCCCGGCCGCTTGAACGTGCGCCAGAGCTCCCCTGAGAGCCCCCCTGAAAGCCCCAGAAACGCCTATTGTGCTGCGCTGTGCTGTGCTGTGCTGCGCTGTGCTGCGCTGTGCTGCGCTGTGCTGCGCTGTGCTGCGCTGTGCTGCGCTGTGCTGTGCTGTGCTGCGCTGTGCTGCGCTGTGCTGCGCTGTGCTGCGCTGTGCTGCGCTGTGCTGCGCTGTGCTGCGCTGTGCTGCGCTGTGCTGTGCTGTGCTGCGCTGTGCTGTGCTGTGCTGCGCTGCGCTGCGCTGCGCTGTGCTGTGCTGTGCTGTGCTGCGCTGCGCTGTGCTGTGCTGTGCTGCGCTGCGCTGTGCTGTGCTGTGCTGCGCTGTGCTGTGCTGTGCTGCGCTGTGCTGCGCTGTGCTGTGCTGTGCTGCGCTGCGCTGTGCTGCGCTGCGCTGTGCTGTGCTGTGCTGCGCTGCGCTGCGCTGCGCTGCGATGTGCTGTGCTGCGCTGTGCTGTGCTGTGCTGCGCTGTGCTGTGCTGTGCTGTGCTGTGCTGCGCTGTGCTGTGCTGTGCTGTGCTGTGCTGTGCTGTGCTGTGCTGCGCTGTGCTGCGCTGTGCTGCGCTGCGCTGCGCTGCGCTGCGCTGCGCTGTGCTGTGCTGTGCTGTGCTGCGCTGCGCTGTGCTGTGCTGTGCTGCGCTGTGCTGTGCTGTGCTGTGCTGCGCTGCGCTGCGCTGCGCTGTGCTGTGCTGTGCTGCGCTGCGCTGTGCTGTGCTGTGCTGCGCTGTGCTGCGCTGTGCTGCGCTGCGCTGTGCTGTGCTGTGCTGTGCTGTGCTGTGCTGTGCTGCGCTGTGCTGCGCTGTGCTGCGCTGTGCTGTGCTGTGCTGCGCTGTGCTGCGCTGTGCTGCGCTGTGCTGCGCTGTGCTGCGCTGTGCTGTGCTGTGCTGCGCTGCGCTGTGCTGCGCTGTGCTGCGCTGTGCTGCGCTGTGCTGCGCTGTGCTGCGCTGTGCTGCGCTGTGCTGCGCTGTGCTGCGCTGTGCTGCGCTGTGCTGCGCTGTGCTGCGCTGTGCTGCGCTGTGCTGCGCTGTGCTGCGCTGTGCTGCGCTGTGCTGCGCTGTGCTGCGCTGTGCTGCGCTGTGCTGCGCTGTGCTGCGCTGTGCTGCGCTGTGCTGCGCTGTGCTGCGCTGCGCTGTGCTGTGCTGTGCTGTGCTGTGCTGCGCTGTGCTGTGCTGCGCTGTGCTGTGCTGTGCTGTGCTGCGCTGTGCTGTGCTGTGCTGTGCTGCGCTGTGCTGTACTGTGCTGTGCTGTGCTGTGTCGTGCTGTACATAACCAATCCCGTCTTACCAGATTGAGCTGGTCTGAGAACACCACCACCTCGAAGAACTGCGCCATTCTCTCCAGAAACGCCTCGGCGCCCGGCCGCTTGAACGTGCGCCAGCCACGGTCCCTCTTCCAGTCGGAGTGCACGAGAGTTCCCTCTAGGTCCAGCACGAGGGTATAGACATGCGCCTCCTGGGGTGTGAGGTCTGGGAGTAGGCGGTCCGATGCCGGCTGGTTGAACTTCTGCTTGGGGCGGGGGGGGGGGGGAGGGGGAGAGAGGGGAGGGGGAGAGAGGGGAGGAGGAGAACATCCAGGTTTAGCACAAGAGTTCCCGTTTTTCCCCCTCGCCGCTTGCACGTGCGCCAGCCACGGTCCCTCTTCCAGTCGGAGTGCACGAGGGTTCCCTCTAGGTCCAGCACGAGGGTATAGACATGCGCCTCCTGGGGTGTGAGGTCCGGGAGGAGGCTGTCCGATGCCGGCTGGTTGAACTTCTGCTTGGGGCGGGTGGGGGGAGGGGGAGAGAGGGGAGGGGGAGAACATCAAGGTCTAGCACAAGAGTTCCCGTTTTCCCCCCTCGCCGCTTGCACGTGCGCCAGCCGCAGTCCCTCTTCCAGTAGGAGAGCACGAGGGTCCCCTCTAGGTCCAGCACGAGCGTGTACACGTGGGCCTCTTGAGGAGAGAGGTCGGGGAGGAGGCGGTCTGATGCCGGCTGGTTGAACTTCCGCTTGGAAAGTACCGGAGGGAGCATGGGCACGAGAGTATCAGAGGAAAGTGTCAGGTCAGGCAGGTCACGCTCTGCCCAGAACAGCACGAGCGTGTACCCATAACCTCCTGAGGAGTGAGGTCGGGAAGGAGGCGGTCCGATGCCGGCTGGTTGAACTTTTGATTGGGGAGAGGGCAGGGAGGGAGGGAGAAGGGAGAGGAGAGAAGTGAAAAGAAAAATGGGGATGACACATGGGAGGGAGGGATGGAGATGGGAGAGGGGAGAGGGGAGAGGCACACACAGACGCATGTACTCACATGAATGCGCTCTTCCACGTCTGCCCGCGTGTCGACATACCATTGGGCCACATCCACAGCAGCTGAGCGGGGGCACACGGGAAGGTGGAACAAGGGGTGAAAGAGGGCGGAAAGGGGTGGAAATCGGTGGAAAGTGGTGGGAAGGGGCACTTCTGAGGAAAAGACATACCATTGGGCCACGTCTACAGCAGCTGAGTGCACACAGAAATGGTAAGGAAGGGGTAGAAAAGCGTGAAAAGGGATGGAAAGGGGTGGAAAGGGGAAGAAAGGGGTGGAAAGGAGTGGAAAAGGGAAGCGTAAACCCTGCCCACATCCACCCTCCCCACATGCACCCTTCCCGAATGCACCCTCCCGAATACAGCCTCCCTCCGTAACCTCACAAGCACACTGTTTGATGCACTCACCATTCAGGCCCTTGGTCACCAATTTGTCCAAACCCTGTCACTATCACCCTCACATGCACATAAGAACCCCTTGGTTGCCCAGACTCACGAATCATTGCACTTACCATTCAGTCCCTTAGTCACCAATCCGTCCAGACCCTGTCCGCGAGGAGGCACGAGGGCTTGAGGGAAAGCGGAGGGAGAGGGGAGAGGCACAGATAACACCCTGACGTACGTGCACGCACTCTGACATGCATGCACTCACCATTCAGGCCCTTAGTCACCAATCCGTCCAGGCCCTGTCGGCAACGAGAAACGAGGGTGCGAAGGAGAAGAGGAGGGGGAGGGGAGAAAGAGGAGGGAGAGGTGAGGTGGGGTGAAAAGATATGCACAAGAAGATCAATGATGGGAAAAAAATATATAATCATTTTCTGATGATGACAATGGTTGGATTTCCGAACTCTCAGATGATGCCTTCCCTCTTTAGTCAATTGAAGCACATCTGTCGTATCGTGCCCACACTCACTCCCCATACACACACTCACTCACTCACTCCCTCCCTCTCTCTCTCACCTCCTGGGGTCTCTTGCTAATCTCCTCTCTCTTCTCCTTGGTCCACTGAATCACATCTTGCTTGGTTTCATGCAAACCCACACACGCAGTCACACCCACACACACAGTCACACCCACACACACAGCCACACCCACACACACAGTCACACCCACACACACAGTCACACCCACACACACAGCCACACCCACACACACAGTCACACCCACACACACAGTCACACCCACACACACAGTCACACCCACACACACAGTCACACCCACACACACAGTCACACCCACACACACAGTCACACTCACACACACAGTCACACCCACACACACAGTCACACCCACACACATCACACCCTCCCCCCCCCACTCACTCACTCACTCGTTCGCCAAGTCACTCTCTCCCTCACTCTCTCACCTCCTGGGGTCTCTTGCTAATTTCCCCCCTCTTCTCCTTGGTCCACTGAATCACATCCTTTGTCTCATACGCTGAAGAGGGAGGGAAAAGCGAAGTGAGCGGGAGTGGAAACGGGGGAAAGGGGAAGGGGGAGGGTGGAAGGTGCGGGTTTATGTCTCGTCTCATTGGTCCACTGAATCACATCCTTTGTCTCATACGCTGTGAGACAGATTGAGGGGGGAGTGCGGGTGTGCAGGGCAATGGGGGGGGCAATGGGGGGGCAATGGGGGGGAAATGGGGGGAAGGGGCGTTCGCTGAGGCGCTTCAAGTGACTCTCTCTTCTCCTTGGTCTACTGGTTCACATGAGAGGTGACTTTTGAGTCGACTCAATAAGTCACCTCCACTGAATCACATCCTTTGTCTCAACGTACCATACGTGACATACGCGCACCCTCCGCCAACACCCAGAACGGCAGTGCCTATTACGGCTTGCGCTGCGCGCAGCAGCGGATGCCGCGATCCGCGGGATCCCCCCTGCGCCGCCTCCGCAGCCGCTCCGCCCGCCGCAGCTGCCGCTGGGGAAGCGGTAGCGCTAGGGGGAACCTCCGCAGCTGCGCCTGTGCTTGCGCTTCCGCTGGCGGCTTCAGCCGCAGCGGAGGAAGAGACGGCGGAGGATGCAGCCGCGGTGAGCGGGGCGGCGAGTGACGTTAGCAGACGGGCGTGGACAACTGGATCTGACGTGGACTGCAGCGACGCGGATCCGAGTCGCGCGATACGGTTACGCACGATATTCATCATGTGGCACGTGTTTGACACGTGCTTAACACGTGGACTTGAGGAATGGACGAACACGAGAAGGCTCGAGAGGAAACGTTATGGGACTACGATTGCACACGTGCCGTTTGTCAGACTATCTCCAACCGTCTGACACGTCAGCAGTCAGAACTCCTCGAGCTGTCGAAACGTCGGATCGTCAGCAGCACCGGTAATGGCAAGCGGAGGACGGGCGGTGAAGGCGATCGGCGAAACGGAGGAGGGTCGGCGAAAAATGGAGGAGGTTCGGCGAAGAATCTCGAAGGCGCCGGGCGGGATGAAACGAAATGAGCGACGAGGGAGCTCGTATGGGCTAGTGGACTGATGACGGACGAATCTACGACTAGCACGTTCCTAGCTGAGGTCTCTTGCACACAACGGGAACTTCCCTAGTAATATCCTGCTGTGGTACGTGTGGATCCTTCCGCTGATGCCTAGAATGGATCTGTAAAGACGGGATATGGTTTTCCTGTCTGTACTTCTGCAGATTGATAAGTCTCTAATGCAATATCGCGTACAGCGAAGCATCGCCTGGCCTTCCTTCTGTGCTGCGTTGTCCCGCAGATGGTGGAGATTCAGGGTGTGGGCCCAAACGGGTTTGATCGCCTCGATCAGCAACGATCAATAATTTCCAGGAAGCCTGGAAGCCAAATTCAGGCAATCAGGGGCAATCAGCTGATCGCGATCAGCAGATCGCCCAACCTCGATCAGACCCGATCCGATTTAACCCCGATCAGAGTCGATTTTCCTCGATCACAGGCAATCAATTGATTGCTTGTGATCGGGGCACCTAGCGACGCTTGCGAGTAGTTACAATGTTGCATTTACAAAGAAACGAAGATTTTCGCCAGGTGAAGCCTGGTCGTCAATCTCGCTAAAATGGTGACGAAAATGCCACGCAAATGTATCGCGCTTGCTGAGCAGGCGCTGACAACCTTCTCCGAAAATCATTTCTGATTGGGCGGCTCGGGCACTACGATCACAAGCAACCCGATCAGATCCAACCCGATCAGATCAGTCGCGATCAAACCCGTTTGGGCCCACGCCCTCATATCTGACACAACTCACCAACCAGGCGCGAGCAGCTTGGGCCGCGGTTACCTTCGGTGCGCTACCCTTTAGCGATGTATCATTAGAACCAATAAACTGTTCTTGAACACAAACTGAATTTCGATATTTGTTCAGTTTCAACAAATCGCGTCACCTTTTCGTCTCTCTATATATGCTTACCACCATAATGAATAAGCGATTTTGCATTTAGCCAGGCACAAACACCCAAGCTACATGTACACTCCTTTGATAAGGTGACCTAGAGACAAAGATTGCAGCGCAATGCAGCTGAGCGATCAGGCTTTCATGCAAAGACCTTGGTGCTGATCTTATCAAGGTGGCTTCAATTTGACGTTAGGAAAATCAACTTGAACGTTTTTACTTGCCAGCAGACCTGCAACAGGGGAGCACAAGAGGGCAGCACAATCACGCAGCAAGCATTCAAAAGCATTGAGATCACTACTGCAGAGAACGACAAAACCAAAATGAATGATCATAAGGCCATCTTTCAGGACGGACCTTGGTGCAGAATCTGCGGATTCTCACGAACTGCCTATCAAGCGGTTGCTTCGTTATAAACAGATTTTTTACGAACAACCTTCTCAGCTCATCTTGTGTTGAGTGAGCAGTGTCCATCTCCTTGGGATTTATCTCAGCAAGGGGATGAATGCCCAGTTTATTTCTAATAAACTAGGCCTCGTTACACTCACGCATACATTGGCGCTTCGTTACAAGCACAATCACTGAAGAATCTCACCTCATCTTGCGCAGAGCAGTCTGCATCTCCTCGCGCTTCACCTTGGCGCGGCGGTGCGTACCCAGCTTCCGCTTCGCAAGCTTCAGTGCGCGCTTGTCCTTGCCGACCTGTGTGTGCCCAGGGGGGTTGAGGGGGAAGGGGCGGGGCAGGGCGGGGGAGGGGAGGAAGGGGGAGGGCGGAAAGGGGAGAGCGCGGGGGAGTGTTTTCTAGTAGACTCAAGCGCGGCGGTGGGTACCAGCTTCCGCTTCTCCATGTTCAGTGCGCGCTTGTCCTTGCCGACCTGCGCGAAGGATGAGCGCAGGGGGAGGGGGGAACGGGAAGTGGGGGTGCGGGGGGAATGGGGGGCGGGCGGGGGGGAAAGAGGGCCGGAAGGCATTGGAGAGGGGAGGGAGGAAGCGGAGGAGGGGAGGGAGGAAGCGGAGGAGGGGAGGGGTGCGGAGGAGGGAATGGAGAGAGGAGCGGGTTGAAAAATGAGGGGACATTGGAAACGTGAACCACACAAACATTTTCAAGTTGCATCGGTTGCGCTTGCGCTACACCCTCGAGAAAAAACAGGAATGCTCGATCAAGCGACGGTGCGCGAGCAAGACTATGTTCGGCGACGCTGGGCGACGGCTAGGGGACGAAAAAAAACGGATCCCCGAGAAACTCACGTTTGAGAAAAAAAAAACAACGCTGCTTGGACATGACGTGGTTTCAAAAAACAAAGACCAATCGGGCACACTCGCCTTATTAGGCTATGCGAAATACCCGATCATAATGTCAAACTGTGCGAGCCGTCCCTCCCAAGCCATACCCTGAATTTGCACATGCCTGCCTTGCCTACCCGCCTGAAACTAGCGAGTCGGCACATTTGCATTGATTCTGCTACGGATCAGCAACTGCCTAAACCTAACGAGTCGAGCCTACGTCTTCACGTACTCCTGCAACCAAACTGGTTTTCATTCAAAGCGCCTCTCGATACAACTCAAAAGACACTTCGGCTTCGGCTTGACGACTGCCTGAAACATGAGAGCCTGCCCTAGGTCCTCAACGTGCCGCTGAAGCAAGAATGATAATCAATCCAGGTGCCTACGCCGATCCCCAAATCTGAGAGGCACAATCGCTGAAAGTGTGTTCGGAACCTGTGATCGCCGCGCCAAATCGCTGAAACGTCACCGGTTTTCGCTCCGTTAATAGACTAACCTAGATACCTTACTGAACCGCTCCCGACACCGCAATACACCTCTCTTCAGACCGTCACTTCCGCTTCCCGAGCTACTGTCGACGGCGACACTGCCGAAATGAAGCCCAGGAATCCGGTGCTTGAAGTCTAGCGGAAATGAACGCAAACAAATGGATTCAAACGGATACAAATGCAGCCAGAGTGCGATTGGACAAACACTGCTCAGGTGCCAGCACACCTGAACACCCAATGTATAGGTAAAATATGATGGCAGAGTGGTTGATAAAAATGGCCATACCTTGAGCAGCTCCATAATTCGCTTCTCATAAGGAGAGAAACCCGCAACCTCGCGAATCAGACCGCGGACGAACGCTCCGCGCTTCGACTGCAAGCACCGCGGGCGTAACAAGAGGGAAGCACCGACAGTATTACGATACGTAGCACTTTGAAACTCTAAACCCGATCAGCGTACGTCCTTCCATATAAACGAAACCCTACGATGTCGGTCGACGTGCTAGAACATGCGAGACCCTGAAAGACAAGGCCGGGGATGCTGAAAAGGACCTACCGCCCGTGTCTTGGGCTTCGAGATCTCCCTCTTGGTCACGACGTGACCCTTGTTGAGGCCTACTGCGATTCCAGTCATGGTGGCCGCGGAAAAGCTAAGGGAAGTGGAACGAGCTAAGGACGTTGCCGCTAAGGGTCGGGAAAAGGAGGACAACCAAGTGAGAGAAACCCTAAAGAGCTTCTCGTGGGGGAATTAGCTGTGGGGAGGAGGAGAAAGGGGTACAGAGATGTGTACAAGATTCGTTTATTCTATACACAAGAACAAGAACACCTTGAAGACGAATTAGCTTGTTATATCGAGGATGAGAGATGAGGGGTGGTGCAGCGCAATAGTGTGGTGCGTTACATCAACGCGTTTTGGGGCTTTGTGGTTCTCCAGGGCAGTCGGGCAGCAATCTCTTTCGTGTGAACCACCCTTTGTCAATTCTAGTGTACAGGATTGATTTATAGAAACGTCTTCACTTCACGATGACGCTTCGTTGTGGCGAGCGATATATCCATGTCTAATAGGAAAGCGACAAACACAAAGAGACAAAGACAACGCGGCGCGACAACTGTCACACGCCCCAACGAAGCAGCACAGCATTGCAAGAAGCGGGGAAAGTCGAGTCGCGACTATCCTTTTGACACATTTCCAAGCCATCGGCCCCCCAAGCACCGTCATCTGTGGCTTCCTCCGAAGCTACGGAATCGCGGTTTGGACGGTGGCTTGGGGGAAACAGGGGAGCCAGCTGCATCAAGAACGGTACATATTCGGCGCCCTCTCCCCAATTCGGTTCATTCTACTACCGACCATCAAACTCACTCAATCCAAACATTTCTATGAACGAGCAACCAGCATTCTACTTCACTTCCCTTTACCTATTCAATAGCTGACCCATTCCAGTTCATTTAGCAGTCTCCGTCATTCGACATTTAGAATAATCACCTCGACTTCTTTCCTGAAATACCTGAAGAGCTTACTTCCGTTCAACTCTTAGCCCTTCTAGCTAGCGCCGCAGCTTCCGCAGTAATACCACCAGCGGCTTCTGTTAGTAACAGTATGGCTAGCAAGTCGAAGCTCGAGCTTACACCATCCAGCGAGCTTTCTAGCAGATACACGCTCAAGGAATTTCTGGGCGAGGGCCAGTATGGCACAGTGTGGCGTTGTGAGAAGCGCGCGACGGGCGAGCATTTCGCTCTCAAGTACATCGACCTCACGAAGTGCAGCAGCAGGGCCCGCCGCGCAGCCCTCGGCGAGGTCGAAATCCTGCAAAAGATACGCGATTCTGGCTTCTCCGATAGTGTCGTATCGCTCAGCGACGTGTACGGGGACAAAGACTCACTTTATCTTGTAATGGAGCTGTGCACTGGCGGGGATCTTCTCGAGCTCATCCAGAAGCGGCCCGGCGCGTTTCTTAGCGAGGCGGAATCGCACCACGTGTTCATGTCTGTAGCGCGCGCCTTGAAGCAGTGCCACACCAGCAGCATCGTCCACCGCGACATCAAACCCGAAAACATTCTCCTCTGCCCGGTTTCGAAACTAGAGACCACCGCCGCCGCCGCCGCCGCCGCCGCCGCAAATAACGACGCGTAGTTCCCTTACACCGCGAAGCTCGCGGATTTCGGACTCGCTGTGGACGTGCCGTGGTGGCAGCAGATTCGCGGGTATGCCGGCAGCAAGCCGTATGAGGCGCCGGAGGTTATGGCGGGGATTGCGTACGACGAGTCGGCGGATATCTGGAGCCTCGGTGTGACTCTCTACGCGATGCTTTCAGGAAAGTGGCCGCTGTTTAGAGGCGGGAAGCGGGTCCTGGACGATAAGGTGGATTTCGCATCGGACGACTGGAAGGATCTCATCCGTCGGATGCTGCGCGTGGATGTGAACGAACGGTTCACAATTGACGAGGTTCTGGCGCATCCATGGGTTCGTCCAGCAGTAGTAGCAGCAGCGGCTCAGGAAGAGATGGAGACCGTTGATCTGTCGGAGAAACTAACGGCTGTTGTTGTTTCGCGAACCGACGCTAACATCACCTCTGGAATTGCCGAAGCCGATTCTGAAAGCACAGCTACCAGCGCCGCGATATTCGCGTCCGAAGCCAAGTCCACCGTAAGCACTGCCTTCAAGTCACACGCCACCACCCATGTCCCCGATACAAAACGATCCGACACGACGGGAAGCATGTCTTTGGCGAGCGCAACCAACAGCACCGACAGTGATTGCGGGAGCAACGCAGGGAAGCCGCGCTGGGGTGGAAAGCTGTCTCCCCGCACCGTTCTGCACCGCGTCATGAAAGCCTTCTCGCCTCTCACGCGCCAAAAGGAGGCGTCGTGCATCCCCATCGAAGTTCTCTGAGCATCTTCGTTATTAGATGATCCAGTAGTCGAGTACCGACCTCTTGTAGTTTAGACTTCACTCTGCTTCTAGGGCATCAGGAAGAGTTGCTGTGGTGCCCGGAGTTCATAGGGTACGATCCCGAGCACCCCAGCAACTTATTCCTTGCAATTGAAATGTTCGTAAATTTCCTTTGAAATCATAACTGATTTCCTATCTACAAATAACAAATTTCTTGCAGCAAGCTAGTTCAAAATGGACTCTCGAAAATTGTTTAGGGAGGAGCTACGATGGAGCTCTCCGATTATCCCTTTTCACCCCCGGCTGGAATTCTGGAAAGGTGAAAGCGACGAGACGTTGTTTGATTGAGGTCAGTGGTGCGGAAATCCCTATGCCCGTTGCATGCAAGCGATTAGGGACTCTCGGAGTTGGTTCAATGCGCCTGAAGTGTTCCTATGTCCACATTGACACGACGGCAATAGTCCCAGCAATATGATTTGGGAGGGATGGAATGGAACGTGTTACGGTACTTGCATCACGGGCCCACGCCATCTTGTGAGTTGCAGAAGAGCGGAGCAATGCAGCTCATTGTGAAAGGAGTTTTCAGCATGCTGCTCAAGCTCTATGGCATGGATGTACCACTTAGAACAGAGTATTTACGGACTTCATCCGGCAGTCAACACCAGATTTTTATTGGTGAAATCATATTCTACACGCTACAATTGAGAGGTACCTACCCTCAGATTCATGGTGGAACAGTCACTTCCCTCCCAAAAAAGGGCTCCTATGCAAATCATCCTAGAGCATCATCACCATACATAAGCAAATTATACAAAAAGCTGCTGCAGCTGTAACCTCAATGAGGCCTAATGCATAGCATGCTGCCACGTCGGCGCCCTAATGTTACAACTTGATGTTAGTCCTGTAGACGCTACTCGCCGTCCAATACGGGGGAATCGCGTTTCGCACTATAACGGGTCTCGGTTCCGCCCGGGGCCAGATGCGAAACGACAGCGCTTTGCCGGTTAACGGCTGGCCGACAAGTTCAAAGACGGTGCCGAAGCTTCGCTTCATCATGAACCACGGCCCTCCGCCGACCGACAGATCCATCCGCTTGATGTCCCCCGATCCGCCAACGTTGAGCGGAAGAACTGGCGGAGGGGGAAAGAGGAGCGTGCATAAATAAGTGTTATGAGAGAGGCGGAGTACGAGACCCGCCCAAGTGTGCGGAAGGGGCGAATGATCAGGGGAGCAAGAACATGTGGAGCAGCAATGCAGGGGAGGGATGAACTGTGGGTAGTTATGGGCGAGAAAAGATTGGGAGCTCCGTCCGCCCAATGTTCCCCCAAATGTCCTCTAGTCTCCCAAGTTACGCGGAACAGCTGGGGAAGAAGGAGCGAGTATTCCATTGTACGTTCATTCATGAGACGTCATACCGTCGCCTGGAGTGTGAACCGTAATGTAGTAACTATCACCTGCAACATTAGAGATCAAACACATCATTGCACTCGTACCTGAGATGTAGAAACCGTCGCCTGTAACATTGAACATCACACCACCGCCGCTCGGACACCGCACGCGCGACACCTCCACCGGCACCACTCCAACGGACGGATTCCGCGCGATTTGCGCCCACACGTCGCTCGATAGAGTCACACTCAGCTTCCCGCCGTCGCACCAACCGCCGTACGACGCCGCGGGACAGAGGTTCGTGATTTTAACGGTGGGTGAGACCGCTCCCGGGATGCATTGCGGGCTGTTGACGCAGCGCACTCGTATGCACGCGCCGCATGCTTGGCCTCCTGCGTAGATTCGGGCAGAAATAGACGCGGTATAGCCGGGCGCGATACCGTATCCGCACGAGCCGTACTGGCTGTTCTGATTAGCGTAGTATGTAGCCGTGAAGCCTTTAACCCACTTGTTATATTGCGCGGAAGCCACTAACGCGAACGAGAGAAGGCAGAGAGATATTAGGAGAGAGAATCTTCTGAGCGCGCCCATAATTTTTTAGCTATGAGGAGTCTGACTACGTGGGACGATAGTGATTGAAATGCACTAAGCAGAGGCGTGCAAAACTAGGAGACTATCGCGCAGCAATGGTGTGACGACTGCCGCTAGCCTCACTCCAGTTCTTGAAAGCGTGGGAAGTGTGGAAAACAGCAGGGCTTGTAGCTTCGCTGCGAAGCCTACTTTGAAGAGCGATTTTTGTTTTTTTTTTCCCCGAATGGAAGAATGAAAGCGTAGCGGCGGCGGTGGCGCGTCTCTCGCAGTGCTGAGTCACACGCTGAAAAGCTGAGAAAAAAAGTGGTGCTTTGGGTGCCGGGTTGTGAATTGTCCTGTGCGCGGCGCTGAGTGCTTGGTGGTAGGGAGGGACTTGGGAGAGATGGGTGGGTGGGAAGGAAGTACGCACGCACGAGAGGTGGAGTTTGTTCAACACAGGAGCGCGAAATGCTTGTCTGCCACGAATCCCATCCCTCGCCCACGGTCTCTGTGCATATGCGCACGAAATTGGGGCGCACGAATTTGGGGCGCACGAAATTGGGGCGCACGAAATTCGGGACATGCGGCTCGACGCGTGGAATGTGAACATCTTCGCCGTACTCGTTTGTGATAGCATATGGCTCGAAAGAGAGAATTCGGTGCTGTGAGAATGCAGTTGCTTGCAACAAGAGCTTCACAAAGTCAGTGCTTCACACATCAATTACATATACCATGTAGCAAGCAAGATTCAAGAAATAATTGTGTGGGATCAGTACATTTTTGCAGAACTATATAATCCATGGAGCACTTGATTCCGTTAAGACATAATCAGGAATTTAGGGACTCCTAAACAACAACCACCCACCCAACCACCCACAACCACCCACCCACAACCACCCACCCATCTCCCATGTACGGTACCTTCAGTCCTTTCAAGAATAGGTCTCAAACGCTCACCTTATGCCATACAGGGGCCCATACCGCATATGCACGGGCCTTCCCTCTGAAGCCATCCATTCAGGAATGGTCTCTATCAGGTCTTCCATCCAAAGCTTCCGGTTCGGTTCGGGGTATTCCTCTCAGGAACCTTCCGATTATGGTCCTCTCCGGTTCAGGGTGTTCTTGTCAATACCCCGAGCGCGGCTGGTTTCGCATTTGTCCGGATCCGCCCTTCCCCGAACCAGGGGACATTGGGGACGACGAGCCGTACGGGGCGGGCGGCACCGGTGGGCGAATTCCGTACGGAGTGGTCGTGCCGCCGCCCATGCCGCCACCCATTCCGCCGCCCATCCCGCCGCCCATCCCACCGCCCATTGCCCCAGGCATTCCCATCCCGCCTCCTGCTGCTGCTCCTGCTCCCGCCAAAGCATTGGAATTGGGAGGTGCCATAGGGCTGCTGTAGCTTGAAAACTGCTCATAGGGAGAGGGGAAGAGGGGGGGGGGGGATGTAGGGGCGGTCAGGGAGACTTGGTGTTTTGGGTAGGTCCAAAAAGCAAGGTGTAGGGATTGGGGGGTGACATTGGGCTGCTGTAGCTTGAAAACTGCTGATGGGGAAAGGAGCAGGGGGTGGAGGAATTTGATAAGGAGAAGAGAATCAGTCTATGAGTCAAGAGAAAAAAAAAAAAAAAAAAAAAAAAAAACCAAGGCATTGGGATTGGGGGGTGACATTGGGCTGCCGTAGCTTGGGAAACGCTAGAGGGAGAGAGGGGGAAGAGAGGGGGAGGGTAGGAGTAGAGAGGGGAATAAAGGAAGAGAAGGAATGAGAAGGAGAGATCAAGTATCAAGGTTTAAGGCGTGCATTTAGCACCGAACACATTACCTGGTTGAGCTAAAATCCGTATCCCATGTACCCTCCACTCCACTAACCCCCTGGTAACACATCCCAGAATGGCGAAGGCGACCTAAAGGTCTGAACGCATATATGGATACAAGGTCTGAACGCATATATGGATGAAGGTCTGAACGCATATATGGATACAAGGTCTGAACGCGTATATGGATGAAGGTCTGAACGCATGTATGGATGAAGGTCTGAACGCATATATGGATAAAGGTCTGAACGCATATATGGATATAAGGTCTGAACGCATATATGGACACAAGGTCTGAACGCATATATGGATGAAGGCCTAAACACATTACCTGGTTCAGCTGAGACCCGTAGTCCATGTACCCTCCACTAACCCCCTGGTAGGGCATCCCAGAATAGCCGCTTCCTGTAACAGACAGCAGGAGGGGGAGGATGAAGAGGAGCGGCGGTGGGGTGGGGTGGGGTGGGGTGGGGTGGGGTGGGGTGGGGAGGAAAGGGGAGAAAGGAAGGGAAGGGTGGGGAAGGGGAAATCAGTGTACTGCAGCGGCAGTCACCAGTAGAACGAGCAACCATTGAGTTGACCAAAAAAAGGGAGGGGTGGGATGGAAAGGAAGCACAGGAACTGGAAGGAGACTGTGAAAGATGTGAGTTATTCTAACAGAGACACCCTCCAGAGGCCCAGATTCGGCCCTGAGCTTTCTGGTTGCCAAGGAGATACCTCTCAAGATGACCAAGGTGATTTCTGAAGGGTCTTGAAGGAGATACCTTTCTGGTGCCTTCTTTCAGGACGTCTCAAAAGGCAACAGCAGCTTGCTTCACGCGTTTCTCCTGGCCAGGTGATTCTCAAAAACGCGAATTGCCGAGTTCTGAGACGCCTCCTTGCAAAGCAAAGCCAACAGCTCTGCCACAGGACCGGCCGCACCTTCACATTTCGGTATGGCCAGAATCCTACTATCAGTCCTCCACGAACGAATTGTGGTGCTTTTTGAGATTTTCCAAAAGCGAATCACGCTGGGCTGCTTTTTTTTAACCGCCTCTCTGATGTGCCGCAAAAGAGAGAGAGAGAGAGAGAGAGAGGCACGCAATCCTTCGGCGTGTGGCGCCAATAACTCTGGCTGGCCTATCACACCAGACCCTGAACGTGGTGCGGTGCGGACTAAACTTTTGACCCTGACTGAGCCACCTGGGCACGGAACGGCTTTTGAGGCGCCTCAAAAGACACCAGACAGACCCTGTAGGTGATGCGGACTAGATCTTGGACCCTGACTGAGCCGCATAGGCACCAACCGAAACAGAACGTAAGGCTCTAATCTGTCAGAGAGCATACGATGAGAAGACGCATAGGCCTGCGCCCCACATCCCTATGTTGACTCTCGGTCACTACAGAGAGGTAACTGCATTACTCTCCTCCAACCTATCGCACCAGATGTTTGAAGCATTCAGCCGAGTTCAAAACTCATCTACTCTGATCGTGCACAAGCCTAGAGCCAAGGCTTGAAGCTCTTCATATACCAGGATGGATTTGGCCCCAGCGTCTGCGGTGGGCTGCGGTGATCTGCGGTGGCCACGCGTATGATCATTTCTTGCAACATTCACAACGGACAGCCTACGGCAGAGCAGCGGTCAGTCACAACATAGACAAGCAGACCTTTGTAATGAGCCGACTCATCAGTCTCTTTGTTGAGGAATTTCTCCCTCTTAGGTGGGTTGATAGGAGATACACAGAACCACACTCCCTCTCACCGTGCTGCACCCCATTTCCAGTCACATTCTGCATTTTCTCCCACCTCATTCAGCCAATCTAAAACCAATCCAATCAATGACCCTCGCTCACCTGCCTGTCTGTCTGTTCCCCCCTTCTCAGGAACACTAATAAAAATATTACGGAAGAAAGGGAACGAGACAAAGTGGCACAAAGTGGCCCCAGCCCAGCCAAGCAATCAATCAATACCACCTGTCTTTTGCACCTTTCAGGCCTCAAAACAAACACCATGAAGGGACGAGAAGAGAACCATGTAAAGACTGAGAGTGAGGGATCGAGAGCGAAACAAGAGAGTCATCACAGGGACAGGCTGATCCACCAGATCCAACCGCACTGCACCCCCTCTCACCGCACTGCACCAGTCCCTCTCTCCTCGGTTGTCTCTCACTACCTTGGCTCGTCAAAGGAGGCAGGTTGGCAATCTGTCCCTTCTGCCGCTCCACGTCCCGAGCAGAGGCAATGAGGTTCTTCTCCATGGCTGCGCGCTGCTCCACCCACATCCAACCGCACTGCAACCCCTCTTACCGCGCTGCATCCCCTCTCACCATGCTCCCTCTCCACTCAACGCACTACCTTGGCTCATCACGGGCGGCAGGTTTGCGAGTTGGGCTTAAAGGCGCTCCACGTCCCGAGCGGAAGCGATGAGATTCTTCTCCATGGCAGCCCGCTGCTTCACCAGGTCAAACCGCACTGCACCCCCTCTCACCGTACCGCAATCCCTCTCCACAAATATCCACTACCTTGGCTCATCACAGGCGGCGGCAGGTTGGCAATTTGAGCTTTTGAGTCGTTCCACGTCCCAGGCAGAGGCAATGAGATTCTTCTCCATGGCTGCGTGCTGCTCCACCAGACCTAACCGCACTGCACCCCCTCTCACCGCACCGCAATCCCTCTCTCCTCTCTCTCACGCATTACCTTGGCTCATCACAGGCGGCGGCAGGTTGGCGATTTGGGCTTTAAGGCGCTCCACATCCCGAGCGGAAGCAATGAGATCGAACCGCACTGCACTCCCTCTTACCGCACTGCAAGCAATCCCTCGCTCCTCTCACGCACTACCTTGGCTCATCACAGGCGGCGGCAGGTTGGCGATTGGAGCTTTTGAGGCGCTCCACGTCCCTAGCTGATGCGATGAGATCTAACCGCACTGCACTCCCTCTTAACGTGCTATACCTTGGCTCATCACAGGGGGCGGCAGGTTGGCGATTTGTGCCTTGAGTCGCTCCACGTCCCGAGCAGAGGCAATTAAATTCTTCTCCATGGCTGCGCGCTGCTCCACCAGGTCCATGTTGGCCTTCTTTTCGTACTCCACCGCTTGCCTGGTCCCATATGCATGGGCGGGGGTCATTCAGTGGAATGGGATGGGACAGTCACACACACCAACACTGCCTTGCCTAGCCTACGCTGCAATCAGCCCGCTGAGCTGAGGAGGCGGCGATTAAATTCTTCTCCATAGCTGCGCGCTGCTCCACCAGGTCCATGTTGGCCTTCTTCTCGTACTCCACCGCTTGCCTATGATATGACATGAGAACAAGCCGGTACGAATCGGTGGAATGGGATGGGATGGGATGGGATGGGGCACAGTAACACTGCCCTTCTAGCCTACGCTCTACCAACCACCAGCCCGCTGCTCCACCAGGTCCATGTTGGCCTTCTTCTCATACTCCCCCGCTTGCCTATGTACAGAACAGCAGCATGGTCATGGCATGGCAGTCAGTGGCATGGGATGGGATCAGATGCAATGGGGTGTATACCAACACTGCCTAGCCTAACCTACAGCCACCCCTCTCCCCGCTGCTCCACCAGGTCCATGTTGGCCTTCTTCTCATACTCCACCGCTTGCCTGCTTCCATATGCATGGGCGGGGGTCATTCAGTGGAATGGGATGGGACAGTCACACACACCAACACTGCCTTGCCTAGCCTACGCAACAATCAGCCCGCTGAGCTGAGGAGGAGGCGATGAGATTCTTCGCCATGGCTGCGCGCTGCGACTTTTGAGAATTCTCAAAAGTGAGCCCCGCTGCGCCACCAGAGCCCTGTTGGCCTTCTTCTCATACTCCACCGCTTGCCTATGATCGGACATGAGAATAAGATGGTATGGTGCAGTACGGTGCAGTATGGTATGAGATGGATCACACGAACCAATGCTGCCTAGCCTACAGCCACCCTTTTCCCACTGCTTCACTCCACCAGGTCCATGCAGGCGTGCTTGTCATACTCCACCGCTTGCCCATGGATGAAAACAACAAGATGGTATGGTATGGTGCAGTGCGGTATGGCATGGTACGAGATGGGCCACATGAACCAACGCAGCCTAGCCTACATTCTACCAACCATCAACCGCCTGCTCCACGAGATCCATGTTGGCCTTCTTCTCATGTCCCATCGCTTGCCGACGTTCGGACAGGAAAAAGGCTGTCATGCGGAATGGGATGGGATGCAATGGGGTAGATACCAGCAGCACTTCTAGCCTACGGTCTACCAACTGCCAACCCAAATTCGATCGATATAAAAATTGCGGGTAATGAGACGACTTTTGAGGCGCCTCAAATGGGATGGGATGCAATGGGGTAGATACAAGCACTTATAGCCTACGGTCTACCAACTGCCAACCCGCTGCTCCACCAGATCAGGTCCATGTTGGCCGCCTTCTCGTACCCCACCGCTTGCCTACGAGTGCGAACAAACATATGGTATGTGATGGTAATGGCGGTCAGTGGAGTGGAATGGTGCACGCTAACCAATGCTGTCTAATCTACAGTCAACCCGCCGCTCCACCAGACCAGATCCATGTTGGCCTTCTTCTCCTACTCCACCGCTTGCCTATGATGTGACATGAAAGAAACATGGTGTGGTGCAGTGCGGTATGGCATGGTATGCGATGGGTCACACGAAACAACGCTGCGTAGCCTACGGTCTACCAGCTGCCAACCCGCTGCTCCACCAGACCAGGTCCATGTTGGCCTTCTTCCCCTACTCCACCGCTTGCCTACGTGCGGACAGAAACAAGGTGGACATGGCATGGCAGTCAGTGGCATGGGATGCGATGCAATGGGGAATATACCAACGCTGCCTCCACCAGATGACTGTTGGCCTCCTTCTCGTATTCCCCCAGTTGTTTAAATACGGATGAGTTCAATGCGGTATGAGATGGTATGAGTCGGTCATGGCAGTCAGTGGAAATTATAGGGTGCACCAGTCAGTAGATCATGCTGCCTACGATTCAGATATCAAAAACCAAGGTACTCCACCAGCTCGCAGCTCCACCAATGACCAGCTCTTCTAGAATTGTGACAATCAACCCACTGCTCTCCCGCTCTGCTTCCCTGCTTGCTGCCCGCTGCTGCTTCATCAGAGAAAGAAATATTTGAAAATCTAGAAATCCGCCTGCTGCCCTGCTGCCAACTGCTCCACCAAGGACAGCGTCTTTTAAAATTCTAAAAATCCGCCCAATGCTCCGCTTCCCGCCGTCTGCCTTGTTGCCCCAGCCCTGCCGCCTGCTGCGCTGCTGTCTGCTGCCTGCTGCTGACTGAAAAAAAAAAAAAAACAGTCTAACGAATTTCTCTTAGGCAAGTGCCTGCTCCTTGGAGCACCGAGTTTTAGGCGCGTTAACATCATTCTTGAGATTTCTGAAAAGTGACTCAAATTTGCCTGCTCCCACCAAGCGTTGGACATGCATGCATGTGCACCAGTCAAGCACACACGATGCATTCCGCATCTTTTTGGCGGTAAAAAAAATAAAATAAACAACAACAAATCAAACAGATGCATGCAGGCGTACCAACCAACCGAGCACACGATGCATTCAGCTTTTGTGGCACCCAAAAAAACGTCTCACTTTTGAGGCGCCTAAAAAATATGATAAACAGTGGGATAAACAGTGGGATGGGATGGCTGGTGGGATACATGCATGCATGCATGGTAGAATGCATGTACAAATGTGGAACGGAAGGGGATGTATCATGCATGTGGGTGGGATGCTCACAAACTGTATGCAGAGAGATGTGCGCACATGACTTGTGAGTCGACTAAAAAAATGTGCGCACATGCAAAGAGGTTTGCGCTAGGGTTTTGTTGTTTCAATCTCACCTGGCGACGTGAGCGCCTGGGTGAGGTGAGGCCATCTATTTTCTGCCTGAGCTTTTGAGACGTCTCAAAACTCCCTCCCTCTACTAGGGTTTCAATCAATTCTTACCTCGCAAGGGCGAGCTCCTGGGTGAGGCCGTCAATCTCCTGCCTGAGCTTGGGCAGCAGCTGCACATCAGCATGCATGCGATTCAAGTCCTGGTTCATCTGCCCTATCTGCGCCGCCTGCTAAATCTTCCCTATCTGCGCCCAACTGCTGCCCCATATAGCCCATACGAGCTCACCTGGCGAGGGCGAGCTCCTGGGTGAGGCCGTCTATTTCCTGCCGCAGCTTGGGCAGCAGCTGCACGTCAGCATGCATGCGGTTCAGATCCTGGTTCATCTGCCCTATCTGCGCCGCCTGCTGCTGAATCTTCGCCTGCTGCTGCTGCAGCTGCGCGCCCTGCTGCTGCTGCTGCTGCTGCTGCTGCTGCGCCTGCTGGTGCTGCGCCATCCGCGCAGCTTCCTCCGCCTGCCTGCGTGACGTCAGCGCCTGGATCTCGCCCCTCGTTCCCTGAAGCTCCTGTTTTGCCGCTTGCAGCTCCTGCCTCAGTGTGTCTGGGGAAGATAATCAGACAGGAAAAGGAGAAGGGAAACCGGATTAAGCGGAACATATGTAAAAGAGCGCCTGGATCTCGCTTGCGGCCCGCAACTAAGGGCCGCAACTAAGGGATCTCGCCCCTCGTGCCTTGAAGCTCCTGCCTTGCCGCTTGCAACAAACACACCCGCATACCTGCGATGCATGCACTCTGCCTTAGAAAACAACACCAAGCAGACACTAGCACAACACACCTGCGCCTCGCAGGTCCGCTTCAAGCTTCGCCTTGGTATCCATAACCATCATCCCTCTGACGACCACCTGGTCCTCCTCTGTACATACACCCACATGCCTGCACCTCACTTTGACTTACAAACACTACCTAACAAACACTCCAACAAAACATACCAGCGCCTCGCAGGTCCGCTTCAAGCTTCGCCTTGGTATCCATCAGCCCTCTGACGACCACCTGGTCCTCCTTACTACATACACCCGCACTGCATGCCTGCACTGAACTTTATCCTACAAATAATACCAAAAACACACCAGCGCAATACACACCAGCGCCTCGCAGGTCCGCTTCAAGCTTCGCCTTGGTATCCATCAGCCCTCTGACCACCTGATCCTTCTCCCCAACGGCGCTTTTCAGCCGTTGGATCTCCCCCTGCGCCGCCGCCAGCTCCTGCCTGAGCGCCACGTGGGTCGCCGCCAGCCGTTGATTCTCCATCAGCAGCTGCTGAATGTCCCCCTGCTGGGCGGCAAGTTTGACCTCTAGCTGCTGCCCTGCAACGTTCTGGGCGGCAGGGGGTTGCGGAACAGGAACAGGCATTCCCTGCGGGGGAGCCGGTCCCCGAACCACCACCTGGACCGGACCCGGACCTGCGAGGCCGGGTTGGAAACCAGGTCCGGGAACGAACGGAGGTCCGGCCTGGTGAACGATAAACGGCGGCTGACCGGGCGGGCCTTGAAATTGGAGGGGCATTGGAGCTTGGCCGGCTTGTCTGGCTTGATAGACGGTTCCGGGTGCGCCGGCCGGCAAGGTAGGACCGGCGGGATGCTGTTGCTGCGGTGCGGTTTGGATCAGGCCGCTGCTGCTGCTGCTGCTGTTGCTGTTGCTGCTGAATGTGGCTTGGCGGGGGGTCCTGACGGCTGCGTCGCGAATCTCGGGTCCTGAGCGCCATTTCGTTGATTTACGCGAAAACGGGTTACGGAGACTTCAAGCGATGAGGAGGGATACGGATGAGCCTGTGCAAGAAACAAGGAGGAAAAGGAACGTACGGGAATTAAATGAACGAGGAGAAAAATTACGCTGAAGTACTTAATCATCGAAGATCAAAGGAGTTATGAATGAACGAGGGTAGAAGCGTGTCTATTCGCGAGGAAATAAAGCACGGAAGCGCTGCGCCCGAATGACAAAACTTACCCTAGTTTCATCTCAAAGGATTCCAATTCAAACTAATGTCCCTAAATTTATCGCAGACCTCAAATATATTCACTAACGAACGAGCTAAGCGGAAACCGAAGAACACGCAATCTTTCTCGAGAATATCACAATTCAGCAAATAAATGACTGTCAAGTTACGGCTGATGGAGCAGAACCAACGGCCAGATTTTTAGGACGTGCACTACAACTTATCCAAGAGTGAGCGCTGGGAATGCCAGCAGAAAATGCTGGCGAGGTGATACTACGTTTTCGCAAGTGTAACCAACCACGCTAAACTAATAAAAAACTGTTCACATATTTTCCAATCAAGAACCACCATGGAAATCTTTTGGGTAGAGTGAGGTGCACACATCAAGCCACTAGCACCTGTGGTTACAGCTCAAAACCACAACAATACGAACAAACGGGTGCAAACACGCACTGGTTCCGGCTAGAGCCGAATCCAGCAGCTAGATCACTAAAAGCTGGTATATGGAAAAGCTACACACATACACACACACACACACACACACACACACCACATGCTAGGTTCGTCGACGCGAGTAACGAAAGCTTGGGTGATTTCGGTATGGCATGGGAGTTTGTGGGTGGAGCAGACCAGAGTTGTGGTGGACTGGAACGATGGGTTGCGGATGTAAAGGTGTGTGTAGAAGATGGGAGTGGGACGTGTAGAAAGGGCGTTGAGGCAGCTTGTGAACCACCAGTGATAGGAGTGGTGGTGAAGTCAAACCGTTGATAACAAACGGATCAACGATTGAGATGATGACGCAGCTGAACAATACCGTGATTCCATCACAGTTGCGGTTGATGGGATATGGATGGGGTTTGATGGTTTCTCCCCCGTCGTGTTGCGCAACGTCACAAACAGGATCAACGGTTGAGATGATGATGAAGCTGAACAGTAATCCCGTCGCAGTTGCGGTTGATGCGAGATGGATTGGGTTTGATGGTTTCCCCCTAGTGGTCAACCCTGTTGGCTTGGCTGCTATTGCATATGGCGCAGTGTCCGCAGCAGCTATTCGCGCACTATATCATCCCCCTCTCTTCCTTCCTCCTCTCCTCCCCTCCAACCCTCCTCTCCTCCTCCCCTCCTCCCCTCCTCCCCTCCCTCCTCCACTCCTCCCCTCCACCTCCCCTCCTCCCCCCTTTTATTGCACATACGCCTCTATCACAGTCACATCATCCCGCCTCCCCCCCTCGTGGTGCACCCCTGCTGCCTTGGCTGCTATGGCATATGTTGCAGCGTCTAAAGCGGCTAGCCAACACCAGTACCATGCCATAACACTCCTGTCTTCCCCTCCTCCCCTCGACCTCCTTCCCTCCCCCTCTCTTATTGCACATACGCCACAATCACAGTCACATCGTCCCGCCTCCCCCCCTCGTGGTGCACCCCTGCTGCCTTGGCTGCTATGGCATACGGTGTGGGCTCTGTTGTGCTCTCGCCTGCTTTATGTGCCATTGAGACGAGCTTGCGAGCCACGGACTGGGGGGAGGGGAGGGAGAGAGGAAGGGGAGGGGGGGTAAGGGATGGAGGGAGTGAGACTTGTGTGGGTAGGGAAGAGGAGACTGTACTGACATTGGCTGCTATTGCGTACGGTGTTGGCTCTGCTGTGCTCTCGCCTGCTTTATGTGCCATTGAGACTAGCTTGCGAGCAACCGACTGGGGAGATAACACATGGGAAGAAAGATGGGGAGGGTGGTCATGTGAGTAGGGAAAGGGAGATAAAATGCACACTGGCTGCTATGGCATATGGTGTGGGCTCTGTTGTGCTTTCCCCCGCTTTATGCGCCATCTAGACAAGCTTGCGAGCCACAGACTACCTTTCGCTCGCTCTCCCCTCTCACCTCGGGTCTCTTGCCCTCTCCCAGTGCAGCACACAGCACGCGCACGATCGTGTCGAGAAAGAGATTGTCAAACAGCCTACCGCCTTTACCATCTCGTCCCTGCTCCCTGCTCTATGTTCTGCCATGCCCTCCCCTCTCCTCTGCTCACCTCGGGTCTCTTCCCCTCCCCCCAGTGCAGCACATAGCACGTGCACGATCGTGTGGAGAAAGAGATTGTCAAACAGACTACCTTCGCTCGCATTTAACCTCTCGACTCTGCTCTCTGCCCTGCTCTCTGCTCTGCCCTCTGCCCTCAAATATCTCTTACCCTTCTCACCTCGGGTCTCTTGCCCTCGCCCAGCGCAGCACACAGCACACGCACAATGGTGTCGAGAAAGAGATTGTCAAACAGCCCACCTCTGCCCCACTTCACTCTCTCGTCCCTGCCCTCTACCCTGATGGCTTTACTGCTCTCCTCTAGTCGATGCTGCACTCTCTGCCCTTCCCGTTGCCCCCGCAGTGAAATACCTTACCTACACTCTCCCCTCTCACCTCGGGTCTCTTGCCCTCGCCCAGCGCAGCACACAGCACGAGCACAGCGCATGCAAAAACATGCAAGTGCAGCAACCTCTCTCCCCTCTCACCTCGGGTCACTTGCCCTCTCCCAGAGCAGCACACAGCACGTGCACGATGGTGTCGAGGAAGAGATGGTCAAACAGCCCACCTCTGCCCCACTTCACCCTCTCGTTTCTGCTCTCTGCCCTGCTCCCTGCTCTGCTCTCTGCCCTCACCTCGGGTCTCTTGCCTTCTCTCGGCGCAGCACACAGCACGCGCACGATCGTGTCGAGAAAGAGATTGTCAAACAGACAGCCCACCTCTGCCCCACTACACCCTCTCGTCCCTGCTCTCTGCTCTGCTCTCTGCCCTGCTCTGTGCCCTCACCTCGGGTCTCTTGCCCTCGCCCAGCGCAGCACACAGCACGAGCACAGCGCATGCAAAAACATGCAAGTGCAGCAACCTCTCTCCCCTCTCACCTCGGGTCTCTTGCCTTCTCCCAGCGCAGCACACAGCACGCGCACGATGGTGTCGAGGAAGAGGTTGTCAAACAGCCCGTTGGTGGCTAGGAGAATGGCGTCGCCTGCTTGCACGGGGATGGTGTAGTCCTGGAGGTGTGAAGCCACGAGGGGGTTGAGGGAGAGCGGGAAAAGAGGAGTCAACGCACGAGGGCGTCAAAGGAGAAAGAGATTGTGAAACAGCCCGTTGGTGCCAAGTAGAATAGGATCGCCAGCTTGTACGAGGATGGTGCTTGGACCAAGTCGCTCAATTGGACCAAGTCGCGCTTTTGGACCAAGTCGCTCAATTGGACCAAGTCGCTCAATTGGACCAAGTCGCTCAATTGGACCAAGTCGCTCAGTTGGACCAGGTCGCTCGCTTGGACCGAGTCGCTCAGTTGGACCAAGTCGCTCACTTGGACCGAGTCGCTCACTTGGACCGAGTCGCTCAGTTGGACCGAGTCGCTCAGTTGGACCAAGTCGCGGCCCGTCCTCGGCCTCGTGCCCGATTTGGAAAGAGTGCTCCATGCGCTCCATGCGCTCTGAACGGATCACCAGCTCGCCCCTCCTCAGCAGCACAGGGGCGCCCTTGCTTGCTGTAGAGCCATATTGCCTCATCTTGGCTGAGCAAGGGGTTGAGAGCTCACCTTGGCACAGTCCGGGCCGTCCCCTGCCTCATGCCCGATTTGGAAAGGGTTGCCAAAAGAGTGCTCCATGCGCTCTGAACGAATCACCAGCTCGCCCCTCCTCAGCAGCACGAAGCCGCAACTGCCTATGCTTGCCACTCGCAGGCGCTGAACGGAAGGGAGGGAGAAGCAGGGTGAGAGAGAGGGCAGGTGTGGGAATGAGAGACGGAAGAGCGAGGATCACTCGGCCCTCTTCAGCAGCACAGACCCACAACTGCATATCAACAGCTCATTTCTAGGGCCGAGTTGTGAAACTCAGAGGCTCAACTGTTTACCAATGACGGAGTTTCAACTGCCTATACACAGCTCATTCCCGCTCAACCCTTCACAAGCGAAGGAGCCCACTCACATCTTTATCCAGCACAGCGAGGGTGATGGTGCAGGACCCGCGTAGATCAGTGCGGCTGTGGCTCTCCTCTATCACCCCCTTGGGATCCATCGGGTCTAAATCCTCCTCATCATCATAATACCCATAGTCATAATCATCCCCCCCCGCCCCCACTCCGCTCACCACCCCCCCTCCCGCGCCCGCCCTCCCCCTCCTGCCGCCCGCACCGCCGCCCATGCCGTCCAGGCTGCCGCCCGCCGCCGCCCCCCGTCCGACGCCGGCCGAGTCGTTGTGGTCGGAATCTAGCTCAGAATCAGATCTGCCGCCCTCCAGATGGTCGGCGAATTCGTCGTCGCTGTCGGCGTCCTCGTCGCTGTCTGCTCCCTCCTGCCGCGACCGAATCACGTTCACACAGTTCCACATCATCTCTCGGGAATACAGCCCCGCGTTGATTCCTGGTGGAGGGACGAGGGGTGAGGGGGCGAGGGCCGCATGAGAAAGGGCGACAGGAAACAGGAATTGCCTTTGGTGCCGTGGCGTTCAGTGAGGAGACTTGGGGTACCTGCCGTGCCGTCTCTCGAATCAAGTTAATGCAGTTCCACATCATCTCACGGGAGTACAGCAACGCGTTGATTCCTGGCGGGTAAAGTAGACAAAGGGCGGGGAGGGAGTTGGGATTGGTGGGATGCATAGAAGGGGGAAAATGGAAGGAGGGACAGAGATTGGATCACGTTGACACAGTTCCGTTCCACATCATTTCACGGGAATACAGCCCCGCGTTGATGCCTGGTGGATGCATAAAATGCAGAGGGAACGGAGTGGAAATGGGGGTGAAAAGGGGGAAGGAGTTGACTTTTGAGTCGACTCAAAAGTCAACTCCATAGAATGCAAGGGGGACGGTGTGGAAATGGGGGAGAAAAGGGGGAAGGAACAGGGACCGGATCACGTTGACTCAGTTCCACATCATCTTACGGGAGTACAGGCCCGCATTGATACCTGTGGGTTGAACAGAGAGATATGCGGTGGATGGTGTAGGGGAAGGAGAATCCAAATCATGTTGACATTGTTACACATCACCTTACGCGAGTACAGACTGTTGATGCCTGGTGGATGCATAGAAAGGGGGGGGGGGAGGAGGAGGAACAGGGACCGAATCAAGTGAATCCACATCATTCCGCATAAATGAGTCGTAAAGTACAGCATTCACCACCCCTCATCGTACCCAACCACCCCTCACCACCCCTCACCTTGGTCTGTCCACGTGCCAATGCCATCTGCCACACCTAGCCAGTTGCCTTCCACCAGATATGCGTCGTCACCCCCCCTTGACGCCTGCACACACACAACGGTACCATACAGGGAAGAACATAATGAGTTCGTTTGTTTTAGAATTCCAACAAGTATCACATGTTGCCACCCCTTTTTTGAGTCCGATCGGCAGGTATTGAGTTGACTCAAACGGTGGGGGACAGGATGGTGTGGAACCGAACCGAACCCAACCCAACCCAACCCAACCCAACCCAACCTTCGGATACAGCCCTTTTTTAATTTTCTCGAAAACCTAGAGCACAATGTAACTCCGAACACCATACATTACACTCGAAAAAAACTTACTCGGGCAGGGTGGGGCACGCTGTAGACTCCAACCTTAAGCTGTAGTTGATGCAACACCACGTCCTCCTTGCGCTCAGAGGGCTGGATGGCCAGACTGGGAGGGAATGGAGGGAGGAGAGGAGAGGGAATGAAGGAACGTCTGGCTCTCAGTTGCCTGCTTGCAGCTCGTGCAGAGCAAAACCATGACCTCCTTGCGCTCACAGGGCTGGATGGTCAGGCTGGGGAGGGAGGGAGGGGAGGAAACAGAGAGAGAATGAAGGAAAGTCCAACTCTCAGCTGCTTGCAGCTGGTGCTGAGGAAAACCCAGCTTTGCAGGAAAGTCAGACGGGATGGCCAGACAGGGGAAAATTCGGGAAAACAGACCGGAGGAGAAAAATGAACTCTTGGGAAGGGAACGATCACGATTCTGGAATCTGAGGAGGCATGGAAGCAGCGAGCATACCTGCTGCTTTCCTCCTCATGCAGACCGGTTTCTATCGCCTCCTCTCCTGTAGCTGCACCCCCTTCCTGTGCCAGCCCTTGTTCTGCGGAGGCCTGCTCTGCTGCTCCTGGCTCGGCATAAAATCCCTGTGAAGCGTAATCCTCCTGTGCTCCTTGCTCTTGCATTGCTTGCTCAACCGCTCCCTCCCCTTGCGTTATCGACTGCAGCGCCTCCAGTTCTGACTGCATCACAGGGACTGGAACAGGGATCGGGAACACCTCCTCCTCTTCTAAAACCAAGCCGTTCGGATAACTGGGATTGGAATCTGGAAATTGAGAAGCACTGGCTTCCCAACCTGCGTTGCCTCCATCCCTCTGCTGTTGCTCTCCGTATCCATCTAAGCCCTGCTGCTGCCCCGCATACCCCTGCTGCTGCTGCTGCTGTTGTTGTTGTTGTTGCTGCTGCTGCAGCTGCTGCTGCTGTTGCTGCTGCTGCAGCTCCTGCTGCTGTCGCTGCTGCTCGTCCCACCCCAACTGCACCTGTTGCTGCTGCTGCTGCTGCTGCTGCTGCTCCCTCTGCTGCTGCTCCCACTGTTGCTGCTCCCTCTGCTGCTGTTCCCACTGCTGCCGCTCCCTCTGCTGCTCCTCCCACTGATACTCCCGACTCCATGCAAATAGCTCACCATCCCCACCATCCTCCCCTCCTTCTCCCTGCTCCTCCCACTGCTGCTGCCCCTGCAGCTGCTGCTGCCCCTGCAGCTGCTGCTGCTGATCCTGTGACTGCTCCTGCGGATGATGCTGCCCCTGCCGCTCCTGCTCCTCCTCCTCCTGCTGCTGCTGCTGCTGCTGCTGCTGCTGCTGCTGCTGTTCTTGCTGCTCCTGCCGCTCGTGCTCCTGCTCCTGCTGCTGCAGCAGCACCTGCTGCTCCCTTTGCACCTGCAGCTGCTGCCGCGCCTGCCTCTCCCTCTCAGCGTCCTGGATCTGCTCCCGAAGGCTCTGTGCCTGCTGCTCCAGCTGGGCCACCCGCGCCTCTGCCTGCTCCCTCGACCCAAACCGGAACACCACCGTGTCCTCCTCGTGCTCTGCTTCAGGGATGGAAAATGGGGTACGGAAGGGGGGGAATGGGAGGGGAGAGGGAGAGGCGTGAAGAGAAGGTGTGAAGAGAGGGCTTTATCGTGCGCCTGCTGCTCCAGCTGAGCCACTCGCGTCTCTGTCTGCTCCCTGATTTTGCAAGGTATGATTTTTTTTTCCAAAAACACCCTCCTTCGACCCAAACCAAACAGCACCGTGTCCTCCTCGTGCTCTGCTTCAGAGCGTCAGAAGAGAGGGGGAAGGAGCCGACGAGGGGAGAAGGGCGGGGGGAAGAAGGGAAAGGAGTGGCATGCGGTGAAGTGTGAAGAGCATGGAGAAGGTAGGAGATGGTACAAACAAGTGGCAGAAGGGGGAAGGAAGGAGAGGGGGGGGGGGGGGGGGGGGGGTATGATGGAGGACGAGGAGGGGGGAAGAGTGTGTGTGTGAGAGAGAGGGCCGGCAAGCATGAAAACAGGTTGAGTATGGAGGGAGGGGGCAGGGGGGCAGGGTGTAGAGAGAGTATAGCATACCATGAACATCAAGAAGCACCCACGCAGCTTCCTCCCCGCCCTCCTCCTCATCACTGTAATCCAAGAACCCCACGCCCATCACCCCCCCACCCGGGTCGCTGACCCCCGGGTGGCAGCCCCCATGCTCACCCGCCTGCTCACCCCCAGGAACACCCTGAAGCCGTTCTTGAGACGCCTCAGAAACATTCCCCACGCTCATCAACCCCACCGCCTGCTCCCTAGCTCCATGCTCGGACGCCTGTACACTTTCCTGCTGCTGCTGCTGCTGCTGCTGCTGCTGCTGCTGCTGCTGCTGCTGCTGCTGCTGCTGCTGCTGCTGCTGCTGCTGCTGCTGCTGCTGCTGCTGCTGCTGCTGCTGCTGCTGCTGCTGCTGCTGCTGCTGCTGCTGCTGCTGCTGCTGCTGTTGTTGCTGTTGCTGCTGCTGTTGCTGCTGTTGCGAATGCTGCTGCTGCTGCTGCTGCTGATGCTGCTGCACATGCTGCTGTTGCAAATACTCTTGTTGATTCCACGTCTGTTGCTCATCTTCGCCCCAACCCCCAGCCTGTAGCTGCTGCTGCTGAGCCAAGTACTCTGCCTGATGCTGCTGTTGTTGCTGTTCTTGTTGCTGCTGCTGCTGCACCTGCTGTTGTTGCTGTTGCTCAAATATCTGCTGTTCCTGCTGCTGATGCTGTTGTAGCAGCTGTTGCTGCTGCTGCTGTTGTAGCAGCTGTTGCTGTTGCTGTTGCTGGGCCCAGTGTGCTTGCTGCTCCTGCCGTTGCTGTTGCTCAAATCTTTGCCGTTCCTGCTGCAGTCGCTGCTGCTCCTGATGTTGCTGCTGTTGCTGCCGGTATTCTGCTTGTGTTTGTTGCTCGTGCCACTGCTGCTCCTCGGATTGATGCCCTTGCTCCCACTGTTGCTGCTGCTCCTGCTGCTGCTGCTGCTGCTGCCCCTGCTCTTGCCACTGTTGCTCCTCGGGTTTTTGTTCCTCCCACTGCTCTGCCTGTGCAACTTGCTCTTGGACCGAATTCGCCCGCTCCTCCTGCTGCTGCTGCTGTTGCTCCTCCTCCCGCTGCTGTTCCTCCTCCTGCCTCTGTTCCGCCCACTGTTCAGACTGTGCTTGTTCTTGCCAGGCCATCGCTTGCCCGCGGCCCAATTTCTCCTGCCCCTCCCGCTGCTTCCGCTCCTCCTGCTGCTCTTCGTGCCACCGCTGCTGCTGCTGCTGCTCCTGCTGCTCTGCTTGCTGCCTCTGTTGCTCAGCCCATTGTTCTGCCTGCGCTTGTTGCTCTCGCCATTGCATTTCCTGCTGCAAATTTAACTGCTGCTGTTCTTGCTGTTGCTGCTGCTGATGCTGCTGCTCCTGCTGCTCCGAGTGTTCTTGCTGTTGCTGCTGCTGCGCTGACTGTTGTTGTTGCTGCTCCAACTGCTGCTGCTGATATCCCTCTTCTACACTTTCCGCGCCAGAACCGTGTGAAACCGCTGCATCAGCTTGAGAATCAGCCTCGGCTGACTCTGCTAAGGGATGATGAGGAGTTCTATGCGGTGACTCAACCCATGCGCTTGTTGGCGATTGAAGGGATTGCAATGAGACGGTTTCTGGTGCCAACTGGGCTACTGCACCTGCTGGTACCGTTGCTGCTTTTTCTGCTGCCGGAACTTCTGGTACTGCTGCTGCTGATACTGTTGTTGCTCCTGCTGCTGCTCCGTCTGTCGCTGCAGCACCTGCGGAACTCGCAATGGGCTGTTCGTTAGACTGCGCTTGCGCGGCTTCTCCTGCATGTGCGCGCCCTGCTGATTCCAAAGTCGCTGCTTCAATTCCATCTACTTCCGCCCCGTGATCCCCCCCATCCGCCCGCGCCTCCGCGCCCTTAAAGCTCCGCCCCGAATTCCCCCATTCCGCGGGCCCGTTCGGATCAGCGCGACCCTCGCCGAGATTGCTCCGTTCCGCTTCCGCGCGCCTTTCCGCTTCCGAACCCCCCTGCGCGAGCCCCTCTACGTTTTCCGCATCCGAAGACCCCGTGACCGGGCCCACGTAGGCCCTTGCGCGGACCCTTCCGCGGATACCTTCGCGGACACTTGCGCGGGAAGTTCCGCAGTCAATCGCGCGAGCGGTTGAGCGGACATTTGAGCAGAGATGCCCTTGAACGCTCCTTGTCGAGGCCTGGAAAAGTAAGGGTGGAGAGAGAGAAAGAGAGGAGAATGAGGGTAGAAAAAGAGAGCGACGCGAAAGGCAACACGAGAGAATGAGAACGGACGCTTACAATCATTAAATGTGAATTGAACAAATATACTTAACACATGTAATTCAGGCAGGACACAACTGCCACGGCTACTCCCTTTTCTACAATAAAGCCGCTTACCGGATGGAACTTTCCAGAAGTCCTGGAAGAACTTTGTGCGAAACAGCTGTTGGAGTTTAATTTGCGAATCGGGAACTGAGACGTCGCGCCATCCGTCGCAGCCCTGGGAATGCGACGGCGAATGTGCGAAGAGGGCTGGAGGACGAGCGAGGCGATTCCAGCTATTGGCTTCGTAACGGAATACGGAGTCACAAGAAACGACGATGGTCTTTCGAAGAGACGACACGCGACAGACTTATGGAACGGCTTTAAGGCTAATCCTGAAACGGACTTGGTGTGTGGCGAAGGAAATGTCGAGTGTAGCTGCATCTGAGTGGATCGGAAATTGGAACGAGACGGTGTGGAGACGGAAACGAGAGGCGAGGAGGAACAAGACGAAGAGTACATGACGGCGGAAGATCCGGAAAGAAGAAGTTGGCCCGTAATCGGCGTCGATGCAGGAAACACGGAGGCAGAAGAGGAAGCGGATACAGTGTTGCTATTTTCGAGTCTTTCTTAGCTGCTCCTTGGTATTCGTTGCTGTCCGCGTGTTTCGCAGCCGCTGAGACGACAGAACAAGAGGTTTTACATGCAAGCCCCAACAAGATGTTAGTGTAGACGCTTAATTTTAGGGCTTCATTTTCCTTTTACATGAAGCCCTTGCCTAGATGGGTTCTCATAAAGCGCTTAAACTAGACCGAGTCGCATCGGTGACAATGATGTTATTAAGATCCTCGCCAATCCCGCTAAACCAATCATGATAAGCGGTAACTACGAAGGGACAAATAGAGATGGGAACTAAGAATACGACCACAAAAGAGATCGTAAGAGGAGAGAGAAATCAAACACAGCAAGGGAGCCAGCCTTCTAGAAATCAGCAGCGTCAGGATGTGACCAAATAACCGAACCACCCCGACCGCCATGGATGAGGCATGAATGCTTCCAGGATGCAGTATGTATGGGTGCAGGCTAGGGAGTGGCATAACCCATGAAATAGTTCATGAATCAGAGTTCAGGCAGGTGATCAGTGGTTCCAATCGGTGGAGTAGAAACAACCGCTGTAAATCGCACAGAAGCGTTACTAAAATCTAATGTCACCGAACGTTCCTTGTAACAATCCCTGAGGTTCGGAGGTCGGCGGAGGTAGGCAGTCATGAAAGGCGGATGGCGGAAACTGGTTGTGGTGCTCAGTGCAGGGGCACAGACGGGAGGGGAAATACTGTATGCCAGCGAAGAAAGGTCTCCTACGCCTGCCAGGCGCGAAAGGGTAGAGGCCGAAGGGGAGTTCGGGGGGATGGGGACAAAGGGGAAGAATCTTCGCGGATGTGTTTGAATCACGGCGCGAGAGAATCTGTGGCTGCCTAGCATGCGAGATGTCTGAACCAATCAGGACGGAGGAACCCGCTGGCCCTGAAAATGACGACGCTGCGGCCAAATTCCCGAGCTTTGGTGCTGCGATTAACCAAAATGTGACTTCCCGAGACCAACTACACGACGTCTGTCCAGTCTATAACCAGGTGTCTTGTACAACTGAGAAATGAATTTATAATCTAGAACAAAGGAAGCTTTAGCTTCCGCAAGCAATAATGTACAACAGACACACCAACTCTCAACAGACGAGTTGTGGGTAAAAAGAACACGATGCAAGTAAAATCAGAAATATAAAAACGCCTGGTTAGCATCAACTCAAACGAAGGAGGCTGCTGCAAACTCATTAGCTAACACTGCAACAACAGGGAGCAAACACAAGGGGGGATGGGAGGCAAAGTTGACACATGAGCAGAACCGGACTCACATGCCAAAATCAACTCAAACGAAGGAGGCTGCTGCAAACTCATTAGCTAATACTGCAACAACAGGGAGCAAACACGAGGGGGGATGGGAGGCAAAGTTGACACATGAGCAGAACCGGACTCACATGACAAAAACATCCCAATGCATGCACACATGCCACAGCTTGATGTCACATCAGAAATCACATCGGCGACACCAAACAAATTAAAATCCTCACCAGGATCCACAGCCTCCTTGGGCCGCCCGCTGATGTCCACCTTGCAGAGCGGACAGCTGGCGTTGATCCGCAGCCACGTGTCAACACAGGATTGGTGGAAGTGGTGGTTGCAGGGAAGCTGTCTCAGCTCCGCCCCATCCTTGTAGTGCCCCAGGCAAATGCAGCAAACCTGGTAACCACATAACAGGAATCGGGGAGTGGGAAGGGAAGGGGGAGCAGAAAGGGGGGGGGGGGGGGGGGGGGGAGCGGGAGGAGGCAGGGAAATGGGGAGGTGATTGACTTGCCTCACAAGCCCTCCCTGCACCACGTACTTCTTGTCAGTCCCCTCCCACAGCCACCCTAGCCCACCTCCCACCTCCCACCCCCCACCTGCCACCTGCCACCCCCCACCTGCCACCTGACACCTACCACCTGCCACCTGCCACCTGCCACCTACCACCTGCCACCTGCCACCCCCCACCTGCCACCTGCCACCTACCACCTGCCACCTACCACCTGCCACCTGCCACCTGCCACCTGCCACCTGCAACCTGCCAACTCGCACCTCATGAGAACAACAACAGCTGCCATCGTCAAACCACTCCCTGATACGCAAAGAGAAAGAGCAGAAGCACAGACTTAGCAGAAACAGGGGAAGGGAGGATGGAGGAGGAAGGGACTGGGGGGGGAAGAGGGTGCGGGAGGGGAGAGCAAGACGGAGCAGGGATTGACTTGGCAGGGAGAAAAGGGGGAGAGAATAGACTCACTGCATCCTCCCCATGCACCACACGCTCCTTGTCCGTCCCTGCCCACAGCAGCCCCACCTCTTCCGACGAGCAGTCACTATCAGACTCCTCCCCCCCACCCACACTACTGCATATGATCTCGCTGCTATGGCTCCTGCTGCTGCTGCTGCTTCTGCTGCTGCTTCTGCTGCTGCTGCCGCTGCTACCAACGCCGCCGCCGCTGCTGCTGCTACTACTGCTGATGTCACAGCTGCTGGTGCCACTGCTGTATGCTCTCGAACTCAGCGTACTCTCCTCTTGCCGACTGCCCACTGCCATCGGACCATACTCAGCTGTCTCGGCAGCCTTCCTGGTTGCAGCCAGTGCTTGCTGCGACCGCCTCCGGTTCCTCCTAATGCTTGGGGAGCTGGTGGTGCTGCTGGCACTGCTGGCACTGCTGCTGCTACTGCTGCTGCTGCTGCTGGTGGCACCACTGCTGCTGCTACCGGCGCTAATACTACCACTCCCATTTCCGCTGCTGCCACTGCTGCTGCCACTGCTGCTGCTGCTGCTACTACCACTGCTGCTGCTAACAGGGCTTCGCCCAGGCGTTCTCATTCCCTCACTACCATCACTACTATCATCACCACCAGCACCATCACAACCTTCACCACCACTACCATCGCCAACGTCGCCTCTGCTGCTGCCGCCCCCCTTGCTGCTGCCCTTCCCATCCCCACCACTCCCCCCCTTCCTCCTCCGCTTCAGCTCCTTATACTTAAAACACGGCAGCGAGGCGATCTCATCGGGAGCAGCGCCTTTAGAAGCTGGAGAGATGGAGGCGATATCATTATCGAAGCCCATGAGCGTGATGATGCAGGGCAGGCAGCAGCAGATGGTGGCGCAGAGGAGGAAGGGCATGGCGTAGCTGACGCAGCTGAGGGTCAGAAACACCACGCTCAGACTGGTAAGTGGTGGGGGGGAGGGGGAGGGGGGCGAAAAGGGCAAGGGCAGTCAGCAACAGTCAGCAACAGAGGAGGAAGGGCATGGCGTAGCTGACGCTGCTGAGGGTCAGAAACACCACGCTCAGGCTTGAATGGGGGCAAAGGGAAAAAGGGGTTTTGGGTGGGTGGAGGGAGGGGAGGGGGTGGAAGGGTAAGGGAAGGGGAGGGCGGAAATGCGTTCCTCACTCACTGGTGATTTTTTCGCGTGATTTCTAGTCAGCTCAGAAGCATAGTCACTAATTGGTACAGTTTCCGGGCACTCTGGGCAGTGGTATTGACACGGTGACACCTAGTTTCTCCCATGCTGAAGCTTCCAAACTATCACCCAGCGACCTGTCTCTGGGTACAGACTCCCAGCGACCTGAGCAGCAGAGTTGCAGCCAAAGACCCAGACATCCACAAATCAGACTGAAACCAAGCCCATTTATTCCAGCTTGTTCCTCGTCAGTAGCACATTCGACATAGTCACTCAGTTGTACAGTTTTGGGGCGGCTTGGGGGGCAGAGTTGGCGCCAAAGACCCAGATATTGCCGAGCACAAACCAGACTGCAAACAAGCACTCGTTTATTCCCGTCTTGGTTCTCGCTAGTAGCACGTTTGATATAATCACTCACTTGTACAATCTCGGTGCGGCCTGTGCGGCGGAGTTGGCGCCAAAGACCCAGATATTGCCAAGTACAAACCAGACTGCAAAGAAGCAGTCTACTGCCACCTTGTATCGCTCCACCATCACCACTAGCCTGGCATTTGGAAGAACGGGAGATGGGTGGGAGAGGGGGGTGAAGAGGGAAGGGAAGGGGGAGATGTATGTGTTTGACTGAACAAGGAGCAGTCCAGTGCCCCACCATCACCACAAGAAGGGGTTGAAAGGGTTCACAGGGGTCAGCGGGGGGGAATGAAGTGGGGGCGGGAAGATGCAGGATTGAGGGAGCTGGGGTGAAGGGGACGTGAAGAGGAAAGAGGGGGAGAAATCACCTGAAAAGGCGCATGGGAATGCACCTGCAAAGAGAAACCCACCTAGATTCGTCCCGCCAGTCATCTGCGACCTCGTTCAAAAACCGCCACACGCACCCCCACCACCCCTCCCCTCGTCCCCCCAATTCCGCTGCGCCATCTCCCCCGCCGCCACTGCCCTTTCCGCCACGTAGCTCTCCCAGAACCGCGCGCTCTCATCCCTCCGCCCCGCGCCCTCCCCATTCGCGCTCACGCAGTGCGCATTTCCCCCAGCGGCCCCCGCCCTCCCCCACGTGCCCTCCGCTCTTCCACCTGGCCCCCCGCGAACTGCTCTGGTCGCCTCTCCCTCTCCAACTATAAGCTGTCCCGTTACAAGCTGACCTGCTACAGCCTGCCCCGCTAAAGCCTGGCCTGCTACAGCATGTCCCGCTACAATCTGTCCCGTTACATTCTCCACTGTTGCAACGGGCGGCTGCAGCGCCTCTGCTGACGCATGCATTACGGGATGCGGACAAGAACATGCGAGCTCAAGCAGCGGAGACTGGGCAGAGACACGTGGCGCTATGCTATTGGTTGATCCTTGTGGCGCGTGCGACGGGGAAGAACAAGGAAATCGGGAAACGGATGGTGATGGGGGAGAATCATTATGCTGTTGCTCCCGCTGCGGCTGCTGCTGCTGCTGCTGCTGCTGCTGCTGCTGCTGCTGCTGCTGCTGCTGCTGCTGCTGCTGCTGCTGCTGCTGCTGCTGCTGCTGCTGCTGCTGCTGCTGCTGCTGCTGCTGCTGCTGCTGCTGCTGCTGCTGCTGCTGCTGCTGCTGCTGTTCTTGATGCTGCTGTTGCAGCTGCTGCTGCCGCTGTTGGTGCTGCTGATGCTGCTGCAGTTGCAAGCGCGACAGCATTTCAACGCGCTGCCTAAAATCCTCTTCCCGTTGCCGCTGCTCCGCAGACCGACTCTGCAGCGATTGCTGACCGTACACCTGACGGATCGGAGGGTTCACGTAAGCCTCAGCGCTCTGCGAGTGATGTCGGGTGTATCTATGCGTGTACCTCCAGTACAACAGTGGCAGTAACAGGACACACCCTAACGCGTATCCCAGCACCCACGCGCGCAAGGGCACACTCGGCTTTTCATCCACCGACGCGAAAACAATGAACGCCGTCGCGATAATCTGACCCAGGAGAAAGACAAACTCCGCCGCCACCCAGAGACCCGAGTTCAGCGGGCTCGTGCGAACGCGCCGGCCGGCAAATCTGGAACGGCTGGCAGCCTGCACGTTAGGTCTTGACGGCCGGCGCGGCAGCTGCTCCCCCCAGTCGCCCAGCGTTGATGCTCCCAACCCCTGCTGCTGCTGCTGCTGCTGCTGCTGCTGCGACTGCTGCAGGTGATACGGATGACGAGGGTGATACGGTAAATGCGGATACTCCTCCCGCTGCGGATACTCCTCCCGCTGCGGATAGCGCTCCACCCCCTGCTGCTGTGAATCTTGAGAATGAAGTAGACCCGCATCCTCTTCCCCTTCCCCTTCCGCTCCGCCTTCCCCCGTCCAAAATCCATTCACCGCACTTTCCAAGAAGTCTCTTCGAGTCCCCCAGCCCTCTCTGCTCCCCGCGACCCTCGCCGCTGTAAGCGCGCGCCAGCGCTCTCCGCTCTCCGCAACCCCCCCGAGTGGGGAGCTGCGCGACGGAAGCGCGCCGAGCTCAGCTCCCCGCTCCGTAGAATGCGCGTCCAGCGCGAAGGTAGGGGGAATGGCGGAAGAAACGGCGGAATCCGCGGAGGCGAGAAGTTGCGCAAACCCCCCCTCGCCATCGACGTCCAGGCGCACGGGAGGCGGAGAGGCGAACGGGCGGAGGAACACGCGGAAGTCCGCCTGCGGGGAAGCTTGCTGCGCTGGTCCTCTTGCGCCTCCGCCAGCAGTGGAAATCTGCGGTGCGTCGAGAGTCCGCGGATCTTCCGTCGCGGTCGAGCCCGGAACGACATGCAACGAAGAGTTAGAAAGACAAGGCACGTCGGCATTTGGAACCAGCTCCTGCAGAGGCGACGCTGCTATTGGAGGAGGAAGCGGCGGGAGCGGCGACGTGACATCGGACTCAGATGTCAACCCCGGGATTTTCTTCAAGGGAGAGTTGGCGGCGATTTGGATGAAATGGTCCGACGCAGAGCACGGCCAAGGCGCCGACATTGCCTGCGATTCGCCGGCGGTCGAAGAAGCGGCGCCGGGCGTTTGAAACGATTGGAATTGCCCGTCGATGAGGGAAGCTGGAGGCGAGGAGTTGGACATGTCTGGGTGGTGAGGGTTGCCAGAGGAGTCCATAGTGCAGAACGGGGAAAATATACTCGTACTTGCTCGCCTCTCGACGATTTTTTTCTCGAATCAGCACTCGCGAGTCGTTCTTAGGGGTCAGAAGAGCTAGTAAGGCCGAGGGAGAGTGAGAATGCTGCGAGATATCTTACACGAATGGAATATTGGGCTTCAGGACACAAGCTGGTAACAGCTGAGAATATCCAACGAGGAGGAGATAAGATGGATTGGTATTTGGAAAATCAGGGCCGGCAGCCTGCCCCTAACTCACGGCTCGCGTGGTGCGTGGTGAGCGAGGAAGCAGGAGCAGTGCAGCTGGAACATTGTTTGGACTTGCATGAAGAGCAACCAAATATTACATTCACTGCATTCCATGGCGTTTATTGTTGGGCTCCGAAGGACGAACCACTCTGGGCTTGAAGCGCAATATTTGTGCTTCCCTGGGACTGGCAGGCACCTTGGTGTTACCAGATACCAAGGCATTCTGGTTTCCAAACCGGACCTTGGTCTTACCAGGCCAGACCAGCGCTGGCTCGGAGAACGAGCCTGGACTTTGCTTCCCGTGCCTGGAGCCTGCAAATACCTAGGCTTTTCAAACCAGACCTTGGGGTTACCAAACCGTCAGGTTTCCTGACCAAACCTTGGGCTCGCACCTGGAGGCACTAGACCTCGGTCAAGGAATCGCACGAGTTTCCCGAGGCAAAACGGCATTTGTTTCGAGGCTGCCGAGCTTGGCATGCCTGCTTCGTTCGGGTGTTTGTACATCCAGGTTCGGATGCAAGGAATCGGGGTCATGACCACATTCAGAAATACATATCGACGGGTGGAAGAGGAGCCGAGGTGGATGGACGACTTCGATGACTGTTGTGTTCTCTCCATGGCTGAAAGAACTACTGATTCGGCCAATGGAGAAAAGCCCAGGGTGTGGGGGAGGTTCGGCCTGGGTGGCGTGGAGTGATTGCTTGGGGTAACTGTCACGAATTTCAGGTGGCGACTGTTTTACCGAGTGCGACAATCTTGTGACGTGGACCCTGTGGTTGCTGATGGGCTAGCGACGCGATTGTGCTGGTCTCTGGTGTTTCACCTGCGTCGCAGAATCCATGGCGATAGAAACCGAACGACGAAATGAGAGTGGAGAGAATTTACCAACCACAACGAAGCAGTGGAGGTCATGCATTTGTTCGCCAGTGTTGTTACCACATGTCAAAGACAGATTTACAGTCAGCGATGGAATTTGACTGGATGAATTGGTTACCGAACGAATCACGAGCTTCCAGCGCAGCGGCGCGCTGCCCTCATGCACCACCGCTCGACTGGCCGTGGAGTAGCAAATATCGGAGGCTGGAGAGAATTGCTGTGACTGTACGTAAAAGCAGATATTTCCAAAGTATAAACCAAGTCTACATGAACGTCACCGCTCGTTTATGCTTGAAAACTTTCCTAACTTGGTTCCACAAGGAGGGCTGCTAAAATGCACAATGGGGGTAAATGAAACAAAAGCAGAGATTACGTTCTATGCAAAGCCCTGTCGAGGAGTGCTTATAGCTACTGCAAGTTTCACATGAATGTAATCGTATTTCAAACGGAACTGGACAGTTGCTTAGCGCAATGTGAAGTTGAGTAATTCTTGAGATGAGCTTGTCGGGAAAACGCAGAAGCACAAATCCTTCTTTCATGTACCGTACCATACGGTACATTATGCCATCGCAATTACGAGTTATAAAACACCTACACGTACAGACCATTCAATCATAGCAGCTATGGATGACCCACTTGACCCTGCCACTTCTCCTGCCAGAGGAACTTGCTCCTCTTCCCCCTCATCCTCCACCCCTTGCCACTGCTCCTGCCCCAGGCAAACGCAACGGCTCAATCACCCTTCTGCCCCTCCTCCTGCCACTGCTCCTGCCTCAGGCAAATGTAATGGCTCAATCACCCTTCTGCATCTCCCCCCAAAACCACCACCACCTCCTCACTCCTCATAACACCATCTCGCCTTTGCCCCTCCTGCCAATGCTCCTCCCCCTGCCAGTGCTCCCGCCACAGGGGTACTTGCTCCTCTCTCTCCTCATCCTGCTCTGCCTGTTCTTGTTCCTGCTGCTGCTGCTGGTGTTGCTGCTGCTGCTGTTCCTCCTGCCATTGTTGCTGTTGCTGTTGCTGTTGCTGTTGCTGTTGCTGTTGCTGTTGCTGCTGTTGCTGTTGCTCCTGCTGCTCCTCTTGCATATGAAGCATCCTTTGATCCTCTGTACTTACCTCCCCTGCATGTACCTCCCATGTATCTACCACCCCTGTCCCCACCTCCCCTGTATTTCTGTCCCCCGTATCCGCCTCCCCTGTTCCCATCTCCCTTAGATCCGCCTCCCCTGTTCCCATCTCCCTTAGATCCGCCTCCCCTGTTCCCACCTCCTCCCTATCCCCCTCCCCTGTTCCTAACTCCCCCGCATCCACCTCCCCTACATCTCCCTCCCTTCCATCCCCCTCCCCCGCATCAAGCACAAAGGCTGCTCCCTTGCACACGGGACACACGGGGTGCTTGACAATCCAATTCACTATGCACTCCGAGTGATATGCTTGGGGGGGGGGGGGGGGAGGGGGAGGGAAAGGAGGGCGGCGGGACAGAGGGACAGGTGGGATGGGGAAAACACCAGTCTTAAGGCCCCTACACACTCGAGGCGCTTGGCAGGTGTGTTTTGAGTCACAGGAAGTTAAGGAAAAGAGAGAGAAAAGAAAGGGAGAGAAAAGAAAAGGGAGAGAAAAGAAAAGGGAGAGAAAAGAAAAGGGAGAGAAAAACAAAGGGAGAGAAAAGAAAAGGGAGAGAAAAGAATAGGGAGAGAAAAGAAAAGGGAGAGAAAAGAAAAGGGAGAGAAAAGAAAAGGGAGAGAAAAGAAAAGGGAGAGAAAAGAAAAGGGAGAGAAAAGAAAAGGGAGAGAAAAGAAAAGGGAGAGAAAAGAAAAGGGAGAGAAAAGAAAAGGGAGAGAAAAGAAAAGGGAGAGAAAAGACAAGGGAGAGAAAAAAGAGAAAGGAAAGGGAGAGTAAAGACAAGGGAGAGTAAAGACAAGGGAGAGAAAAGACAAGGGAGAGAAAAGACAAGGGAGAGAAAGCCAGAACTTACAGTGGGAGGAGGACACACGCTTTGCCCCTTGTCAAAATCGCAGAGGCAGATGGGGCAGAAAAAAGTAGAAGACGGAGGGAGGGAAACAGAAGAGAAAGCGAAAAAGCAGAAACAGGAACCTACAGTGGGAGCAGGGAAGGAAGCACACGCTCTGCCCCTTGTCGAAATCACAGAGGCAGATGGGGCAGAAAAACTCCTCCTCCCCCCTCTCCTGCGCCTCTGCTGCTGCTTTTGGGTCATATCAAACCTTAGGACTTACAGTGGGAGCAGGGGAGGAAGCACACGCTCTGTCCCTTGTCGAAGTCACACAAGCAGATGGGGCAGAAAAAACGTAATAGACAGAAGGAAGGAAAGCAGAAAAAGGAACCTACAGTGGGAGCAGGGAAGGAAGCACACGCTCTGCCCCTTGTCGAAATCGCACAGGCATGTGGGACAGAAAACGATAACAGACAGAAGGACGGAAACAAAAGAGAAAGCGAGAATGTAGAAACAGGAACCTACAGTGGGAGCAGGGAAGGAAGCACACGCTCTGCCCCTTGTCGAAGTCGCAGAGGCAGATGGGGCAGAAAAACTCCTCCTCCCCCCTCTCCTGCGCCTCTGCTGCTGCTGCCGCTGCCGCCTCTGCAGCAGCAGCCAATCGTTGCATGCCAGGTGTCGCTGTCAACGCCGCTGCTCCCCCCCCTGCTGCCCCTTCTGCTGTTTCCCCCCCTGAACCCCCTGCTACTCCCTCTAATAGCACTACCCCTTCTCCTGCCTTCTCTCCTCCCTCATCCGCCCCTTCCTTTCCTCCCCCACCACAACCCCTTTTCACTCCAACCGTCTCTTCCTTCTCCCTCTCACCCTTCCCTGTCCCCCAAACCACGTGCACAGGCAGCAAATAAGACCCAGCAGACTGAGAACCACTCGCTCTGCTTCCTCCTGCTCCTCCTCCTCCTCCGCTTCCTCCTGTCCTACTACCCCCAGCAGAGGCGAGAGAAGCAGACAGAGAAGCAGCAGCAGCAGCCGTGGGAGACAGCAACTCGAGCGGCCGGCGTGAATTGTCCGCTAGTGAACCGCCAACCCCGTGATCCCGGGCGACACTGTTCATCCGCTGCTGCTGCTGCTGCAAAAGCTGCTGCCACAGCTGCTGCTGCTCCCGTTCCTGCTGCTGCCTCCCCGGTTGATCCTCCTGCTGCCCCTGCTGCTGCCCCTGCTGCTGCCCCTGCTGCTGCCCCTGCGGTCCCCCCTGCAAAAACTGCTCCTCTAGTTCCTGCCAGCGCTCCCGCCACGGCATCACCTGCTGCTGCTGCAGCTGCTGCTGGTGCTGCATTTCCGTACCCACCTGCCCTCCTCTCCCCTGTTCCTGCGCCCGCTCCTGCTGAAGCCGCCGCATCGACAGGAGCATAGAACTGGCGCTTGCCGAGCCTATCCCCAAGGCTCGGCGGCGGCGGCGGCGCCTAGCTGCGGCAATGCTGCAAACGGCGCAGACTATGCAGACGACTGCACAGGGCCACATGACGATACAGAGGGTGATTGCGACTGAGAAGGCAATGCAGGTGGTGTTGCAGTCGCCCAGTGCCGTGCTGTTGCTGTTGTTGCTGCTGCTGCTGCCACTGCTGCTGTTGCTCCCACCTACTGCTGTTGCTGCTGCTGCTGCTGGTGCTGCTGCTACCAGTGTTGCTGTTTGTGCTGTTGGAACTGGAAGTGCTGTTATTTTTGTTGCCCCTGCCAGTGCGGCCGTTGTTCTCCGTGCTGCTGCTGCTGCTGTTATTGCTGCTGCTGCCCATGTCCCTGCTGCTGCTGCTATTGCTGTTGCTGCTGCCAGTGCTGCTGTTGTAATTGATATTACCATTAACGGTGGTGGCGGTGGTGATGGTGCTACTGTTGCTGGTAGTGGTGCTGTTGATGGTGTTGGTGTCGCTGTTCCCACTGCTGCTCCCATTACTGCTACCATTCCGGTTGCCATCCCCGTAACTGTTCAATGCACTGCTGCTATTATTTCCATTTTCTAAAAGTCCAGAGTTAGACAATAAGCGCCCAAACCTAACGGCTCGGTTCTGCCCGAGCCTGGGCGTCAGATGCCACAACCGAAGCTTTCTCCTAGGCTCGGCAGGCACCGCCGGAGCTGCGGATGCAAGGAGGGATGGAAACAAAGGCGAAGGGCTCAGCCAATAGAAGCAAGGCGGAATGGCGCTCACTCGTTAGCGGTGATGGCGAAGCAGCTTGTATCGAGTACGCTGCCCGGCTGCTGGGGACCTCGTCTGTGCTTGTATCGGCGTGGCTTATGTCGGGTATGCCTTGCGAGTTTGGAGGCCCTTTGCCTGGAAACGCTGCTAGAAGGAGGAGAGGGATGAGAAGATTGCACCTCTGAAGGCGGTTATAGTAAAAAGCGCGACGTGGTCGGGTAAACGAGCCTGACTGAAACGGGTACAACCCCGCGGCGCTTCCCCGTTCCGTTCTAGAAAGCCTGATGCTTGCGCTGCTCTCGTTCCTCATAACATCTCGTCTCCCCCTCGCTCTAACTGCGCATATTTCACCCATAACCTGTTTTTGAGTCGACTCAAAAACAGGAACATCTCGTCTCCCCCTCGCTGTAACTGCACATATTTCACCCATAACCTTTAAAGAATAGAAAGCTAGACAGATATGAACTACTCTATATCGCGTACACGCGTTTCCCTGGTGACGTGTCTGTCGGGTTCCTTAAAACGGGGAAACACGCTTGTCCGACCGTATAACGGTGCATATGCCGCTGCACCCGCGCAGCTGTCGCTGCTGCCGACGCTGGCGCTGTAAAAACCTACTACCGCTGCTAGTGCTACACCATACCACTATCACAGGCACTGCTGCGAATGCATCACATCGAAGCTCCTTATTTCACTTAGCGGAGTCGTTCGTCGCGAACTAAAAAACGGTGCATGTGCCGCTGCACCCGCGCTGCTGTCGCTGCTGCCGCCGCTGGCGCTGTGGGAACCTACTGCCGCTTTTGGCGCCACACCTTACCACTATAACAGGCGCTGCTGCGAATGCATCACATCAAAGCTCCGTCTTTCGCTAGACGAGGCCATTTATTGCGAAGCGAAGTAAAATAGCTCAAGAATGGGGTGGTGCGCAGATGATTACATATCCGCTCTGCACGGTTCTAGGAAACTAATTTGGCTTGCAAGGTGCCCTCAGCCGTGCTAAGAATCCGAGCACTATGTTCTCTGAATGCGGTTCAGTGAGGTTCTCAGGTTTGTTCTCAAACAATACCGCTTTGGTATGCAAACACACCGATCCCAACCTTCATACATAAATTGGAATGAACGCCATGCGAGATGATACCTCCCCTTCCCGCGTGATGCTGTCATGTCAACAACGATTACTTCGTGGCAGCCAACCCCTTTTAGAGAGTGCGCTCGCGGCTACACTTATTGATCCAACTACACCATTCTCGGCGCATATACGGAGCTCAATTCAAACACACGGACTGATTGAAAGAAAACCACGAGATATAACACGGCTCAAGGAAGCCGCAAGGTTTTAGGGGAAAAAAGGCACAAAAGTGCTCACGCATAAAGAGAACCTACTCAGCCAGCATAAGCATGCACAATTTAACACATGTTACTGAAAAAACACATATCGTATAGCACCTTCCAACCACCCTCAACCACATCCCACCACCACTAAGATCACTTGCAGGACCACTCATGAGAAGCCATGGACCACCCTATAGCATCAGCATCACCATGCACCGCCAACATCCTACCTAGTGACAACCACATTTTAGCAGCAGCATCCCTCGTCCACCCTCCAACCTCACACTCCCTCACACAACCACCCTCGCTATTGTCACTTTCACTCCCACTAGAACCACCCGATCTTGGAGTTGCCTTGGGAGGGAGAACAGATGTGAGTGTATGAAGCGTGGCGCTATAAGCTAAAATAGGAGCTATTTCTGATGGTGTACCATCCCCTGGAAGCACTAAACGATCAACCCTTGCCAAAGGAGTTCTCATTCTTGCATGCTGCTGACTCATGAAACACTGTAGGCTGCTTCCTGTAGAACTTCTGTCCCCTTTAAGAGCAGCTTCGATAGAAGCAGGCAAGTGGCACCAATCATCCTCATGCAAATGCTCCTCCATATCATAATCAGCAGCACCAGCGCCTTCACCACCATCACCAGCATTCGACGAATCAGCCAATGCAGCAGCACTATTAGTAGTGTCGGCTGTGGTGGCAGCGGCGGCAGCATCAAGAGTGTGGGGAGCATCACCAGCGTCGGAAGCATCTGCAGCATTTGCCACCCACCCTTCAGGATAGTTAAAGCCTTGAGCAGAAATGCCTTGCGGTAGTGATTGCCCTGCTGCTGACGGGGATACGATTGCATGGTAAGGGAAAGGAGCCCGCCAGTCAAGAAAGTCAACGCCAGTCTTCTCCCTGCCCCGGTCAAAGTCAACCTCAGTCTCCAACCCAAGGGGAACTCTGGGGCAAGTCAAACCCCCAGAGATGACGTCAGCTTCTGCCAGCCTGGCAGTCAGCTCAGTCAACCGAGTCAACAGAGTCAGCTCCTGCCGAGCCTCGGTCGTAGCCTCGGGATTCGGCCTGTGTGCCGCTGGACAATCAGAATGCGACAGCTGGCGCTTGAGCTCCTTCCAGGTGTCTGCTGCGCTGGCGGAGCACACCTCCTCCAATCGCGTGTTGCCACGTGGCAGAAGCTTCTCCAGCAACGCATCTTCATCATCCTCCACGTCATCAGTTAGTAATATCATCTCATCCACTTCCACTGCCACCTCATTCGCTTCCATTGCCACCTCATCCATCTCCACTTCCACGTCATTCAGCTGACCTTCCACTTCACCACATTCCTCCAGCCCATTCCCAGCTCCCTCCCTCTTCTCATCGCATTCCTGTTTCTCCTTTTCACTTTCCTCCTCATTCCCCTTCTCAAACTCCTCTCTGCCCTTATCAACCTCCTCCCTCACCTTCTCACCTTCCTCTTGCTCCCTCACACTACCACCCTGTGCCCCTCCACATCCTTCCCTTCCCACGTCTACTACAACCTCCACTGCTACAACCTCCTCTGCTACAACCTCCTCTGCTACAACCTCCTCTGCTACAACCTCCTCTGCTACAACCTCCTCTGCTACAGCCACGTCTGCTACAGTCACACCTGCTACAGCCATATCAGAACCACGTACCCCATCACCCCCCTCTTTGTCTCGACTGCTCTCTAGACCTCCCTGCCTCTCCTCCCTCTCCTCCTCCCCATCTGACCTCACAACCTTGTGCTCTGCTTGTGAAGCCAGAGGAGGAGCTTCAGGAGCCTCCTCCTCCTCCTCCCTCTCCTCCTCCCCATCTGACCTCACAACCGCGCTCTGATCTCGAGGAGCTTCAGGAGCCTTGTGCGTCGGAGTCGCTTCAGAGTCAGGTAGCTGTAGCCCACACATAACCCTTGACCATGGAGTCGCTTCACCTGAACCATGTTCCTCTTGACTCTTCTCTTGACTTCTGATCTTCTCTCCCTCTTCCCCCTCCTCCCTCTCCTCCTCCTCATCTGACCTCACAACCGCGCTCTGCATGTGAGGAGCTTCAGGAGCCTTGTGCCTTGGAGCCGCCCCAGAATCAGGTGGCTGTAGCCCACACACAACGCCTTCACCTGAACCAAGTTCCTCTTGACTGTTCTCTTGACCTCCATGCCTCTCCCCCTCCTCCTCCTCCTTCTCCCCCTCCCTCTCCTCCTCCTCATCATCTGACACAACAACTGCCCTCTGCTTTCTCTTCCTTGATCCCCCCCTACCTCTTCCTTCACCAACACCCACTCTCACCGCTGCTCCTTCTTCTCTTATCCGCTGCTTTTCTTCCTCACATTCAACTTCTCCGCGCTTCCTACCTTCTGCTGCCCCTGCTGCTCCGTCCTCTGCTGCTCCGTCCTCTGCTGCTCCGTCCTCTGCTGCTCCGTCCTCTGCTGCTCCGTCCTCTGCTGCTCCGTCCTCTGCTGCTCCGTCCTCTGCTGCTCCGTCCTCTGCTGCTCCGTCCTCTGCTGCTCCGTCCTCTGCTGCTCCGTCCTCTGCTGCTCCGTCCTCTGCTGCTCCGTCCTCTGCTGCTCCGTCCTCTGCTGCTCCGTCCTCTGCTGCTTCTACTGCTCCTTCTGCGTCTGATCCTGCTGCCGCCCTCCCATTCGCTGCCCGTCTTCTAAGCCTTCTCCGTCTGCCCTCCACAGCCATATCATTCCCTAATCCTGTATCATTATCATTCCCTTTTTGTAAATCAACCCCCCCTGGAATGCAATTTCCTTCTGTTGTATTACCTCCCACCACCACCACCTCTCCCTCTTCTTCCATTGCAGCTAATCTCGCTGCCCGCTTTCTCGCTCTCTCCACCCTCTCCCTCTCTTTTTTCCGCTGCCCGTTCTGCCCGTTCCAACCTCCTCCTCTCCGCCCGCTCCCTAGCCTCCCTCTCCCTCTCCCTCTCCTCCCTCCTCCTCCTCCCCTCCCACCTCCTCCCAAGCACCCCCGCAACTGCTTCCTTCTCCCCCTCTGCTGCTTCCACAACTGCTGCAGTCAGCCGGGCAGCCAGAAACTTTGTAACCGGCGCAAAAGCGCTGTCTCGAACATGCCCTAAAAACGCGGGCAGAGATCTGTGTGGAGCCCCCAGCTCCCAAAAAACTTTAATCTTCTCCTCCCGCCTGACCCCCCTTGATCTCTCCATACTCTCCCCTTTACCTAGCGCGCCTTCCCTCTCACTACAATCACAACTGTTTTTGCCACAAACACAGCCATTTTCGCCACAATCACAACCCTTTTCACCACAATCACGCCTGCTTCTGCCAAAGTCGCTGCCGCCTTTCTCGCAGTCGATAGGTGGTGGCAAGCCAAGGCGGATAGAAGCATGCAGGGTAGAGGTAGAGGTGAGAGGGAGAGTTGATTCCCTGGGTAACCAGAATTGGAGGAAGAGGAGGAGGGAGCGGAGGTCAGTGGGGAGAGAGGAGAGGAGGAGGGAGAGGAGGGGGAGGAGGGGGAGGCGCAGGGGAGCGGAAACAGGTGCTTGCTCCATGTAGATCTGCATGGCGAGAGGGATGAGAGTGGGATGAGAGTGGGATGAGAGTGGGATGAGAGTGGGATGAGAGTGGGGAAAAGGCAAACATAGCACAAGGCAAGATAAGAAGAAGGCAAGGGTGAAGGATAGGCCGGGTGAAGGAGGCATGGGAAGTGGGAAAAGGAGAGGGCAAGATAAGAGAGGGAAGGGAGGCCGGGTGAAGGGGATGATGCAGCCGACCCAGTCAGAGAGCCACACAGCCGAGAAAAGGCACAAGCCCAATACACACGAGTATGGCAGATCTTACCTTGTGTAGCAGTGGGAGGGCTTGGGACGCAGAGGGCCTGGTGAAGGGGATGATGAAGCGAGTGAGGGCTGCAGGAAGGTTGGGGCTGGGAGCTGCAAAGGAATTGGGAGAGGCGAACAGGAGAGCAGAGGATGCAGGGGGGGCAAGTAGGAGGGAAAGGAGGTTCGATGAGTTAATTCTTGTGTAACTCGTACAGTTTCCGTGTGTGTAGCATCCGTGAATGAAATGGGACATTGCATAGCAATATGTGCACATGTAGGAAAAAAGACTAAGGTCTCGGGTTCGATCCTCACAGTTGGCAGTAAGGATGATGGGCCGTTTGTTCCGCTGGCGGGAGGGACTCAGCAGCTGCACCAGCAGAGTAACGAAGCCCCTGTCCTCCTCTACAAGCACATCCACGTCTTCAAATAGAAGCACCGACGCTCCCATGCGCCTTGATTTAGCCGCAGCTGGGGCAGCAGCACCACCACCACCACCATCAGCAGCAGCAGCAGCAGCAGCACCACCACCACCACCATCAGCAGCAGCAGCAGCAGCAGCAGCACCACCACCACCAGCAGCAGCAGCAGCAGCACCACCACCACCATCAGCAGCAGCAGGGGCAGCAGCAGCACCACCACCATCAGCAGCAGCAGGGGCAGCAGCAGCAGCAGTTGCAGGGGCAGTAACAGCACTTGCAGGGGCAACAGCAGCAGGAGCAGCAGCACGAGAGAAAAGGGTGCCACGTGGCAAGGCGCGATTGGCAGAGAGGCGGTGCGAGAAGAGGAGCTCTGAGAACCTTCCACGAAGCAGCGCCCCGTCTCGAGTGTCAGACGCGTTGACCTCCACGACTTGGAAGCCCAGAGACGATGCACAGGCGTATGCCGCTGCTGTCTTGCCACTCTGATCAAGGGAGAGTATCGGGTTTGTGGGTAAGAAAAAGGGGGGAAGAGAGCGGTTGGTTGGCACGAAGCAGCGCCCCGTCATGAGCGTCAGACGCGTTGACCTCCACGACTTGGAAGCCCAGAGTTGATGCACAGGGTATGCTGCTGCTGCGGAGCAAAGAGGTCCTGTTCTCAGCACAACACACAGCAGCGAACTGAAGCACTGACACACCACAGAAATCAACAAAGGCTTGCACGAGAAAGGGAGGTCTGTAAGGAAATACGAGGTTGATTATGAGAATTCTCAAAATCAACCTAAAAAAAAATAGCTTGCACGAGACAGGGAGGTCTGTAAGGCAAAACGAGGTTCTTACCCCAACAGGTCCTGTAAGCAGCACAGCACACGGCAGCTGCTCCCCTTCCTCCTCCTCCACCCAATCATCTGTGTCACTCCCCTCATTATAGTCACTCTCTGCACTGTAATCACTTCCACTACAGTCACGCTCCATGTCACCATCCCTGTCACCACCTTCACTGTCACTATCACTACCAATCCAGTCCTCTCCGCCTCTACTCTCTTTCCTAGCTCCAGATCCAGAACTCCCTTTATTACATAGCCTCCCCACTCTCTTTTGCTTCACTGCCCTTCCCCGCCTATTTTGCCGGCTGTCGTCCCTTATTCCACCCTCCTCGACTAGATTGTCCCCTACTGCATCAGCACCAGCAGCAGTACCAGCATCAGCATCAGCATCAGCATCAGCACCAGCAGCAGTACCAGCAGCATCAGCATCGGCATCAGCAGCAGCAGCAGCAGCAGCATCAGCATCAGCATCAGCAGCAGCAGCAGCAGCAGCATCAGCATCAGCATCAGCATCAGCAGCAGCAGCAGCAGCAGCAGCAGCGGCAGCAACAGCAGCACCAGAAGCAGCGGCAGGATCAGCAACATCACGAGCAGCTGCAGCAGCAGCGGCAGCACCATGTGCCTGAGCATCAGAGACAGGTGTAAAGCCAAGACGTCCCTGCCACAACTGCAGCCACTGCAGCAACTCGTTAACAGCAGCCTCGTTACCACATATCTGATAGGGAGAAGGGGAAGGGGGACCAAGGAGAGAAAGAGGAAGGACTCCTGAAAGAAAATCCAAGGACGACCCGCCACAGCTTAACCCTTTCGAACGACTCACTAGCTGCAGGCACGTAACTGGCACTGGCAGTGAGAGGTGGCAGGAAAACCAGAAACGAGCAGCTGGAAAACTCCTACCCCATCCCCTGGCTCACCTCTGCAGGGCTCTTTGGCTGGTAATAGTGCGGCCAGAGATCACTCGCTGCTCCTGCTCCTGCTCCTGCTCCCGCTGCTCCTGCTGCACCTGTTGCTTCTGATGTAGACCCCCCCACCACAGCCATCACAGCTGCTGGTTCTGCGCCTGTTGCAGCACGTGTGGTGGCACTTGCTGCTGCATCTGATGATGCACCTACTGCCGCTCCTGCCTTCCCTTCTGCATCCTTTGGCGCGTCAACTGCAGTGTCAACTGCTGCACTCCCTGCTACACCCTCTGCTGCATCAACTGCTGTATCAGCTGCTATATCAACTGCTGCACTCCCTGCTGCACCCTCTGCTGCTGCTGAACATCCAGCAATAAAAGCCGCTCCCTGCTCTAGCTTCCCGTTCACCTCTCCCTTTCCCCTTTGGAGGAGCATTCTCCCATACACATCAGCAGCATGGCAACCAAATAGCACTTGGCCAAGAGGGGGGAGGGGAGGGAGGGGAGGGTTCATGCAATGCCAGTGCTGCTGCTCCTTCTTTCGAAACGTCTCAACTAACGACTTCATATAACGCTGCTGCTGCTGCTGCTGCTGCTGATCCTGCCCTTCCTTCTTCCCCTCCTCTTCCCCTTCCTCGTCCCCCTCCGCCTCTTGGGTCACATGGAAGGGGTTCAAAGGCAGCAGAGGCACCTTCCGACCAAAAAATCTGATCACCCGCGCACCAAAGAACCCCCCACCACCAACCTTTCCACCAGCTCCCCCTACTGTCCCCCCTGCTGTTGCTCTCCTAGTAACAACCCCCCCAATCCCACCAGAACCCCCTTCCCTACCACTGGTTAACCCCCCTGCAAAACCAATATGACCAGAACCATCCACACCAGCAGAGCCATCCAGACGCTCTGAGCCGTCAACAACACTCTGTACACAGTTAGTAGGCCCTCCTGCCCCAGTACCAGCTCCCGCCCGGCCTGCTCTCTGCAGCCAATGCTGGTACCACTCCCCTCTAGGCCGCTTCACCTCCACCACCCCTTCCTCCCCCTCCTCCTCATTCCTTACCCTCTCTCCTCTTGTCTCCTCTCTTTCCTCGTCTCTTGCTCCCTCTCGTGTCCCCTCTCTTGCCTGCTCCTGCTTATCTGAGAGAATCGCACTCCCCACCCTCTCTCGCTTGCTCCCTTTTTCTCCTGCTCCCCTGCCCCCGGCTCCCTTTCTCCCTCTCTTCCCTTGGGTTCCCCTCTTCCTTCCTTCCTCTCCACTCTCCTCCTCTTCCTCTACCTCTTCCACTTCCTCCTCTTCCTCTTCCTCCTCTTCATCCTCCTCCTCTTCCTCATCTGAAGTGACGACTGCTTTGGCCCTCCCTCTCCCTCCACCCCTACCCCTCCCCCCTCCTCTCCCTACCCCTCTTCCCCTACCTCTTCCTATCCCTCGTCCCCCTCCTCTCCCTCCTCCTCTCCCTCCCTTCCCTCTCCCTCCCAATGCTCCTCTCCCTCTCACTCCTGCTCTTCCTGTCCCTCGTCCACTCCCCCTATTCCCCCCATCCACCTCTCTCCCCCCACACCCCACTACCACCTCCTCCTCCCCTGCTGATCCCTTCATTACTACTGCAGCAGGAGCTTCAGCATTGCTGTTCCCGTTATTAGCAGCCTCATTAGCAGCAGCAGAAGCAGCGCGGACTGGCTTTGGCTGGCGTTGCCTGGGGAGAAAGAAGGAGTGCATAGGCCGACCAGTAGTGGACTGAGCAAAGAGCTGAGGGGAGGTGGGGTTGGGTGGGGATTGGGGGTCGGGAGGGATGGGGTCTGTATGACAGAGCAGTCGTTGGGAAAGAATAGAGGAGTGCAACGGCCGACCAGCAGTGGACTGAGCAAAGAGCTGTTGGTTGGGGTGATGGGAGAGAAAGGTGGAGGTACTGAGTGGTGAAAGGGAATGGGGAGCTGTAGCGGCAGGCAGGCAGGGTGACAAGAGCAAGCAGAGAAAGAAGGAGTGCAACGGCCGACCAGCAATGGACTGAGTAAAGAGCTGTTGGTTGGGGTGAGGGGAAACACGGAGGTACAGAGTGGTGAAAGGGAGTGAGAAGTGGTGGTAGCGACAGGCAGGCAGGGTGAAACAGAGCAAAAGAAGAAAAAGGGGTGCTTCGGCCGACCAGCAAAGAGCTATTCAAAGACCGATGACAAGGAGTGAGCTAAAACCTCACCTGAGCTGCCTTGTGTGCCTCTTCTCGCATCCGTGCCTTCTCCCTCTCCACTTTAGCCTCCATGTTCTCCTCTTCCTCTTCTTCCTCCTCCTCCTCTTCTTCCTCTTCCTCCTCTTCCGCCTCCACTTCCCCCTCCTCTAACTCCTCATCCTCATCCTCTTCAAGTACTTGCACATCATCATCCGAGTTTTCCCCTTCCTCCCCCACCTCCCCTTCCTCCCCCACCTCCCCTTCCTCCCCCACCTCCCCTTCCTCCCCCACCTCCCCTTCCTTCCCCACCCCTTGTTCCTTCCCCACCTCTTTTCCCTTTCCCCCTGCCTCTTCCTTCCCCTCTGCTTCTTCCTTCCCCTCTGCTTTTTCCTTAACCCCCTTTCCCTCCAACGCCTCTGTCCTTGCCTCCTCACCATTCTCCTGACCGCCAACCTCTCGTTTCACCCTTCCCACACCCCCTTCATCCCCTGATGCTGTCAAATCCACATCCTCACCAGCAGTATCACCTTCCTTTGTATCACACTTCACCACCTCCGCGCAAGTTTTATCACCTTCGTTATTATCACGCTCCACCACCCCCTCCCGAGCATTACCACCTTCATATGTATCACACAAGTGCACCGGTAGCACCACCGCTCCCCCTCTATCAAACTCACCACCCACAGGCACGAACCGGATCCCTAGCATCATCTGCTGCAGCCGCTTCCCTCCTCTGGAAACAGGCCCTTTGCTCTCCTTCTGCCGTGCTGCAGTGCTGGTCCCTTTCGAGCTGCCACGTGCAGCCGTCGGAGTCCCAGTAACCTTCTGAAACTGTTGAGTCCCTGTGGCCGTCTGAGTCCCAGTAACCTTCTGAGCCTTCTCACTCGCTGTGGCCGTGTAAGCCCCTTCAGCAGCAGGCTTTCCAGGCTTCCTTGGCCGCTCTTGCACGGCCGTTGGCTGAAAGAGACTCCCCTGCTTCAGCCTCCGACCTGGAATGGATGGGGTCAGTAAAAGAGAAAAACGTGAGCGTCTGATTCCCTTCAGCAGCAGGCTCTCCGCACGTGCTTGGGCGCTCTTGCACGGCCGTTGGCTGGAAGAGACTCCTCTGCTTCAGCCTCCGACCTGGTATGGAAGCAGTCAGAGGGGAAAACGTCGAACAGGTTAGGCCAGGCGCGCACAAGAGCATTGGAGTCCCATCATCAGCAGACTTTCTGTGCATTCCTGGCCATGAAGACAGCAGGAACAGGGATGGAGAAACTAGAACAGGACGCCTACCACGCCAGAAGAGGTAAATACTTGACAGTTTATACGAGCCAATATTAACAATGAGGAGCTAGGGGAGTTACCATAGCGGGAGGTGCCCATTTCGCCAAGTGCCTGTGCTGCAGCAGGCGGCTGAGTTGCCTCTGTTGAAGCGAGCTGTGCGTGGTGTGCTGGAGCTGGCTGTGCTGCTTCGACGGGTGTAGCGACACCAGCACCAGCACCAGGCGCAGCAGCGGCAGGACTGGAAGCAGGCGCATCAGCAGCAGGTGTGACAGGAACGGGAGCCTCACTTGCTGCAGCAATAGGAGGTGTGACAGTAACGGGAGCCTCATTCGCAGTGGTAACAGAAGCAGCCTCAGTGACAACAGCAGCTTCAGCACTTCCGGGAGGCTGCTTAGCAGAAGGAGTCTCAGAAACCACACCATCCCCACTCTCGTTGTCTCCCTTACCACACAGCACAGTTTCAGCCCCAATCACCCTCACTCTCTTCTTTCCTAAAGCAACCATTCTCTCCCCCTCCGCCTCTTCCTCCTCCTCCTTCTCCTCTGCCGCCTCCCTGTGCTCTCTTCCCTTCACCTCTTCATGCTCCTTTTGTTGCAACTGTTGCCGTGTGTTATCGTCAGAATCTCTCTCCATCGCACCCAACTCCTCTGGAACACTCACACGCTTCCTCCCAACACCAACGCCCACCGGCGAGCCCACAGAGTGCATGGACGTGACGACAGGTGTCGTGTGAGCTGGTGGCACGTCAGCTGCAGGTGACACGTCCGCTGCACGGATAGCTGACACGTCAGCTGGAGGAGCGGCTGACACGTCACCAGCCACAGAAGGACACGTCTGTGCAACTGTAGAACCCTCGACCACCTCCATCTGCTTCTTTCCTTCCCTCGGTCGACCCCGCTTTTTAGTCGACCCAAAGGTCACCGCGTCACCAGCCACTGCAGGAACTGCTTGTGCTACCCCGGCACCCTCGACTGCCTCCATCTGTTTCTCCCCTTTCCTAGGTCTACCACGCTTACGTTTTACCTCACCCACCCGCTGCTGCTGCATCTGCTCATCCTGGTGCTGCTGCAGTTTCTTCTCTGCTTCCTTGCGCTTTCTCCTTTCCAGCGCGGGCAGGAAAAAGTCTGCAGCGGGTGATGCAAAATCGCAAGAGGAAACAGAGAAAAAACAAAACAAAACAAAACAAAATAAAGCTGAGCCTTCAAACCCGTAAGGCCACCGACTCTCAAATAATCAATGAAACTGTAAGAGACGGACGGCCCTACTTCGAACGATCGCATTTTCGTATTTGTGCAGCACTTCTGGTGTCTGTCTGTTAGTCATGTCATACCATGTCTTGGTGCTGCTGGTGTTGCCGTAATGGGTGCTCCCTGCTCGGCCGCAGCCACCTGCTTGCCTCCATCAGCCTCCACCGGAGCAACCTCCTCTGGAACTGCCTTAGTCGCTGAGTTTTCAGCAGCCATGCCAGTAACCGCTGGTTCGCCGGCGGCTGATGCTGCTGCAGCATCGGTTGCTCCCGTCTCAGCCGCTGCCTCCTCCTTGCTTCCAATTCCACCAACCTCCGCAGTAACGACCAAAACAGGAATTGCCTTTTCCGCAGCACTTACGCCCGCCAGGTCAGTATGCTTTGGTTCGCCAGGGACTGATGCTGCTGCCGCAATGGATGCTCCCTCCTCGTCCGCTGCCACCTCTTTGCTTCCGCTTCCACCAACCTCCGCCGTAACGACTTCAGCAGGAACTGCCTTTTCCGCAGCACTTACGCCCGCCATGTCAAGAACCGCTGCTTCGCCGGCGGCTGATGCTGCTACAGCTATACCATCTTTTACAACCTCCAAAGGAGCCGCTGTATTTATGGCGGCTGTTACAAACGCATCTGGCGATGTAACGCGTACACGATCGCCAATTATCGGAGAAACTGCGTCTGCAGTCCCTGGGGAAGCATCAGTGGCTGCAGATTTGCTCTGTGCAGGGTGAGTGGGAGCAGTGCAATTGATACTAGCAGGCTGGGACTTTGCTCGTAGAAACATGCTCTTAAGGGTCGTTTCGCGCAGCCGCGTGGAGCGCACGGGGCGCTGCTTCCCCTCGCCGCTCATTGCGGCGGATGAGTCAACTTTGACGCAATGACAGGCGGATATGAGTCAGCTCGTTGGCGTGAATGGCGGTGGATGTGTCAGCATGTTGGAATTACAGGCCTAAAATGAGTCCGTTCGCTGCTGTTGTTGCAAAATGACTGGCAGAGAATGAGTCAGCTCGTTGGAGTGACCTGCCAGCTGAGGAGCGAACGTCTTGTCCAAGTGGACACGATACTGGGAGCGAAACCGAGTTAACGAACCATAAGCTAGAATCGAAGAGCTTTACAAGGGCCCATTGATAAGCTTCGAGAGCGTAGAAGAAGCTCGTGCATCAAGGATACTCGAAGAATCGGATAGCCGTGTGGACGGCGCTGCGTGAACAAGGTAGTAAAAACAACTCTGGGAAAGTGAAATATAAAATATGATGACGGATGATGTCAGGAGTCAGTGGAATGGCGGGCTGTTGTTGATCAGGAGACCACATGCATGGTGTCAGCAGCATCAGATGGTATCGACGCGTTGCGGGATGGTGAAGAGAGGTGCATGTCGGTATTTCTCAGTGGTCAGTGTCTGCTTGTTCAGCCAGAAATTCAAAATTTTGAATTCCCTATGTGAAGGCGAATTACCAGCTGAACGCTTGTTACACCACGAAATCGCAAACATCTATTCGCAAGAACAATATACTTCGCTATGCGGTGCTGCAATGTGGGCTTCATTGCGGTGTTGGACAGTGTTTAGTCTCCATCACTCATCATCACGTCGGAAATTTCGTTCCAGTACGGTTCCTCGTGGTAAATCGGCATTGCAGTCAAATCTTACCGCTGTGACCGCCACACACCGAGCAGAACCGTGGTACTATACGTGATCTCGTTTCCAGCTTTCTGAATCCGATACCTCCTCCGTGAACCAGGCCTGGGGGCCACACATCTCTGGTTTGTTTAGATGTTCCGTCAACGTGACGCAGAACTGAAGGCTTGATCAGGCAAAATCCATCAGCTGCGATTTATTTCTTAGACCTAGGAAATTTTGGTATCAGGAGGAGTCAACAGGTGCTTGCACAGCCTTCAGCCATTCATTCACGACTAAAATCGGCGTTTCCAGCATTGCTGCCTGACACATTTCGCGAGCCATGTCGGCGAGCTCGCAGAAAGATTTAGGCGAGGACGAGACGGACGCTGTCTGTGACCCTGATGACGAGCAGATCTTTGAGTTCATTCAGCGGCTTCCTGGCGAGGCAAGCGCTGATGTCTATCGCTCTTGTTGTTACAGTCTTTTTCTTTCGAATTCCGCATTTTAAGAACGCTGATCGTGGCTTATTTGTTAGGTCAGGCCATATCAGGGAGAGAAGAGCTCCTTAGAGCAATCCTCGCGTCTGTCAGCAGCAACAAGCGACCATCATCGCGTACTCAAGTTCTTCAAGGATTGTTGGTCGGTGCAAATTTACATTCAGGTTCTTTTAGTCATAAGGTTGTCCATCTGTGACCTTACTTCATGTATTTATTATTCTTCGCAGGACTGTTGGCAATCACCATTGGATATTGAGAGGGGTGCGAATGAAACGGCGAAACTGTACGCGGATTTGATATGGAGGACTCTGTGTCTTGAGACGGCTTATCATGCTGCAGCCATGGAAAAACCTTCTGTCGATTTCATGCTCTGCTTCTGGCAACTTACCACCGAGGTTCGGTCAATGGTTTTTTCTTAACAAACGTCCATATACAACAGTAGCTTACTGCTGTCTTCTGTTGTTTCAGGCTTGCCGGCATGTGTCGTTTATCCTGGAAGATCACTTCGAAGGCTTGGCCTCAAATATTTTGAACATTCAACACCTTACTGAACAGGTCTTTTTCCTGCTTGTCAACTATATGTCGTTCTTCAATCTGTCAATCAATAATGACGCTAACACTGGATCAATCTTCATTTTCAGGCAATGAAGCTTATTGCCTTGTCTGCAGGAGCACTTCTGAGTTTAATGGAATCTCAACCTTTACTGCCTGTTAAAGAAATTGGCCAGCTAATTCAAGAATCATTCAGAATGATGACCTCATCGTTCTTCTCCTTGAAGGTAGTTCTGTGGCTTTCATGTGACGCTTGTTATCAAAACGAACGTTCTTTTTAACTGATCTCGTTTGTCTGTTTTTCCAGCCTTTTCCAACTCAGTGGCAGGAAGCTTTTAAGAAACCCTTGATTGATGTGCTTGGTGCATTCCACAACGTTGGCTCGTCTGCACTGAAGCAGTTGGAGTCAGTCTCTCAGAGGATCAACAGTCGCTGGAATTCAGAGTCACCCAATGAAACTGATGAAGATACTGACATGGACCATCACAGCAAGGCGGTCATTGAAGACTTTAACCGCCTCGTGGCTCTTCTTTTTCGAAGCTTCGAAGCAGTTGGATCTGTTACAGCACGTATGGGCTCTCATTATGCGACTATCAACCTGGCCTGGAAGACAGTCGTATCTATTCTTGCAACTATGGCCCGAATTTTTCCTGCTCCACCGCCACGTTCATCACAGCAGCAGGCCCCTAAGCATGAGAGTAACTACGACAGCGGACCTGGTGAAATTGATGAAGTGGATTTGCCACCATGGAGCCGTGAAGATGTTGTGCATGCAATCAGCATGCTGTTCCAGCATACGGCACGTGGTCTTGTCCTGGGAGCAGAGGCTGGAAGGCAGATGTTGGGCGAGTTCTATGCCAGGCTTGGGAAGCATGCGCTTCATGAAGAGGTCTGTGTTGGGGAGGTTGACAACAGGTCAGAAGGAGATAAGGTGTACATAGTCGAGGTGGAGAAGCTTAGTAAGAACCTTCAGCGAGTCTTCATGCTGACGAAGTTCTTCCAAAATAATGCCATTCGCGTTGCACTTCTTTACCCGGCAGAGGCATGTGATCCAGCTGCTTCAGAAGACATGGCCGGCCTGCTGTTCGCCTATGCTGGTCTCCTTCATTACAGTGATGGAGATGGGAGGTGTGCGGAAGGCAGTGTACAGAAGGGGAACGGTTTGGAGTGGCCAATTCCGTTTCTGGTTGCAGAAGCCATGGCACAGATGCTAGGTCCTACAGTGTTTGGGCTTGTTCACAACATTCTGAATTCGGAGAAAGTTTCAGAAGGTGCCAAGTCCAACCTTATTCTCCAGATTCTCCCAGCGGCAGGATCCGAAGTGCCACCGCAGACGAATATGATTTGGAGGGTGGTTTCATCTGCAGGCATCAAGTCCGAGGGTTCAACAAAGGGGGGGAGCTGTTATCATTTAGCACGAAACAACCTGATTGGTCTGGAGCAGCACAGCCCGGAATTGGCTGAGTGGCAGTCTTGTGGGAGGTTGGTGACTGCCACCACAGTCCTGGAAGGCGCTGCTTCATACAGTGATCAAGTGCTAAGTTTGGTGACGAATAGCCTGGGTAATCTCATCACCCTTGTGGCAGATCAGCATTCCTACATCCCACTGCTTTCCCCAGTCATCTGGCCATTTTCAAACCAGCGGAAGGAGGGAACTGACAAGGGGGGGGCAGCGGCAGCAGGAAGGGCAACGAGGCGGGTGGTCCTGTTTCCACAACTAACACGTGGTCTCAAGGTCTGTATAGCTGTCATTGGTGCCAGAGTTGTAAATTCAAGCCAGCCCGCTTCCAGGAATGCGGAACAGAAGGTTTTGGGGTCTTTGGCACGTTGGGAAGAGGTTGAAGCCTTTTTCTTCCAGAATGCAGTGCACCTGCATCCCATCTGTGCAGAGCTTGCTCGGGACGCGTGGTGCTTTCTCATTCGACATTCAGACCCTCAGCTTGCAAGAAGACACGCAGAGATGTTGCTTCGCTCTGTTCAGGCCTCTTTGCAAACTGCTGTGAGGAATGAATGCAAGCCTCAGGCCAAAGGTTCGAGAGGAAGCAGCGCTGCAGGACTGCTGGGCGTTGTGACTGGACTGGAGGAGCGGCTAGTCTGTGCAACGGTTGATGTTCTCTTGGCATGCCCAGACACGACTGTCTCGGATGTCTTCCTTAAGCCGTTTGTCCGGCACATCAACTCATCATTTTCAAAGTTTTCAGCTTCAACAGGAACTGCCAATGCAGTTTCACAGCACTGCCGCACCACATCTGCCAAGTCTGTCAGCCAGGAAATCGCCTCTGTTCTAGCTTTCTCTCAACTTCTGCATCGTGGAATGGCAGCAGGAATTCACCGACGCCAGCCAGCTCCTCTCCTCCCAGTTGCGCGTGCATGCTTTGGTGCAGCACGTGCTGCAATGGCTAATATCATGGCAAATGCATCCCTGGACGTTTCGTGGGAGCAGGTGGCTTTGCTTGGAAGCATGCTGACGAGCATTACGGCGGTGCTCCGTGAGAGGTATTTATTATCAGCTATGAATGGATTTTTGTCATTTTTGTTCGCTTGTTCACCATTTTCTCTTATCCCTGTTACTTGTTAATCACATGCTCCTTCACCATTGTACTGATAAATCTTTGCTTGATTTCAGGGCTGAATCTTCCATGAGTGGGACCAGTGGGCTTCCTGCTGTCTTTCCGAACACGAAGGACCTGGTCAAGTTGGCGGCAGATGCCGCAACTCTGCATGTTCCATCTGATATGGTCAATGGTGCTCACCTGATTGGAAGCAGCAGGCATGGTCAACTCACTGGCTCTGGAAGCAATCAGAACAGGGCTCCATACTCAGATACTCCCATGATTGGTTTGGACCGCTGTTCCAAGGAGAAGCTGAACGGTGGAACACAGCAGCCATTGCTTGCAAGGGCTGCCCGGTTACTTGCTGCTGTGAGTAGAACCTCAGATGGAATCAGTGTGACTGATGTGGAGCCAGTCCTCCATGCCATGCTGCATGTGCTTAAACGAGTACATACCCAAGATGGTGGACCTTTAGGGGAGCCATGGAGTGGGGCAAGAATGCTGGTAGAAGAGGTGGCTGCTGCTGCTGCTCTGCTTCTTTCACAGCTCTTTGCAAGCCTTCGGACCCAGCAGGAGCTGATCCACAAGCCAGTTGCTTTGGAGCTGCTTCACACTTTGCTCTCCTCTCACCATCTTCCAGCAGCCTACTCATCCCTCTCTGCCCTGCATGCTTCTATCGCAGCCTGTCACTCGGCCACAGGCATGGATACCAGAAAGTACGCCTTCTTGAGGAAAGTCCTGCCACAGTCTGGATCAGGCACTGTGGTGGATGTGCTCATGAAGCCTGGGTGGACTCCTGAAGAAGCTGAGCAGGAATTGAGTTTAATGTTCCATCACCAGCAGCATCACCAGAAACATCAGCGACAGCAGCAACTCACTGAAAGCCGTATTCATGCAATGAGGGCTGAGGGGCAAATGCTTCAGGTTGGAGGAAGATGCTTTGAAGAGAGGGTGTCAAACGGATCAGGGCCGCCTATGAAGGGCAACGCCCTTTGTATTGACTTGGACAGTGCTGACGGCAGCGATGCTTCGGACGTGCGAATGGAGACAAGACAGGACGCTGAGCTAGTTGCTTTGCCACAAAGGGTGGCCGAAGCAAACGGCATTTTGGAAGCTATTTTGGCAAGTGTGAGGTCCAAGCCTCTGTCAGGCCATCACCATGTTCTTTTGGGGAAATTACGGAGTCAATTGACAACGTCCAATCGCCTGGTTAACGAGCTGAATAACTATGCTAGTAACAAGAGTTAGGTCATGTTAGACTCTGACTGTTTTCTGAATATTTAAGCCTTTTTACACCCTGGTCTTGTACATTGTGAGGGGTAGGGTTTCTATCGGAGCACCAAGTCAACTTTCCAGCTCACCCCAAAGTCCAAGGAGGTCAGTCTGCCAGGCTTGCAGAAAGGATCTTTCAGATGCGCAGAAGGTACCCCAGATTTCCGGGACTGCCGCGACATCGAGATTTCCACGTCTACACACGCGGGAAGAGCGTGGCAGTTGGAGTCAGCCGGGCGATGGCGCAGAACTTGCAGATGTTCAGTTTTTCTGCATGCTCTCCGACCGACGCCTTCCCCCCAATCTTCTCCGCCCTCTCCCTCCCCCTTCCCCGCATTCGCTTTCAGGCTCTCCGGTTTCCCAGGCCCGGACCAACCAGATCCATTCCCGCCACGCTGGCGGGTAGGCGGAACTCTCAAAAGCAATCTCTTGGCTCTCCTGTCCGCAAGGCTCCTGGTTTCCCTGGGCGTCACTGTTGCATCTTTGTGGTGTGGAGGCTCCTAGGCCAAGATTCCCTCGGCTTGGGCTTACCTACGAACAACCATTTCATTTATGAACCAGTGGTTATGTTCATGACTATTTCCGTGAGCTAGTCTTTCATGGTTTCCGTTCCGTCAGCACAGGTGACTCTTAGCCGTTCTGCTAGAGCCACGCCTTAGATTCCTTGGCGGCTTTCGTGTCGCCTTGCGAGCCGTCCAGAAACCTAACCATAGTACATTCCAGGCTTCCTTTCAGATTCAAAAAGTTCCTGTTTTCATATTCCGTTAGATTCCGTGCCACAAGTGAGCTGGAATTATGTTCCGGTTTCTCGGAAAGAAGGCTCTTGAGCACGGAGCGAAGCAGCGCTCGAACAGATCATATTCCACTAACCATGGACGAGTCTGGAATCCGAAAATTCGGGGATGCTCCGCGCAAGTCGCGCCGGAAATGACGGTAGCGGAACCGGCTTGGTTGCTGAGTTCGTCGCATGTGCGATCTCAGGAGAAGAATTTCGACGCGTCGGGTGGTTTCAGGAGGCTTATCAGCAGCTCGACAGCTCGCCAGCAGGAGCAGGCTGCGAAAAAGGCCGCTGGCGGTTTCGAAGGAAGCATCTATCTCCATCACTCCGAGTACGCGCGTGTTATCCCATTCGTTTCTGTAATATTGTCAAGATGGTGACCTTCGTGTTGACCCATCTACTTTCAACACTCGGCGTCATTCCACTTTCGCTCCGCATTTGGACTCGGTCAATAAGGCGACTTATATGCTGAATCCAATGTCATTCCGTTCCGCGTCGCGTTCTGTCGACTATCCTGCCTGCCTCAACTATAATGTTTATGTTTGCTCGTCAGCTGTCGGTAGTCTGAGAAAACAAGTGCAAGGTAAGCGTGCAAAATGCTTCATACCGAGCAAGCATAGGTCAACTAGAAAGCACAGGGATTGGGAGGATGAGAGCCTGCAGAAAGATTCTTCGATAGTTTTGCCTGAACTATGTATTCAAACAGTCCTGAATCATTCATCCTTAATTTTTTCACTACGAGATTTTGAAAGGACTCTCTCTTTCTTTCATCCCTCGCTCCTCTCCCTTTCTCCTCTTCCGTTGAATGAATGTGGTGTGGAATGCCAATGTGATTTGCCTTCGCATATTGATGTATATTGTGACTTGCCGTGTGCTTTCTGCTGTGTCGCCCGGCGTGATACCTGTGACTCCTGACGCAATGTCTGCGACTTTTCACGTGATGTCTGCGACGCCTGGCGTGTGAACTACCAAACGACGCTCTCTGCCACTCGCCAGCGTCGGGAGGCAGGTCAACTCTGCCGCTCTCAGCGTCGGCCTCATCCACGCGTTGCAGGTGAGCCGCGGCGAGAGATTCCAATCATCTTGATGTTTCCATACGTGACTTTTGAGTCAACTCAGAAGCCATCTCAACTCTGCCGCTCTGAAATCAAAGCGAATTTCTTGTTGAATGTAACTTTGACTCAGCTCGAAAGTGAATCCTGACCAGGAATTGCCAGATTGGCATTCTCGGGCCTACTGACTAGACTTCACACGGCGGTAACCGTTTGAGTATACTGAACCAAACCCATACTGACCTCAATTCAATTCCCTTGCTAACTGCTACCCTGCTTCGTCCCCTTCCTACCTACCTACCCAGGTGCTGCGTCCAGGCGCGTGGACCTGATGAAGAAGGTGTTTCACATCCAGACTGCACATCCACGACTCCATCAACCGCCCCCTTCCCTACATTCCAGGTGCTGCGCCCGGGTGTGGGATACTTCCGCCCCATTGACCAGACGTCGCACGGTGGTAACCGCGTGGATTTGATGAAGAAGGTGTTCCACATCCAGACGCCCGCAGAGGACATGTTCGCGCTCACCCAGGACCAGGCCTACTCGCTACTGGCTGCGGACAAGATCGACGACTTACTTGAAGCGGTCATCTCAGGTGGGTTCCTGTTAATGCCTCTGAGTCTCTGGTAGTGGGTCTGGCTGAGAATTCTCTCCACTTTGGAATCCACACGCCCCCAGAGGACCTGTTCGCGCTCACCCAGGACTAGGCGTACTCCCTGATTGCTGCTGACACGATCGACGATCTGCTAGAGGCGGTCATCTCAGGTGGGTTCGAGTCATGTCCCTTTGTTATACTCAGATAGGCTTCAAAGCGTCCTTACTTAAGAAGCAGGTTACACGCCCAGAGGACATGTTCGCGCTCACCCAGGACCAGGCCTACTCGCTGCTGGCTGCTGACAAGATCGATGACTTTCTAGAGGCAGTTATTTCAGGTGGGTGGTATTCAGTGCCTCACATATACTCAGTGTCATATCGGGTGCGTGAGGCTAATTCAGTGTCTTTCCTATCCTCAGCTGGGAAAAAGAAGCAGGTTACCTCTAGAGCACATATTTGTGCTGACCCAGGACCAGGCTAACTCGCTGATTACTGCGGATAAGACCAGAGATGCTGGAGCATGTGCTCGTGAGACTTCTAGAATGAAGCTCCGCTTCTCTCCTCTTGATTCCCTCATCAATCATACGAGCGGCACAAGTGGCACATTTTGTGTCTGTGAGGCCTTTGGAGTAAAGCTCTCTCCCCACCACTCTCCCCACCTCGCCCCCCCACCAGCGCACGAGCGCCACAAGTGGTATCACGACTTTGTGGTGGTGGAGGGCACGTCCATGCGGGATGAGTCCAACCAACACGTGAGGCACTCTCTGTGTTCATGAGACCTCTAGAGTAAATCTCCTCCCGTATCTTCTTCGTTCTCCCCCACCAGCGTACGAGCGCCACAAGCGGTATCACGACTTTGTGGTGGTGGAGGGCACGTCCATGCGGGATGGGTCCAACACGTCGCCCATCAACGGGCTCATTGCGTCCGCCCTCGAGTCTCCCGCGCTGCTCCTCACTGATTGCATAGCTGCCTCCCACCACCACCCCAAACACCACGAGGTGAGTTTGAGTCGACCCAGTAGTCGCCCTCTCATTGCGTCCGCCCTCTCATTGCGTCCGCCCTCGAGTGCCCCTCACCACCACCCCAAACAGCATGAGGTAAATTAGAGTCGACTCAAATGTCGCCATCAACGGGCTCATCGCGTCCGCCCTCGAGTCCCCCACGCTGCTCCTCACTGACTGCCTGCTGCTGCTGCTGCTGCTGCTGCTGCTGCTGCTGCTGCTGCCTTGGGACTTGTTTCCTGACTCAAACCCCCTCCACCCCCTGTCCCCCTCCTCCTCCCCCTCTCCGCCTCCCTCTGCCCCTCCGCCTCCCTCTCCCCCACCAGGCGTGGGGGGCGGTTTGAGGCGTGGGATTTTGAAAAGGAGGCGGCGAGCTGCATCTTGGACCATGCGCGCATCATGAGGCAGAGCAGCGTCGACATCGCCAGCGCCCTGCTCTACCGCACGCCCAGGACCTCCCACCCCCTGCTGCTGCTGCCCCTGCTCCCGCTGCTGCCTTGGGACTTGATTCCAAACCTGAACGACCCTCCCTCCCCTCCCCCGCCCCCTCCCTCTCCCCCTTCCCCTCCCCCTCCCTCTCCCCCTCCCCCTCCCCCCCTCCCCCACCCCCACCAGGCGGGGGGCCAGTTTGAGGCGTGGGATTTTGAGAAGGAGGCGGCGAGCTGCATCTTGGACCATGCGCGCATCATGAGGCAGAGCAGCGTCGACATCGCCGGTGCCCTGCTCTACCGCACGCCCAGGACCTCCCGGGGCACCACCCGCCTCAGGCAGTACATCACTGAAGCTGGAATCCCGTTCCTGGGGGCTCTCCCTGCTGACAAGTCCCTAGAGTCGTTTCAGGTACGTCCTGTGCTGTGCTGTGCTGTGCTGCCCTGGTAGTAGCAGTTTGTCGACATCGCCAGCCCCCTGCTCTACCGCACGCTCAGGACCTCCCGGGGCACCACCCGCCTCAGGCAGTACATCACTGAAGCTGGAATCCCGTTCCTGGGCGCCCTGCCTGCTTACAAGTCCCTCGAGTCCTTCCAGGTGCGTCCCCTGTGCTGCTAGGGTTTCAGGATGGGACCAGGACCAGCCCAGGGACCTCCCGAGGCTCCACCAGGCTCAGGCAGTACATCACTAAAGCAGAGATTCCGTTTCTGGGGGGCTACCCGAATCCCTGGAGTCCTTCCTGGTGCGTCCTATGTGCCTTTATCCAGGGGGTACGTTCCTTGCCTGCTATATAGACCTTGCGTCCTGTGCTGCTCCTAGTATGGCCAAAGCCCTCACGCTCATCCCAATTCTCCCTGCCCATCCGCTTGCCTCTCCCCTCTCTGCCCACTCCCCTCCCTGCCCCTTGTCCCTCAGCCTCTGCCTCTGCCTCTGCCTCTGCCTCTGCCTCTGCCTCTGCCTCTGCCTCTGCCTCTGCCTCTGCCTCTGCCTCTGCCTCTGCCTCTGCCTCTGCCTCTGCCTCTGCCTCTGCCTCTGCCTCTGCCCCTGCCTCTGCCTCTGCCTCTCCCGCTGCCTGTCTCTCCCGCTGCCTCTCCCTCTGCCTGTCCTTCGTTATGCCTTGTTTCTTCCCTCTGTCTAACTCAGGTGGAGGACTGTTAGGAGGGTGCTGCACGCGCAGGTGCTGTACCGGGAGGGCACTCTCCAACAAACATCCCCGCACTGCGAATCTGCACCTGGCCCTCATTCCGCCCTTCTCCCTGCTGCCCTGCCTCTCTTTCTGCCTCTCCCCCTGCCTCTCCCTCTGCCTCGTTCCGTCTGGCCCTCTCAGGTGGAGGACGTGAGGAGGGTGCTGCATGCGCAGGTGCTGTACGGCGAGGACACCCCCCATGCAGCCAACAGTATGGGAACCGAGATCACCAAAACCATGGTTGCCATGCTGCACCTTGCTGAGATCCTCACGCTCATGCCCTCTCTCCCTTCCCCTCTCCCTGCCTGTCTCTCCCCCTCCCTCTGCCTGGCCCTCGGCCTCGCCCTTCAGGTGGAGGACGTGAGGAGGGTGCTGCACGCGCAGGTGCTGTACGGCGAGGACACCCCCCACGCGGCCAACAGCATGGCAACCGAGATCACCAAAACCATGGTGGCAACACTGCACCTCGCTGAGATCCTCACGCTCATCCCGCCCTCCGACGACCCCGCTAGAGGCGCCCTCGTTATTGCGCACGCCAGCCGCCCGGATATCCTCCTCGGGATGATCGACCTGCATGAGACGCATCTGAGCACCCAGGTGGCGGCCATGGTGCTTACAGGAGGGGCGCCGCCCCCTGCTGAGGTGGACGAGCTCATCCGGGTGAGTTGCTTGACTCTGGTTGACTTGGGTTGACTTTGGTTGACTTGTAGTTGCAGCGGCAGCAGCAGCAGGCCAGCAGGTGGGGTGAGGGATATCCTCCTCGGGATGATCGACCTGCATGAGACGCATCTGAGCACCCAGGTGGCGGCCATGGTGCTTACAGGAGGGGCGCCCCCCCCTGCTGAGGTGGACGAGCTCATCCGGGTGAGTGGCTTGATCCAGGTTTGACTCGGGCTGGCCTGGTTAACTTGGTTTGACTGATTTTTGACTTATTTAACAGTTTTCCTCTCCTTGCCCCATCACGCTTCTCCCCTCCCCAGACCTGTCCCTCACGAGTGTCCTTTCCAGAGCTGCTGACCCTCAAGGTCAAGGCCACCTCCATGACACGTGCCTAGAGCCCATGAAGGCACACTGAGAGGAGCACTGCCACATGCACTGTTTTCCTCGGTGCTTCCACGGTCCACCCTCCCCTCCCCATCTATCCGCCCCGCTCCCCTTCATGCCCCCGCTCTCCCTCCCCTTGAACACCTCTTCCCTGCCCCTCCCCCTGAACGCCCCCCTGCCCTTCTTCCTGTCCTTCTCCCTGTCCGTATCCCCCAGACCCGCCCCACGCGAGTGTCTCTCCCAGTGCTGCTGGCCCCCAAGGCCACGTACGACACATGCCTGGAGCTTGCTGAAGCCAATTCTGTCTCTCATCTGTGTTCCCCATTCTCCCCCCTTCGTTTCTCCCCAGACCCGCCCCACGCGAGTGTCTCTCCCGGTGCTGCTGGCCCCCAAGGCCACGTACGACACGTGTCTGGAGCTCGCTAAGGCTGATTCCGAGCTGCACGCGACCTCCACCAGAAAGATTGAGAGGGCTGAGGTGAGGGTGTGGGGGGACGAGAGGGTTGAGGTGGTGGACGGGGTTTGTGGTGGTAGAGGTGGGTTCACAGTGTTTGGTAAGACCTGCTGGTCTGGTAGGGACAGGTGGTGCTGCTGGCTCCCAAGGCCACGTTAGCCACGTGCCTGGAGCTCGCCAAGGCAGATTCGGAGCTTCATGCCACCTCTACCAGGAAAATCGAAAGAACTAGGTGAGTCGAAATAATGTTCCACGAGCATTTGGAGAACAAGGGTGCTCATTTTAGCGCTCCTCAAGAAGCAACCCCGTAGTCTGGTTCTGCCGCTGTTTGATCACTCTTTTTCCAAGCCAAAACTGCTCTTCTCTGCTCGTCCTCGCTCTTTGATACTCTGCCCTTCTCGCCCTTCCTCCCCCCCAGGTCATGTTTCACGAGCATGTGGACATGAGGGTGCTCAACCAGGTGCTATTCAAGGAGCGTCCCCTCCGCATGAACCCCAAGCTCTTCCAGCATGGCATTTTTGAGAAAGCCAGAGCCGCCCAGTCCCACGTCGTGCTGCCAGAGGTATGCCTGCCTGTTACTGCCATCCCCACCGCACCGCACCGCACTGCACCCCTAGAAACCCCTCTGCATGAACCCCAAGCTCTTCCAGCACGGCAACTTTGAGAAGGCCAGAGCAGCCCAGTCACACGTTGTGCTGCCAGAGGTACGCCTGCCACCCGCACCGCACTGCACGCCTGTTACTGCCACCTGCACCGCTCTAGAAACCTCTTCACATCTTCCAACATGGCATTTTCGAAAAGGCCCGAGCCACCCAGTCACACGTCGTGCTGCCAGAGGTATGCCTATTACTGCCACCCCCACCGCAATAACCCTCTTCTAAAAAAAGATGGTGAGAATCAATTAACTTTTAAGAAAGAGCGATCCTTCAAAATCAAGTTCAATAAGGTCAGAAGCTAATTTTTCTCTTAATTCCTGGGCTTCAAGATCAGCTCTTTGTAAATATTTCCGTGAATAACATAACCGGATTTATTGTGAACTGAAAGAATTAAACTGGGAAGAGAGAAGGCAAATCTTTCCAGTTTAAATCTTTAGCTAAAGATGATTTTGATCAGTGGTTCTGCCTCATACGTTTTTGCAGGAGGCCAAAGTCTAAAATCGGCCCTAGATTCTGAGCCGGACCAAAAAGCGGCAATCAAGTATTTGCACCCCGAGAAACCTCTCCGCATGAACCCCCAACCTGTGGCGCTGCCAGACGTCTGCTACAACCTGTAGCACTAGCTATCATCGTGGCAGTGCTCCTGCCAGAGGTGCACACAGACAGTAGCATACCAGCTGTAGCAAGAGGTCCGCTACAGCTGCAGGCTACAACTGCCCCTCCTTCCTGCTCGCCACTTCCCCCTCCCCTCCTCCCTCCCTCCCTCCCTCCCTCCCTCCCTCCCTCCCTCCCTCCTCCCTCCCTCCCTCCCTCCCTCCCTCCCTCCCTCCCTCCCTCCCTCCCTCCCTCCCTCCCTCCCTCCCTCCCTCCTTCCCTCCCTCCCTCCCTCCCTCCCTCCCTCCCTCCCTCCCCCTTTTCCGTTTTGTTCCTTTTCTCCCCCTTCCTCCCCCGTGCTTCCGCCCTCCCCCTTCCACCAGGGAGCAGGGCCACGCACGGTGCAGGCAGCAGGGGAGGTACTCCGCAGGTCCCTGTGCCAGCTGACCCTGGTGGGCAAGCGGGACCTCATTCTCACCCAGGCCAAGCCATTTCTCCCACAATATCCCCCACTCTGCAGGGCGCAGGACCACGCACGGTGCAGGCAGCAGGGGAGGTGCTGCGGCGGTCCCTGTGCCAGCTGACCCTGGTGGGCAAGCCGGACCTCATCCTCACCCAGGCAAAGCCGACCCCCCCCCCCCCCCTCCCCGCCCTCTCCCCAATATCCTCCACCTACCAGGGAGCAGAGCCGCGCACAGTGCAGGCAGCAGGGGAGGTTCTGCGGCGTTCCCTGTGCCAACTTACGCTCGTGGGCAAGCCAGACCTCATTCTCACCCAGGCCAAGCAGCTTCGGGTGGACCTCACTGGAGCTAACATCGTCAACCCAGCCTCAGCGCCGAACCTGGAGACCTACGTGGACATTCTCTACGAGGCTCGGAAGTCCAAGGTGAGTAGAGGGGCGAAGGGGTTGGGAGTTTAGACCAGTAAGTTTGTCGGCTGGTTCATGAGTCGACTCTAAGGCATAGCTTCAGCACTGGGCAGCAAAACGTGGACATTCTCTGTGAGGCTCGATTTTCCTTTGAGTCGACTCAAAAAGCAAAACTTGGTCATTCTCTATGAGGCTCGGAAGTCCAAGATGAGTACTGGAGAGTGTGGGGGGGGAAGGGGCGGGGACGGTGATTTTAGGCTGGTTGAACACATTACGTGCATTACTTAGGTGCAAAAGCCAGCCATGACCCGTGCAGAGGCACAGGAGGTACTGGTGACGGGTGCGAATTACTTGGCCTCAGCCATGGTGGCAGCAGGGGGTAGGGGAGCCGTTACTCCTCTCAACTCCTCCCAATTCCGACCCACTGCTCCCCACGCCTCCCTCCCCATACTCCCCCAGGGCATGACCCGTGCGGAGGCACAGGAGGTGCTGATCACGGACGCCAATTACTTTGGCACAGCCATGGTGGCAGCAGGGGGTGGTAATGACGTTCCCCTTCCCAACTCCTCCCCGCACCTCCCCACTCCTCTCCACCCTTCCCCACCGCACTCCACCAGGGCATGACCCGCGCAGAGGCACAGGAGGTGCTGATCACGGACGCCAATTACTTTGGCACAGCCATGGTGGCAGCAGGGGACGCGGATGGCATGGTGTCAGGAGCTATTCACACCACTGCCAACACTGTGCGACCTGCCCTGCAGATCATCAAGGTAAACAGTGTGTGGGTGTGCGTGTGGGCCTTTGGGGTAGGTGAGTGTGGGTATGTGAGTGGGATTGGTGTGGTTGTAGTGGCAGCAGGGGACGTTGACGGCATGGTGTCGGGTGCAAGTCACACCATCGCCAACACTGTGCAACCTGTTCTGCCAATCTTTAAGGCCTACGGGTGAGAGTCAGGCCTGTGTGTGTGAGTGGGAAGGGTGTGGCTGCGGTGGCAGCAAAGGGACGCGGATGGCATGGAGACTGCACCATCAACACCAATCCCCCCCTTCCTCTCACCCCCCCCCCCTTCCTCTCACCCCCCCCCTTCCTCTCACCCCCCCCCCCTTCCTCTCACCCCCCCCCCTTCCTCTCACCCCCCCCCCTTCCTCTCACCCCCCCCCCTTCCTCTCACCCCCCCCCCCTTCCTCTCACCCCCCCTCCTCCTGCTTTACACCCTGGTTCTCCTGCGTTTTCCCACCCATCCCTGCCCCCTGTGTGCCCATCCCTTCCTCTTCCCCCCTGTTTCCATCCCCTTCCTCTCCCCCACAGACCCTCCCGGAGACCCCCATTGTCTCCTCCATATTCTTCATGTGTCTGCCCGACAAGGTTCTCATGTACGACGATTGCGCCATCAATGCGCATCTTCCCCCCTGCCTTACCTCTCCTCCCTTCCGACCGATCTTATCCCGTGTTTCTCCCCACCCTTCACCCAACAGACCCTCCCAGAGACCCCCATCGTCTCATCAGTGTTCTTCATGTGTCTGCCCAACAAGGTTCTAGTGTACGGCGATTGCGCTCTCACCCAATCTCCACCCACCCACCTGTGTGTCTGTCCCCTCCTGCCCTCTCCCTTCCCCCCAACACAACCTCCCAGAGACCCCCATCGTCTCTTCGGTATTCTTCATGTGTCTGCCCGATAAGGTTCTCGTGTACGGCGATTGCGCCATCAACACGCGTCTCCCGCCCTTCCCTGCCCCTCCTCCCATTCCCATCCCCTGCTTCTCCAACCCCATCCCCACACAGACCCTCCCGGAGACCCCCATCGTCTCGTCAGTGTTCTTCATGTGTCTGCCCGACAAGGTCCTAGTGTACGGCGATTGCGCTCTCACCCAATCTCCCCCCACCCACCTGTGTGTCTGTCCCCTCCTGCCCTCTCCCCTCCCCACACAGACCCTCCCAGAGACCCCCATCGTCTCATCAGTGTTCTTCATGTGTCTGCCCGACAAGGTTCTAGTGTACGGTGATTGCGCCATAAACACCAATCCAACGGCTGAGGAGCTTGCGATGATCGCCATGTCATCTGCTGACACGGCGGCGGCCTTTGGCGTGGAGCCACGTGTCGCCCTGCTGTCGTACGCGACTGGGGATTCTAACACAGGTGGGTAATATCGAGTTTGGAAGTTGTCATGCTTTCTCAGCACAGGTGGGTGACAAGGCCCGCTTCTCAGCCTTTGATGCACTCACTGCAACGTTCTGCTAGGAGGCACGTGTTCCCCTGCCACCCTACCTACCCTCCTCTTTCTCTGCAGGTCCACTCATTCAGAAGGTGGCAGACGCCACAGCCATCGTGCATGAGCGCCGGCCAGACCTCATGGTGGAGGGGCCGCTGCAGTACGATGATCTGATGATGGTTGACTTGGAACTCTCTCCCGCCCTCATCCCTCTCCTCTGCCCTCCCCCAGGTCCGTTGATTCAGAAGGTGGCAGACGCTACAGCCATTGTGCATGAGCGCAGGCCAGACCTCATGGTGGAGGGGCCGCTGCAGTACGATGCTGCTGTGAACATGGAGACAGCCAAGACGAAGCTCAAGGGGCGGACGTCTGAAGTGGCAGGACAGGTGGGTGCAGTGCGGTGGAGTGCGGTGGGTATGGGAAGTAGGGGTGGAGTGCAGTGCAGGACAGACCTCATGGTAAGACGCTGCTGTGAACATGGAGACAGCCAAGACGAAGCTTAAGGGGCGGACGTCTGAAGTGGCAGGACAGGTGGGTGCAGTGCGGTGGAGTGCGGTGGATTTGGGAAGTTGAGGGGTGGAGTGCAGTGCAGGACAGAGCTCATTCAGGAGGAGGTTTGCAGTACGACGCTGCTGTGAACATGGAGACAGCCAAGACAAAGCTCAAGGGGCGGACGTCTGAAGTGGCAGGGCAGGTAAATGAATGGGTGCAGTGCGGTGCATATGGGAAATGGAGGGGTGGAGGGGCTGCATGAGTACGACGCTGCTGTGAACATGGAGACATCCAAGACGAAGCTCGAGGGGCGGACGAGTGAAATGGCAGGGCAGGTGAGAGAATGGGTTCAGTGCGGTGGATATGGAGGGGCCCTGCAGTCGAGCAGGGATTAGGGGGCACGAGAGGGGCGCTGGGTCAGGGAAGAGTTTCGTGCTGGGAGTATACGAGTATACCTGGACTGGACCTGGACATATTCCACATTCTCTCTCTCCTTTTCTCCTTCACCCCATCTCCCTCTCTTCATCTCTCCTTTCTCCTTCACCCCATCTCCCTCTCTTCATCTCTCCTTTTCTCCTTCACCCCTCTCCCTGCCCCATCCGCCTCATTGCCTATCTTCCCTCGTCTCAACCCCGCGATCTCTTTCCATATCTCCTATTACCCATCTCCCCGTCTTGGGCTCTCCTTTACCTTACACCCTCCCCTGCCCCACCAGGCATCGGTGCTAATTTTCCCTGATCTCAACACAGGCAACTACACATACAAGGCAGTGCGAGGGTGGCCTTTCCCCCATCCTCCCCTCTTAATCCCCTTAACCCCTCTCCCTCCCCTCCCCCTCCAGGCATCGGTGCTCATATTCCCTGATCTCAACACCGGCAACAACACATACAAGGCAGTGCAGCAGGTATGGCAATGGTGGCAGGCAGGGTTTCGATTCTAGGTGGTGGGGTAAAAAGTCTCTCATCTGCATTCTACCTCTCGTCCTTTTTACGAGAGGCTTTTCAAGCCTCTCCGGAACTTCTAGCGAAACCTTACTGAAAAAGATTCTGGAATTTCCCACCCCTGGACCCACTTTTTGCCTGCTGTTTTGCCCTCCCTCCCTCAATTCGTCCCTCTCTCCCCTCCCTGTCCCTCTCTCCCCTCCCTGTCCTCCCTCTCCACCCCCTCCTCCCACTTCCAGTCGACGGGAGCAGTGGCAATGGGGCCGGTGCTGCAGGGGCTCAGGAGACCCGTGAACGATTTGAGCCGGGGGTGCACTGTGAAGGATATAGTCACCACCATTGCAATCACGGGCGTGCAGGCTGCTGCCATGAAGACCAATAGCATCAGGCAGGGTGGTGCAGCATAAGATTGTTTGACACTTGCTAGAGGGATTTGTATGACGCTTGCTGTTGGTATCTTAAAGCCGGGGGGGCAATGTGAAGGATTTAGTCACAACCATTGCAATCACGGGTGTGCAGGCTGCTGCCATGAAGACCAGCAGCATCAGGCAGGGTGGTGCAGCATAAGCTTTGTGTTACACTTGCATGGGTCTAGAAGCCGGTCTTTGAATGGAGTGAGAGCATTCGAGGCAGGGAGGAGGCAATGCCTGCCTGGGTGCTGAGCTGATACCGGTGTCTGGGCCTGGTTTTGAACCGGATTGTGCGATATTGCACTTCTGATCATTTGTTGTTACGGGTCATACCATTCTGCTGTGTCAATCTGCTGTTCAAGCATGTTATTACTGCTGGGCATAATTGATCAGACCTGTGAGCCTGTGCCTGGAGTACCCGTGGATATGCCTTACCTAACACGTGTCCCATGCTGGATGAACAACAGCCTCTGCAGCATGTTAACTACACTGCAATGGCCATCACTTCCGTAGCCACGTGCGTTGCTCTTGTAGCCATGTCTCACAATTATGGCAACCATGAAGAAGCCAACTCATATGGAAGACACGATGGGTTTCTTCAGGCACAAAAGTACATCAAATTTGAGTGTATGTGTGCTTGGGGGTACCTGTTTGTATTACTTGGGTACAAGGGCTAGTAAAGGGCGATCATCTGCCTATACCTCGTTATAGTGCTCATATGTTCCCAAAGCGCGAGCTGGCCGAGATTGGGGACCACCACTACTGTACCCAGTCGGGTTGGAGTTAACGTGGCGCACATTGGTTCTTCGACCTATCAGCTGGAGACACGGGATTTCCACGCAGAAAGCACCAGCCTTGATTGGCCTTATCCGCGACGTGGAAGCAACTCAGCAAAAGTCATGATCTTTGTTCTCTTATGGGCAGCTTTCCGTACCCTAGCACGCGGTTACGACAATCCGGAGTGGTGGGCGAAGTTTGGAGTCAGTTGCGTGGCATGCGACCTGGGTTGACTCCTGGGGACGTGCCAATGAGACTTGCTGACATGGCGAAAACTATTTATGACTCGAACAACGTGGATAGAAACAGTTGCTACGATGCGACTCTACCTGACTCGCTGGAGCCGGAGTAGGAAAAAGTGGCAGAATTCTAGCTGTGGACCACTCTAATCTCAAGGTCACACGAATCTCGCACCATGTGTTTTCTTTTCATGCGACTTTGCGATGCTATTAAACGTTCATTCGCTACCGAGCTCTACACGAAGAACTGGATCAGATGAGCAATCACAATTCAAGAGACTTAACAAAGTAATTCTCAAGTTCTGCATTAGAGCAAGGTTGTCCACTCTGGTGCCAATCACTGGAGTCAAGGGTGGCTCGAATGTGTGTCCACTTTTCTTTCACCTCCAGAAATGCCCCGATTGCTGACAAACAGCCGTTTTTGCACGCGGTAAATTTCCTTCCGCGATGGTCGCACGGTGCGCGTCGCTGTTCTGCAGTACGATTGCTGGCGGCCCAGCCAAAGCAAGGCAGGCAGCCTTCTGCTTCTGCCCCTGCAGTCGCAAAACAGAAGGGCCCATGCTCTCGTCATTCGATTTCCCCGCCATGCCAATTGTGCGCCATTTTGCCATGGCTCGGTTTTGATCCTACTGTACACACATGAACAGCTCCCTCCCTCCTGTTTCTCTGCCCGCAGCAGCAGAACGTCCCACTTGAACATCCTACTTCCTTCCCAATTTCAGCTTTGCAATGCTGGCGGCTTTGGCTTCCTCCTCTCAACTTCCTTATCTCCTTCCTTCTGCCGCCACCTTGCCATCCCCACCCCATCTCTTCCTTCACATCGTCATTCTGGACCAATTTATTGGATCTCAATTCCTTTCCCTGTCACTCCCACGCTCTCCCGCATCTTACCAACAAGCAGAATCATTCTGTCTTCGAGTACGTGTATCTCTGTCTTCGTGTGTACACAGTTCCGAGTACCTCAAAGCCACCGTGCTTATTGTAAATGATCAACCGTAGCAACTCAGAGAAAGCCCAGTTGAAAATCGTTGGCACTGGTACACATCCCTGCGCGATTTCGAGATTCGTTAATTCCGAAGCCCTCATATCGCGATTACCGTATCGCGCGGATCGTCTCGTCTCCGTCGTCCCGTCCTCCCTCAGAACGCAATCACCGTTGTATTGTCGAGAGCCTGAATAAAAGCCGCGTATCCTTCGTTCCCGTCCTTCGCCGTCGCTGCATCTCCTTAGTTCCGTCCTTCGTCGTCGCCGCGTCTCCTTCCCTCTGGCCACCATGCTGAGCTCGTTCGCCACGCGAGCGGCGCAGCAATTCCAGCGCCACGCCGCCAGTCGCGCGTTCGGCGCGATCGCCGCTTATGCCGCCGCATCTGGCGGAATGGGCGGCATCGCGGCGAGCAGGTGGAGCAGCGTGTGGAAAAAGTGTCGTCCGGACGCTGCCGCTCCTGCCCCCAACGCCGCCAATTGCGGCGCACCGTTCGATTGCACGCAAGCCCCCCGTCCGACCACCGTTGATCTCGATTTTACGCAGCTCACGCCACTGGCGTTCGCGAGGCGCTTCAGCGCCGGTCCCGCCGCATCTGGCGCCGGCGACATCGGCGTGGAGAGCGCAAATAAGCCGCCTGAAAAGGCCGCTGCAAACAGTGGCAGTGGCATTGGCAGCGCGGATAACATATACTTACATCACACCAAGTACGCTTCAATAGTAGCAACAAATACCGATTGTTTTTTCCCCCGAAAAAAACGCCATAGCCACCGTCATGAGAATGATTTGACAGCTTGTCGTTTTGTGTGGTCGGAAAATCATTGCGTCTTTGATCCACTACGGTCCCCTCCATGCTTTCTTTTTGGCTCATCTAATTTCATACTGTCTCAAATTGCAGCGTGGGTTCCAACGTGCATTCCGCCGCCGTCACCATCGGCCTGATCCACGCGCTCGAGCCGCTGCGCCCCGGAATCGGCTACTTCCGCCCGATCGACTGCACCACGCACGGCGGAAACCGCGCGGAGCTCATGCGGAAAATTTTCCGCCTATCCCCCCCCGCGCGCGACATGTACGGAGTCACGCAGGACCGCGCGACGACGCTGCTACACGCGAATCGCGTGGATGATCTACTCGACGACGTGCTGATGTCATACGAGCGGTGCCAGCGAGAACATGATTTCATGGTGGTGGAAGGGACGTCGCTAAAAGACGGGACTATCTCGGCCCCCGTGAATGGGCTCATCGCGTCCGCGTTAGGAGCGCCTGCGATATTATTAACGGACGCGCGAGTTGCTGCTGAGACCAGCCACGTATGTCCGCTCCTCTTCTCTCCTCTCCTCTTCTCTCCTCAGGAAGGCTTCCCTTCTACCGCCCTATTGCCCGCCCCGCCACCTCCTCCCACCCCACTCCCCCCGCCCGTTCCGCTGTCCCCGACTTCCCTTCCCCGTCGCGTTTTTCGAAAGAATAATTTCGATCATTCTTACAAATCCCCCCATTCCCCCCCCACCTTTCCCCCATCGCTTCCCCCTCTCTCCTCCCCCCTTCTCCTTCTTCCCCTCTCCTTCCCCCTTCCCCCTCCCCCACCGCATCCCCCCCCTGCAGCCAAACTTTACCATGGAAGAAATCGACTGGGAGGCGGACGCGGCGCAGAGCATGCTGGACCACGCGCGCATCCTACGGAGCACGCACGTCCACGTGGCAGGCTCCTTAATCTACCGCGCGCCGCCCAATAGTAGCTTCAGCAGTGGCAGCAGCACTAGCAGTAGCACTACTAGCAGTGGTTCTACCACCACCATTGGACAACCGACCTCCTCTCGCGGCTCCCTCCGCTCCTCCCCCCACTCCGCGGCCCCCCGCTCCCGCTCCCGCTCCCCCCCTCGCTCCGCCCACCCCCTCCGTTTCCCTTCCCGCCCCGCCTCCGCCTCCCGCTCCGCCTCCCGCTCCGGGCCGCGCCTGCGTGACTATATCGAAGCCCACTCGCGCTCCCAGGCGTATATCCGCCCGGCAGAGGAACACCAGCATCAGCCAATCCCGGTGCTCGGGATAATACCAGAAGATTCCTCGTTACAGTCACTCTCGGTAGAGGAACTGAGACGGGCTGTTCTGGGGGAGGTGTTATATGGGCCGCAATCTGCCTTTGCTGCGGCTGGAATGGCGGGAACGAGGAGCATCAACATCAGCCGCAGCCGCAGCCGCAGCAGCAGCAGCAGCAGCAGCTACTTTTTCAGCATTCCCGCAACGACCCCAGCTGTCGCAGCTACATCCCGCCACGTCAGCGGCAGCCATGACACGTCAGAATCCAGCATGTACCGCGTCAGCAGCCAGCTAGAAATGGGGTCCAAGGCGTCACAAATGGATGTGACTAAAACGATCGTGGCGACGGCACCGTTTCACGAGCTCGTGGATGAAATCCCGAGCGCGTGTGACTACACCGAGAATGGGGTGTACAGTGGCAGTAGCGAGGGCGGAGTGTGCATTGTAACGCACGCGAGCGACACGGACGTGCTCATGGGGGCAATGCAGCTCAGCCAGGCGAAAGCTGACAAGCGGGTAGCGGCGGTTGTCCTATCTGGTGGTACACCACCGACTCTCACCATCGATCACATGATAAGGGTACGCTGCTTTTTCTGTGAATAATAATAAATAATCTTGCAAATATTTCTCCTTGTCACTTTATTCCCCACCTCCTATCCTTCCTTCTTCCTTTTCCCTCAACCCTCCTTTCTCCCCCTCTCCCACCCCGTCCCCCTCTTCCCCCTTCCCCCTGCCCTCCTCCCTTGCTTGCAATCAACCAACATGTGCGCCTCTCTTCCCATGCTCCTCTCCCTCCCCGCCCCACACGCCCTTCCCCCTGTTCCCCATTCCACAGTCCACCAACCTGTCGGCCGCGCTCCCGGTCCTCCTCTCCCCCCTCGACCCGCACGTCATCTGTCTCTCAATCGCTCGCGCCCACTCCTCCCTCCACGCCTCCTCCCCAGCCAAAATCCGCCGCGCCCGCGACCTCTTCCAAGAACACGCCGACACGCCCGCCATCCACCGCATCCTCTTCCAGGAAGCTTCCTCCGCCCACCCCGCGCACGTCACCCCGCGCGTGTTCGAGTGCGGGATTTTCTCCCGGGCCCGGGAGGCTCAATCACACGTGGTCCTGGCGAAAGGCACCGAGCCCAAGGTGGTGCAAGCGGCGGGGGAGGTTTTGAGAAGGTCCCTTTGCAAGCTGACTCTTCTCGGGAATCTCGAGGAGGTTCTTTTGCAGGCGAAGAATCAGTGCGTGGATTTATCCGGAGCTAATATTGTCGATCCCGGAGCTAGCCCGGACCTGGATCGGTACGTGGAGTTGATTTGCCAGGCGCAGATTGAGCGGGGGGTGACGATGAGTGTGGAGGAGGCTCGGCGGCTGCTGCTTTCCGACCCTGCGTCGTTTGGTTCGGCGATGGTTGCTGCGGGGGAGGCGGACGGGATGGCGGTCGGCGGGATTCGGCCGGATGGGAATGGAAGGATTGTGCGGGGGGTGATCAAGACGCGCCCGGAAATGCCTGTGGTTTCGGGGGTAGTTTTCATGTGTCTCCCGGATAAAGTGCTGGTTTACGGAGACAGCGCGGAAAACACCCTTCCTCTGATTGGTTCCAACTCCACAGCTGTGGCACCGAGCCTGGGCGCTTCAGCTCCGGTCAATGGGAGCGCGGGAAACGGGCTTGCCACTGCCGATCCAACGGCTGAGGAGCTTGCGATGATCGCCATGTCATCGGCTGACACGGCGGCGGCCTTTGGCGTGGAGCCACGTGTCGCCCTGCTGTCGGCGCAATCAAACCAGCAGGGCGCTTCTAGAGGTGAGGGGATGATGGATTGGTTGCAGGGATGGTCAAAGCTAGAGCATGGGAGGGGGCTGGGGGGGGAGGGGCTGGGCGGGGAGGGGCTTTGGAAGGGGGAAAGGGGGAAAGGGAGGGGGGAAGGAGGGGGGAGGGGATGCCCGATTGGGTGTTTTTTGGTCCGTTGGACTGACATGATGACTCCCAACATAATAATGACGTAATAATGACGCCATTACACCTTTACTCAATCCCTGCTGCACCCCCCCCCCCCCTTCTCCATCTCGCTGTGGCAGGTCATCTTGCGGAGAGAATAGAGGAGGCAGCACACATAGTGAAGGAGCAAAGACCCGACCTAGCAGTCGAGGGGCCCCTTCCGTATGCCACCGCCGTGGGTGACAAAAAAAGGAGCGGATCTATTATATGTGAGAACTCGGATGTGGCGGGGAAAGCTACAGTACTGATTTTTCCCGATATGCACAGCAGCACGGATATGTACAAGCAGCAGCGGACGTCGGGAGGTGTAGCGATGGGGACTGTTTTGCAGGGTTTGAGACGGCCTGTTAGTGACGTGACAAATAGTGATACAGTGAGGGATCTGGTTACCACAATTGCCATAACTGGTGTGCAGGCAGCAACCATGGCATCTGATCTTGGTACATCTTCCTGCTAGCTCTTAAGTTGTAGTTTATCATATGTATGCTGATATAATTGATTCTATCTACACATTCTATCTATCAGCACATAAAATGTACACCAGGTGTGGGATTCGCTGAGCAACTAGTAAGAGCGTATTACGTACCCTTTTATTTTGGGGCCTGGTCGATGTTGCCTCGAACGGATGGGTTGGGTTGAATGTAGGGTTACCAGATTACCCGAGAGTGTACAGTATACAGTAATGGACGTGTCTACCAAGGCACTCTCACAGTTGGTCGAGGCGACCAGGTCTCAAACAACTGGTTGGTCGTGCCCACATGCAACCAGGTCGAGGCAACCAACACGCAAACGTACCAACTTGGTGCGCAACCGAGGGTCGCGAAAACATTGCGGGTAGGTTGCACTAATTAGACTCATTGTGACGGGTGCAAGAAACCTTTTCATCGAGGATTAGCCACTAAAATTGATGCAGTGATTGTTGGATCTACCCCGAATACTACTTGCATGGTTGGGTCCCAAAAACTGGCGGGTGGTACATTTGCAGGTTGCCTGCTGGGTACCCAACCAGCCAAACTTACAACCAGGTCGACTCAACCAGACAGGTTGGGTCGACTTTTAGAGGCAACCGCTGCCTGCCACCAAAATAAGGGGTACGTAACACGCTCTAAAATTCACTTGACTCGACGTCACACTGCACACAGCATGCGATGCCTTGTTGTACCCGCTACAATGTGATGTGGATTGGTGGTACGAGTCATTAGATCGTGTTACGTACCCCAGTCGAGGCAACCAGCAAGTTTGACCGCACATTACCGAGATTGGTCTAGAATGTAACGCATACAACCTAGGTGTTTTCAAACTCCAAATTGGCTGGTCGAGGCAACAAGCACAGGCTAACGACGACCATTCCGGTCGTTTTGTCAAATGAAACGTGTTTCGACCGCTCGCCTCACCGGAGCTGACGGACCAGACTGAACCAAACAGAGCTGGGCGAAGCTGGAATGCTCCGCATTTGACGGTGACTTTCGGTTTGTTACAATCTGAAGTGGGACTTAACGAAACAAGGATCGTTCAGGGTTGATCGCAGGTAGTGTTGCAGCGGAAGTAGTGAACTCAGGTCAGAGTGAATGTAAAATGACTGAGATGATAATAGCATGCATACATAGGGTTTATATAGAAATACAAAGGAATGCGAAACGACCTAGACTAGCCATGTACTCTAAGGGGTACATTCCCTTATTGCAGTGAATTTCAAACCGTGCGGCGCGGGAGTCAGTTTCAAACCTGTTCCCGCTCTTTTCATTTCAAATGTCTCTGCCTGCATCGGTCTCGATCAGGCGGTTGCTGTGTCGCTTCGATTCTTCTGACTCCTCGTCTTCGTACTCGGTAGAGTCGGCTCCTGCAGCGTACAGGAATGCCTTCTCATTGAACTTCGTATCGTAACACTCCCCTTCATTCCTGAACGCGAAGGATGCTGACTTGCTTGACCACTCCAGTGAGATCAGAGCAGTGTTTGAACTGCTGACGTGGTAGCCGCTTGGTAAGGAAGTCGGCTGCCATTTCAGTGGTCGGGCAGTATGCGAGGTCAACCTTGCCTTGGTCGATTTCGTCTTTGACGAAGAAGTACCGCAGTGCGATGTGCTTTGTGCGGTTCACGAACCCAGGCTTGTTCGCGATCTTGATCGCGCTCTGGTTGTCGCAGTGCAGGCGAAAGGTGGGCGAAGTTGGGATTTTCGCTTCCTGTAGCAGCTCCTGCAGGTACAGACCTTCGCGAACTGCTGCTGTCGCGGCGATGTATTCAGCTTCGGCCGATGACAGAGCAACCAGTTCCTGCTTCTGCGAATTCCAGGAGATGGGGCCAGTTGGCTCCAAGCGGAAGACAAAGCCGGTTCGGGACCGTCGATTCGCTAGGTCAGCGGCGTGGTAGGCATCCACATAGCCGTTGAGGTTGAAGGATGTCGTTGACAGCGTGGAGTAGGAGAGCCCGATGTCAGGTGTGGAAATGAAGTACTGCAGGGCGCGCTCCAAGTCCAGCTGGTTCTCGGCTATTGGCTTGCGTGAGTACTGTGCCAGTTGGCTGGCGATGTACGAGAGGTCGGGTCGGCATGTGACAGATGCGAACAGCAGGCAACCCAGTTGCTGCTGGTACAGTTGGAGTCCGGCAGGGGACAGAGGTTTGTTGTCCGGTTTGTAGTTGGTGCCGGGGTTGCGGTAGGGGGTTGAGATTGGTGCGCGTGAGATGTTGAAGCGCTCCCCCAGCTGCTCTGCGTATTTTGAAGCTGACAGGTGAATTGCTTCTGGCGCGTGGGTGATGTTCAGACCCAAAAACTGAGTGACTTTGTGGTTGATGGTGATGTCCACGCGCTTTGCCAGATTTTCTTCGAACTGATTAAGGAGCAGGTTGCAGGTGCCAGTGTACAGCAGGTCGTCGACATAGACGGTGAGGAGGATGTAGTCACCGTTGAAGTGGAGGCGGTACATTCCCGGGTCGTGCGGCAGCTGTCTGAAACCTATCTCGATCAGGATCTTGTGCAGATGCTGCTGCCAGAGACGAGGCGCTTGCTTGATCCCATAGAGGGACTTCTTCAGTTGACAGACCCTGGGATCACCTTCTCCGTAGGTGTGTGGCTGTTCCACAAAGATGGTGGCGTCCACCAACGCGTATAAGAACGCGTTCTTCACGTCGATCTGTCGCAGTGGCAGATGCTTAGCGGCGGCAATGGCGAGTAGAATTCGGACTGAGGTGTGACGGCTGACGGGAGCAAAGGTTTGATCGAAGTCAATGCCGTGGCGCTGGTCGTATCCTCGTACGACCCACCGGGCTTTAAAACGCTCGATAGTGCCGTCAGCATTAGTTTTCAGACGAAAAACCCATTTGCCGCTCAGTACCCTTCTCCCCTTCACTGCTGCACGATCGACTAGAACCCAGGTGTTACGGGATTCCAGCGCCTTTAGCTCCGCATCCATCGCAGCACGCCACTCCTTGGCGTGGGGGCCGGTTAGGGCCTGGCGAGGGTTCTTTGGTTCTGCAGCCCGGGCAAGGGTAGAGACGGATGCGTGCAGGCCGAGAAGCTGGAGGCCTGACACGGTGGTGGTGCCTGTGGTGGTGGGAACTTCCACCACATCGTCGTCTCCGCTTTCGTAGCCGGGTGTTGCAGCGCGTGGCTCTGCTTGGCGCCGTGATGGTCCTGGCGCGGGGTCGTCGTCACTGTCATCGTCGTCGTCGTCGCGCGGGCGAGGCGGGACGCTGGGATGTTCGTGGGTATCGTCACGGTCTAGAACTGCTGCTGCGGCCTCATCTTCCGGAGTTGCAAAGCTGCGGCCGCTGTTGACGTAGCCGCGTGCCTGGTTTCGGTGTTCGTCCTCGATCCACTGCTTCAGGGTAAGTCGTTCGTAGAAGAAGATGTCGCCCGCGGGAACGATCTCGTTACTGTCAATGTCAAGGATAAGCCAACCTTTGTGCTCGTGACTGAGCCCCAAATGAATTCCCCAGCGCGCACGATGAACGAACTTGCCAATTGTGGCCGAGGTCGGCCGATATTGCACCATACACCCCCAAACCCGCAGCATGGAGGGGTCTCCCCTTGAGCCGGTCCACTTCATGTGGGGGGATAGGTTATCCCTGTTGGCGGTGGTGGAGAGGAGGTTGTGCAGGCGCACCGCGTGGTTCATGGCGTAAGGCCAAAACTTCTTGGGCAGGCCAGACTGGTTCATGATGGCGCGGACTTTGGTCATGAGGGTGCGATTGACCCTCTCAGCGACGCCTTGCTGCTGATGAGCGTAGGGGAGAGAAACTTCATGCTTGATCCCCTTCGCAGCGAGGACACTCTCCAGCTCGTGGCTGCGAAATTCTTTTGCCCCATCACTCTGCCAAATCTTCAGTTTCCTCCCTGACTGTCGTTGCGCGTGCGCGAGGAAGATGCGGAACACGTCCGGAGCTTTTGAGCGAGCATCGACGTTGGCGATCCACACATAGCGCGAGTAGGCGTCGATGAAGGTCAGCGTGTATTTTTCGCCGTTGAGTCCGTCGCAGGTGAGTACGATGAAGTCACTGTACTTGTAGCGGTAAGTGCTCGGCTCTAGAGAGGGGTAGGCGGTGTGGGAGAGTGCAGCTGTGGGACAGACAGTGCAGGTGGTCGGGTGTGGCGTGGTACTCTGGCAAGTTAGCGAGTGTCTGGCGTGAGGGGTGGCCCAGCCGCTGATGCCAGAGGTCATTTTCGGCACGTATGCCGGAGGTGCGCTTGTAACGGGCGTGCTGTTCCGCTTCTTCTGCTTCCGTAAGTTGCGGAATCTGTAGTGGTGGTTCTTCTTCCTCTCCTGGTTCTGCTTCGGGCCCCTCTTCTTCTGTCTCTGTCGTTGTCTCCCCTTCTGCAGGTGCCGTTGTGAGATAGAGGGCGAGAAATTCGCGGTCGGGGATGGTATTTAGCGGCGTCTTCGTGCCTTCGATGAGGCGCGCAAATGGATCTGGACGAGAGATTGGACCGAGAGAGTCTCGTGCTGGTGTTGGAGGTATGTTCCCCTCCTCAAGCTCTGTCCAGGTGCTTTCCCATCGGTGGGGTGAACGTGGAGGCGAGTGTGCGGGTGGCGGTCGCCCGAGGGGTATGGTGACGCGGGGAGATTCGTCTCCGCGCTCAGCTCGCATCTCTCGTTCTGCTGTCTCCAGTTCTTCCAGTGTTAGTTCTGCCTCTTCTGGTGTTGCACGCCCCATCCGCCTGTGGTAACCATGCCGCTGGCTGCAGTACCCCAGGCGCCAGTAGCGGATCCCCAAGTGGCGCCTTCCTCTAGTTCGTAATCTTCATCTCCCCATGCCCCTCGTCGTGCGGTTTCCTCGCTCCATCCTGCCGCAACGCGTTCCTCGTACAGCTTCTGTTTCTTTTCTGCCCTGGCCTTCTCCCGTTCTTCCTTGATGCTTAGTTCTCCTTCTGCGTCAGGGTCTTTCCACGCCGGGTCAATTTCGCGGCGATAAACTTCGCGAGTGTACGGGCGCGGTCGATTTTCTTCATCGAAGGTGCTGGTGTTGGCTTCGAGCATGAAGCGGAGGGTGTCGGAGCGCGGCGTTGGGCGTGGCACCGGTTGTTGGCCGAATTGCTTGTTTTCTTCTCCAAAGATGCGGTAAGTTGCGACAGCTAGTTCTTCTTCTGTCATGCCAGTTGGTTCCTCCTCAGCGCTTTCTGCCTCCTGGATCGCCGCGTACTCTCTTTCGACTTGCTCCGTGCGGCTCGCCGTGGGCGTGTGGCAGGTGGTGGAGAGGCCGTTGATGTCGGGCTCGTGCAGATTGATTTCGCGGGGATGTGGACTTCGCCGGATCCATGGCCGTCCGTCCGGATGCTGCCACGATTCTTCGTTCATGAAGGCGAAGTCGAGAGGGACAAGATCCACGAGTTCGTCGGATGAAGCTTGGCAGTTTGGTATGTCAAAGTCCAGAACGTAGATCCCGTTGATTGACCGAGCTCGTCCGAGGTATTTAAATGACTCGGGCGGTGTGTTGGGAGGAGCGTAGGTGAGGATGAGGTCGCGCGTGGCCAGATCCGTGGTGAGGATGACACCGCAGTCGCGAAGTTGTCCTGCCGAGAGGAGATTGAAGCGAAGGTCCGGAACGTAGAGCACGTCATTGAAAGAGATGTGTGTGTTGCTGTCTCGAGATTGCAGGACGACGATGCCTTGTGCGTTGGCGCGCAGCTGATGGTTGTTGGCGACGGTGACGTAGGTTGCGGGGGCGCGGCTGAGGTTCGAGACGTATCGAACCGATCCCACCATGTGCTGTCCGCAGCAGCTATCCAGGTACCAGGTGTTAAGGTTATCGGTGTTGTTGTTGCGTAGTAGCAATGCGAGTCGCGGAGTCACCAGTGTTGCCTTGTAGCGCCTGTGGAAAGATGGGTCTTCGTCCTCCTTCCATCCTACAGGTACGTAGTGTTGATTGTCGTGCGGCGGGCTTTCCCGCAAAGTGATTGGCAGGTTCCAATCTTGTTCGTCTTCGTCGTAATAGTGGTTTTCGGTGAAGGGGTTGTTCCATCCTTCTTCTGGCTCGAGTAGTTCTCCTCGGAGTTCGTCTTCTTCGTCTGGTTTGGCGGTGCGGCGGCGCCGTGTCACCATGTTTGCCGTCACGTTTCTGGGAGCTCCAACCTGACTTCCCTGTACTTGTTGTTGTTGAGCAGGAGGACGGGGAGCTGATTGTTGAGGCTGAGGATGACGAGTGTCTTGTCGGCCGACCCAGTTGTTGTGGTGAGTGGAATTTGGGTGGCGATTGTTGAATCGAGACTTGCATCGATCCGTTGAGTGTCCGAAAACTTTGCAGTTTTTGCAATAATGGCGCCTTGGTTGTCGTCGCTCTTCTCGGTTGTCTGTGTAGAAGGCGAGTCGCTCTCGGCGTGGCGCGGAACTCGTTCTGCTCGAGTCCATGTCCTGCTGTTCAGTCAGCAGTGCGGCGCATAGCGCGGCTTCAGAGAGCTAACCTCGTTGTCGGAGTAGCGCCTTGCAGGGCTTCCACTCGGGCCCAAGTCCCTGGAGGACGATGTTGACGAATATCTCCTCCGTGATAAAACTTCCGTTCTTGATAATTTGATCACGAATGTTCCGACAACGGTTGATGTAGCTGTTTGCTTTCTCCCCGTGCCCCATTTTGGTCTCCATGAGTTGTTGCAGGAGACGACTTGCAGTGACGGAATCCTTCGGCTGATATACCTCAACGAGGTGCTTCCAGGCTTCTAGGGCTGGAGCGGCGCTCTCTTTGTAGGAGCGGATGCCGAGCTGTTCTGCAGGCGACATGTTGCGCAGCAGGACGCTATACGCCATAAGTGACTCACTGTAGTATTGAGCCCGGGCGTCTTCGGTGTTTTCCACCGGTTTAGGATAGGAGCCGTCGAAGTAGTGATAGATCTGCGCTGTTTGTAGGAGGAGCTCCAGCTCAAAACTCCATGTATAAAAATCCTTGCCGTCAAATGCGGTAGTAGTCTTAATTTTTGACACACTGAGGAAGCGTGCTTGCGCAGAGTTGATTGTCTCGTCGCTTGGACGGGGGGCAGTTGTTGCAGATTTGTCTGAGTCGAGGGAGAAGCCATGCGCGGCGGTATCGCGGCTTTTCGCAGCCGGTTGTCCAGGTTGCACTGGTTGGGAAGTGGTTCCCGCATCGCCTTTGCGCAGTTCTTGGAGTTCTTTCTCCATAGTTGACAGTCGAGCGAATAACTGCTCGAGTGCGGCTGTGCCGATCGTAGTTGTCGCCTCATTTGTCGCAGCCGGGTTGGTTTGTCCTTCGGCCGTTAGATTTGTTTGACCTCCGGATCCTCCGGCCATCTTGGTCTTGGAGCGTGTGCCGCTCGCCAGATTTGGGTTCGGCGAATTTTATGGGAGTGACGTTGCGAAGAATCCCTGAGTAGCTCTCATACCATGTTACAATCTGAAGTACGACTTAGCGAAACAAGGATCGTTCAGGGTTGATCGCAGGTAGTGTTGCAGCGGAAGTAGTGAACTCAGGTCAGAGTGAATGTAAATGACTGAGATGATAATAGCATGCATACATAGGGTTTATATAGAAATACAAAGGAATGCGAAACGACCTAGACTAGCCATGTACTCTAAGGGGTACATTCCCTTATTGCAGTGAATTTCAAACCGTGCGGCGCGGGAGTCAGTTTCAAACCTGTTCCCGCTCTTTTCATTTCAAATGTCTCTGCCTGCATCGGTCTCGATCAGGCGGTTGCTGTGTCGCTTCGATTCTTCTGACTCCTCGTCTTCGTACTCGGTAGAGTCGGCTCCTGCAGCGTACAGGAATGCCTTCTCATTAAACTTCGTATCGTAATACGGTTGAAGCGCAGCCGTCAACGTTGCTCCATTCTCCTACAGTCTGGATTGTGTGCTCGTCACGTCAGTCATCGTGCCACATCGCCGGTCCCCAGAAACGAGCTCTGGCTGACGACCTGTCTGGTTTTTCCGACGGTCCGTCTAGTCCCATGTGACAACCAGTTTGTGTAGACGCCGAGCCACGTGTCCATTTGCCATTTTTGTACATTGTGTGAATGCGACTGATCACTGATCGCGGGAGATGTGTCAATTTTCAGCTGCGATCGTTACAACGTTGCGGTCGCCATATTTCGCCAATCGACCTGCTCACTCGATTGAGGGGCTCGATATACGCAGACGATCCTGCGATATTTGCACTTCACCGTGTCCTAAGCCTAAAATCCAAAGGACACGCGCCCTAAAGAGGTACGTAACACGACGACCATTCCAGTCATTTTCACATGAAACGCGTTCCGACCGCTCCCCTCACCGGAACTGACCGGACCAGACTGAACCAAACAGAGCTGGGCAACTGGAATGCTCCGCACTTGACGGTGAGTTTCGGTTTTGGCGGCGTGGAGTTGAAGCGCAGCCGTCAACGTTGCTCACAGTTTCACTCGCATTCTCCTACGGTCTGGATTGTGTGCTCGTCAGTCGTCGTGCCACATCGCTGGTCCCCAAAAACATGGCTGACGGCTGACGACGACGACCTGTCTGGTTTTTCTGACGGTCCGTCTAGTCCCATGTGACAACCAGTTTCTGTAGACGCGAGCCACGTGTCCATTTGCCGTTTTTGTCGCCGAGTTGTGCCAGTCAAACGTAGGTTGACGGGGCTGTTCAATCAGCCTCATTCGTTTTTTTGCCATGCTGGCTGGAGCGTGAGCTTGGCGCAGCAACAACAATCTGCGCACCGACACTCCATTTTGTTTTCACGGAAAAGCAACAGCCACTTTCCCCTGCCCCAACCGAGCAAACCAAGCTCGAACAGCCAGATCTGCCGCCTCCCGAGGGGCAGCAAGTGCCTGGAAAGCAGAGAAAAGCTTTTCCCACCTGCCCTACCATTTCGCCCCTTATGCCCATTGGCCAGAGGCAGCCCGTTTGAAATGCCAAGAGGGCGTTTCATTCTCCAGGAGGTGTCGCGGCGGGGAAAAGGGGGCATGCTTTGGGGCGGGTAGTGCCCTGCGGAACTGTTTGAGAACACGGGCAGGGGTCAGGGCCCGCCCGAGCCAAACGAAGGAAGAAACGATCTGAACGAGCAAATGAAGCGAGCCTACCGAGATGAACGATTCGGCCGAGCCGCGCCAAGAGGTTGGGCAGTTGAACACGGATGATGTGGAGATCAGGGGAGGTGACCTTGTTTGGGGAGCAATGGGTTCCGTTTTTACATCAACATCACTGGGGGCGCGGCGCGGAGTGGAGTTGAGCGGAGAAGAGCGAAGCGCGCGCCATCCCAAGAAATTCGAGGCCAATGCAGTTGTTCGTCGCCCGCGTGCAGCGCGGTGCAGCTGGCAAGGCAAGGCAAACCCACCACCCACCACCACCACCCAGCGCAGTGCTGCTGCGCTGAGCTACCCTGCGTTGCGCTGTGGTGCAATGTAATGCACGCCCCGCCGTGCTGCACTCAACCAGACCAGAAAGAATTCCACCGATTGCCGGAAATCCGCGGCCCCCTCGGCCTCCGCATATCGCGTCACAGTTATTCGTCCTCAAGCCGACGCCAGCGCCCATCGCGTACCTCACTGGTTCCGCGAATCGGAGTGCCTCACATTCCATACTGACCTGGCCTTATTTAGACTTGGCATCCCATTCAAGGCTAACAAGACTCGTAAATCGACGTGGCTCTCTCTCAACAGTCTCGAACTCGTTTCCCTGACTCCCGACTTAGCTCACGCAGCGTGCTCTGCATAAGCTTAGCGTGAATAATTACATATTAATCCCCTTCTTTCCATCAGCCCCTTACTTCGTAAGAACGTTCTTGCTGCGACTAACTTCTCGTATCAGCCGTAAGAGTGAACAATCATGGAGCATCGATCTACAGCCTCAGCGTACTCGCACCATCACCATCAACACCGCATCGAAATCCTCCCCACCGCCGCGCTTCGCGCGAGCTTCACCGCTGTCGACGTGCTTGGCAAGGGGCAGTACGGCGTCGTCTGGCGCCTCGTTGACCGCCGCACCGCGCGCCAGTTCGCATGCAAGCGCGTCTCGCGCGCCGCGTGCGGAGAAAACGCGCACGCCACGGCGCGGCGGGAGATCGAAATCATGGCGAAGCTTCGCGGAAAGGGCTGCGGACATATAATCGGCTTGGAAGGAGTGTACGCGGACCGAGATTCGTTATACATGCTCATGGAGCTCGGGACCGGAGGGGACCTTTTAGCGAAGATACAGAATGAAGGGATGCTTAGCGAAACGGAGTCCCGAGATATTTTCGCGTCGGTGGCTCGCGCCGTTAAAGAGTGTCACGATAACAGCATTATTCACCGCGACATCAAGCCCGAAAACATCCTTCTCTGCCCGAAAAAAACAGCTCCCGGAGCCGCAGCCCCGGATTCTTTTTCGCACAACATTTCGCAATCGTCCTCTGCGGCGGGAAACCCGCAACACGTCGCGAAACTCACCGATTTCGGCCTGTCGCTGGAGCTGCCACGCTGGCAGCAGGTGGTTGGCTACGCGGGAAGCTACCCATACGAGGCGCCCGAGGTGATGGCTTTAGAGCCGTACGATGAATCCGCTGATATCTGGAGCCTCGGCGTGTTGCTGTACGCGATGCTTTCGGGAACATGGCCTCTGTTCCGTGATAACGTTAGAGCGCTCGACGATATCGCGGATTGGGAGGCGCCCTGCTGGTCGTCGATCTCGGACGACGCGAAGAATCTCATCCGTTGGATGCTCGCTGTCGACCCCCTCATGCGCCCCACGATTGACCAAATACTCGCTGACACGTGGCTAGCTCCACCTCCCCCGCCTCCCTCCCGCCGCTTCACCCATGCTGACGACATCCCTGCCGCGTTTCCCGCCGCGATTCCCGCCTTTGTTGCAATTCCTGACATCAAGTTCCCCCAACCTGACTTTCCCGAGCCTAACTTAACCAAACCTGCATCCAAGAAGCTGGAAGTCTCTATCCCCGAAGCTCCAGAACACCCGGTTAGCCCGAAAAAAAACTCTCCTCGTGGGAACTACTTCAGCAGCCCCAAGCATGCAGCAGCAGCGCTGAAGCACGTGGTCCCCACGTGCCTGGCTTTCAAGATGCGCGCCGGGCGGCGGGGATCGTCCCGTGTGGCGCCGACAGCTGTCTGCCTCTCGCAGTCGGTTGACGGGGCGGCAGGAGCCAGGCAGAGCCGCCCAATCGCAGCGTAAACGGGCGGCGGAACTCTGCTACAACAGCCCACTCTCAAGGATTCTTTTCTGCAAGGTTACCGTGTTACTACGGAAGACGGTTTTTTGTTACTACGCACAGTACTTCGCTCAGACACGGCCACTGATTTCAATTGGCATCACAGGGAGAGTTGCCCAATTGCCCATCTTCCCCTCAGCCTCTCAGGTTTGGGCAAATGTGCAACTCCTTCCTCCCTCCTCCATCCTCTTCACCCCCCCCCCCCCCCCCCCCTCCTTCCTTCTCCTCTCTTCCTCTCCCTCCTTCCTCTTGTCACTCTCTCCATCTCCTACCTGTTCACCTTCCCTGGCCCGCCGTACCTGTTCCCTGCTGCAAAGTCCCCTTCTTCCTCCCAAATGGAGCAGCTCATGTGAATTATGAGGTCAGCAAAATATCTATATAGGCATTCCAGTAAGGCTGCACAGTGGCGTGCTAGATCCGATTCCTGATGACAGAATGATGTAATGTAGCTTTTAGACCGTACATATTGCCAGTAGAGCACTGTACAGCTGTAGGTTGCTATTGTAAATGGCTTGTAAAAAAAGAATTAACAGCATGTTTCTGAGACCTCAGCTTTTGGTCATAGACCACACAAGATCACCAAGAATGAGACAAGAATTGTAACAAAGTGTGCCAGAGCAGTTGGCCAACCAGAGTCATACCATTACTACCATACATACCATAGTACACCTCTTTATTGTTACCCATGTCCCAAAGGTCTAAACAATTGAAAGGCAAAATTCCGGCATCGGTAGTGAAGCATCCGATAATGATCCAATAATGTATAAACAATGTCGCAGAAAAAAGCGAGGCATGGGAACTGGTCTATTCTCCCCCGTCTCTTCATCATCAGAGTCCCTAGTAGGATAATGCAGAAGGGTGGGTCTATTAATCAGTCGGACTCAATTTGAGACATCCTAATGAGCGGGCATAGGTGACGGCGGGGTAAATCCTGGTATGGGAACAGGTATAATTTCCCCCGTCTCTTCATCGTCTGAATCCCTCGAAGGGTGATGCAGCAAAAAGGGTTCCCGGGAAGGATCAGGAGGGGAGAGAGAGGAGGAGGAGGCGGTTGAAGCTGCGATGAACCGGGGAGTGGGGAAGAGAGAGGAGGGGAGAGTGGGGATGGAGGTGGGTTGGGTGGCGGATGGAGGGAAGGAGGAGAGAGAGGTTCCGGGGGGGTTGAGTACGGTGGTGGGGTTTCTGGGAGAGTGGGGTCCAGATGACGGCGAAGAGAGGGAGGAGGAAGAGGTGGAGGAGGAGGAGGAGGAGGAGCGGGAGGGTCTGGTTCTACTGTTGCTTCCAGATGCGGAAATCGAGGGGTTAAGTGTGGTGTTAAACAGACTAGAGGAGTTGGATGCGGTGGGCAGGGATGGGAGGGGTGAGAAGGAGCGGATGAGGGGGTAGAGCAGGAAGGAGACGAAGTGGGCAGTGGAAGCAGCGACAGGGGAAGAGGAGGTTAGAGCAGTGGTAGCGGTAGTGGAGGAGGAGGAAGGGGAGGTGAGAGGAGGAGGGGAGGAGGGAAGGAGGTGCGTGGGAGGGTGTGCGTCTCGCTTGCAGACGGGGCAGAAGGGGCGGCGGGTGGTCAACCACTGGTCAACGCAGTCAACGTGGAACTCTGAGAGGGGGCGGGGGGAGTGTACGGGAAACGCGCACAGCAAGAACGTGAGCATTCGAAACAAAGGCAGAGGGAACTGGCATATAGAGGGATAATATGAAGCCAGACAGACAGATAGTCACACACACCATACAAGCACGGTCCATCCATGAACCCCTCTGACTCAAAAGTCATCCACCTCTCTCTCCCCACCTGCCATACTTGCTACAACCTACCTACCCCTCTCACTGACTCACCGTGCGAGCAGGGCAGCAGGCGAAGCCTATCCCCCCACTCATAGTCCTCCAGGCAAATCGCACACGTCTTCATCTCCCTGCCCTCACCCCCTCCTCCCTCTGCTTCCACTGCCCCCTCTGTCCCCTCTCCTCCCTCTCCTCCCTCTCCTCCCTCTCTTCCCTCTCCTCCCTCTCCTCCCTTTCCTCCTCCTCCCTCTGCTCCCATTGCAGCAGCAGCAGCATCGTCACTACTAGTATCACCACAGATACAATCACCACAGATACAGTCACCACTGTTACTATCACGATCCTCACTTCCATCCGCAACTGACACAACCACACACCCGCTGGGTAGCAGGGGCCTTCTTTCCTCCCCTTGCTCCGGTGCTACAGCAGCTGCTACTGATGTTACAGACGCTACAGCTCCAGCTTCCCCTGTTAGGCCTCCCCTCGCTACTTCTCCTCCCTCTGCTGCTGCTACAGCTGTTGCTACAGATGCTGCTACAGCCGTTGAAACTCCTCTCGTGCCTTCCCCCTTGTCGCCTCCACCTTTCCCCACAGCCCCTTTTCCCCCACAGCTGCTACAGCCGACCCTGCTACAGCCGCCACCAAACACTGACACATTACTCGCATGCTTCCCTTTTGGCGGGAAAACCAATTCTGGCAGCGCCTTGACCTCCTCCTCTGACAATCCGGGCGGCTCCTGACGCGCCGCTAGCAGCCGACCGGCGCCGTCAGCGCCCATGGCTGTAGCGGCGGCTGCCACAGCCTGCCGCAGCCGGTGCCGCCTTATAAAGAGAAACGAGGCGAGGACTATAGAGAGGGAGAGGAGGGAGACTAGGGATGCGGTGATTACAGACCAGGCCGCATTGTCGAAGGTGGGGAGGAGAACGCAGATAGGGGGGGAGGGCTCGGGGGAGGAGAGGGGGAGAGAGAAGGGGGTGAATGGAGAGGGGAAAGGGGAGAAGGGGGAGGGGGAGGAGGAGGATGAGGATGAGGAGTCGGAGTCGGATGGTTGAGAAAAGCGGTTGATGATGTTGATTAGGGCGTGGCCGGAGGATTGAGTAACGAAGACTGCTGGAATGGCGATGCCCCACATATGCCGCCCTGACACTGGGAGGGGGGGGTGTGAGGGGGAGAACGAGAGGGGAGTAGGAGGGAGAAGAAGGGAGGTGGGAGTTAGAACGATGTGAAACGGGACTGCTGAGATGGCGAGGGAGGGGGGCGGATGGTTGGGAGAAGCGGTTGATGATGTTGATAAGAGCATGGCCAGAGGATGACTTTTGAGTCGACTCAAAAGTCAACTGAGCATGGCCAGAGGATGACTTTTGAGTCGACTCAAAAGGCAACTGAGCATGGCCAGAGGATGACTTTTGAGTCGACTCAAAAGTCAACTGAGCATGGCCAGAGGATGACTTTTGAGTCGACTCAAAAGTCAACTGAGCATGGCCAGAGGATGACTTTTGAGTCGACTCAAAAGTCAACTGAGCATGGCCAGAGGATGACTTTTGAGTCGACTCAAAAGTCAACTGAGCATGGCCAGAGGATGACTTTTGAGTCGACTCAAAAGTCAACTGAGCATGGCCAGAGGATTGAGTAACGAAGACTGCTGGAATGGCAATCCTCCCCTTCCCCGACTCCCCTCCCCATTTCAACCCACCCCTTTTCCCATCACAGAACGGACTCACGCCACCCCACCCCACCCCACGCCACCCTATGCCTCCCCCTCACGCCTCGCCACACCACGTACTCGTTATAATCCTCTTCCTGGGCTCGTTATTGTACACCACCGCGGCCGCGTACCCCGCGCGCTGCGCGTTCAGCACCTTCACGTCGAACAGGCAGTTGCCCCTCTCTATAAGCACAAACTCCGCCTCCCCCGCGAATTCCGCGGATCCCGCACCTTCCGCGGATTCCCCCTCCGCGGATTCCGTCCCCACGGGGTTCGTGAGCGGCTCGCACGCGTCGTAGGGGATGGCGCGGCGGAGCACCCCGCGCATGCCCGTCGAGGGGATAAGGCCGCCTGGGCATGGGGGGAAGACGGGGGGGAGACGGAGGGGAGACGAGGCGGAGACGGGGCGGAAGGGGAAAGGCGGGCGGAAGGGGAAATAAGGGCGCAACGGGAACGGGAAGCGGATAGCGAGTCAACAGAAAGAACGGCGCGGGGCGGAGCACTCCGCGCATGCCCGTCGAGGGGATGATGCCGCCTGGGGGAAGGGGAAGACAAGGAGGAAAACCGGGCGGAAAGGGAAGGGGCGGCGGTAAGAAAGCGGAATGGAAAAGTTAAAGGGGAAAGGGAAGGGGAAAGGGAAGGGGAAGGGAGGGAGGAGCGGGAAAGGGAAGGGAACGGAAGGCTGAGAGGGAAAGGGGAGCGGGAAGTAAGTCAACACTCCGCGCGGCGGAGCACTCCGCGTAGAGGAGATGAGGCAGCCTCGGGTAGGGGGAAGGGGAAGCGGAGAGTGAGCCACGTAGGTGACGTAGGATATTGAAAGGATTAAAAAAAAAAAACAAGAACAAAAACACAACAAATTGATTGTTACTGTAATAGAGACAGAATGACAACACTCCCATAAAGTGCTTTGAGAGACTGAAAATAGTGGTAATACCTTAAAAAAAACCCGAGGAAACACTTTGACCGCGCAAATGCGATTTTAAGAAGCGAAAGGAGGAGAACGTATCAAATGCGGCGTCGGCGTCTTCAAACGAGTACGTGGCGTCGTCCGGAGCGACTATGATGATGACGCCAGCAACTTCTGAGTCGGCTCAAAAGTCAACTCAAAGAAACTTACCTACGCGTGTGTGCGCGCGGTTGTGTGCTTATAAGAGGCGGCAAGAGGAAATCTCCTAACTCCCATGCTTTCTGATGAAGGGGTGCAGCGAGGGTGGAGGCGGGAGGTGGAGGGGGGGGAGGAAGGAGGGGGAAGAGGGGAGGGGGGAAGCGACGGGCGTACCGAACGCGGCGTCGGCGTCTTCAAACGAGTACGTGGCGTTGTCCGGAGCGATCATGATGATGACGCCAGCAACCGTCGCGACGCGCTGACACGCGACTACTAGGAACGCGACGAGGTACCATAGCACACGTGCGCGGCTGTGCGCTGCTGCGCCGCTCCAGCTGCTGCGCGAGTCACTGCGCGCGTGACTGCGCGGTGCTGCGCTCCCCCAGCTGCTGCGCGGCTGGCTGTGCGGCTGGCCCGGGTCATGGCCGAGCCTCCGACCGCGTTTTGAAATGGCTCCCATTTAAGCAGCTCCGATATTGAGTAATTTGTCGGGTTGGTGGCTCTTAGTACGAGAATTCCGTGCTGGCGCCACGGTCCCTAAGCGGTACTGATATTTACTAAGCTACTGAGACCGATACCGACAGCCATCCATCATCTAGGTTCATCCCCATGAGTAGCAAACTTATAACGGGTACAAGTTGACAGTCAACTGCACACACTCAATTCGAGAGTCCAGGAACGCGGAAAACTGTAGCCAAGAAAACGTTGAATAATACAAGTCGAAGCTGTGTGAACTAGTTTGTCTGTTGTCTCTTCACGCTAAGTCCCCATGCGTCGAATCCTAACAACCAATGCTGTCAGAACGAGCAAGCAGGTCTTCTGCTGATTCCGCCATGCCCAGACGATAGTTTGAGAACACGGTGTATGGGCTGCGTTTACGGTAAAACGCGGTTCCATAGGGTGAAGTTTGTTTCCGTCCGGTCTGTGGAACGTTCGCAGCACAGGAAGAATCTGAGTCGCATCTGCCCCGGTGGCGGAACACGAACGAGTTCGCAGGGACGTGGCACAACGGTTCTGGTCACGTTTGTGGAAAAATAAGGTGGAAAAGGGTTCTTTACGGTGAATCACGTTACGGAGAGGTGAAGTGCACCGCTGGCAAACCCTAAAATTGGGAAATGCTGCACGTCTGATTGCATTCTGAAAGCACCACTCAGGACCGTAAACAGCCAGACTGCAACGCTTTGGAATTCATTGAACCCTGTTTGCTTCCATCCAACCCGAACACCCTGAAATGAAAGGATGACCGAGTACCGTAGCCCGGTGTGTGATTTTTGGGGGGGAATCCTCAGATTCCAACTCGGACTTTGCTTGAAGCAAATATTTATTTGTAAAAAGGAAATCAATAATAGTACACATCAGTGCAAGGAATGGGTTGCTAGGGTGCTCGGGATCGTACCCTGTGATCTCCGGGCACCACAGCAACTCTTCCTGTTGACCTAAAACCCAGTTGAACAATCTAACCTACACCTAGCGCTGAGAACACTCATACAGGATCACCTATAAACGAAGATGCTCAGAGAACTTCGATGGGGATGCACGACGCCTCTCTGTGGCGTGTGATCGGGGAGAAAGCCTTCATAACGTGGTTCAGAACGGTGCGCGGGGATAGCTTTCCGCCCCAGCGTGGCTTCTCCGCGTTGCTGCCGCAGTTGTCGGTGCTATTGGTTGCACTCGCCAAAGACATGCTCCCCGCCGTGTCGGAATATGCTTTGACGATTCCCGAGGTGATATAAGCGTCTGATTGCGTATCAACGGCAGCCGTTCGTCCGTCGGACAGATTGACAGTCTCCATCTCTTCCTGAGATACCCACGGATGCGCCAGAACCTCATCAATCGTGAACCGTTCGTTCACGTCCACACACAGCATCCGACGGATGAGATCCTTCGCATCACACGACACATGCTTCCAGTCGTCCGATGCGAAATCCACCTTCTCGTCCAGGACCCGCTTCCCGCCGCTGAAAAGCGGCCACTTTCCCGAAAGCATCGCGTAGAGAGTCACGCCGAGGCTCCAGATATCCGCCGACTCGTCGTACGCAACCCCCGCCATAACCTCCGGCGCCTCGTATGGCTTGCTGCCGGCATACCCGCGAATCTGCTCCCACCACGGCACGTCGACAGCGAGCCCGAAATCCGCGAGCTTCACGGTGTAAGGGAACGACGCGCCGTTATCGGCTGCGGCAGCGGCGGCGGCGGCGGCGGGGGCGCTGTTCGAAGTCGGGCAGATGAGAATATTTTCGGGTTTGATGTCGCGGTGGACGATGCTGCTGGCATGGCACTGCTTCACGCCGCGCGCCACGGACGTGAACACGTGGCGCGATTCCGCCTCGCTTATAAACGCGCCGGGCTGCTTCTGGATGAGCTCGAGAAGATCCCCGCCAGTGCACAGCTCCATTACAAGATAAAGAGAATCCTTGTCCCCGTACACGTCCTTGAGCGATACGACATTATCGGAGAAGCCAGAATCGCGTATCTTTTGGAGGATTTCGACTTCGCTGAGAGCTGCGAGGCGGGCCCTGCTGCTGCACTTGGTGAGGTCGATGTATTTGAGAGCGAAATGCTCGCCCGTTGCGCGCTTCTCGCAGCGCCACACTGTACCGTACTGACCCTCGCCTAGAAATTGTTTGAGCGTGTATCTGCTAGAGAGCTCGCTGGATGCTGTAATCTCGATCTTCGAACTGCATGCCATAGTTTCTATATTAACGCGGAGGCTGAGGTGCTAAAAAGAGGCTCGAGACGCTCGATTCGTACTTTCTAAACGTCGAATGATCTGGTCTGGACTAAATAAAATGCGCCTGATGCTGAATAGGTTGACGGGAGGGTAGTCAAATGTAGCTGAGAGCTGGTTGCATTTGTTCGAATGAAGTTGGATGGATGGATGGAAATGAAGAGAGGAGCTCAATTTGTACTGAGCTTGCATAACCTCTTCCCCCCAGACCGAGTCACCGTCCGGACCGCGCGAGAGGCTCGGGAGGAAATTCCTGTGTGGCGGTGGAAGGTGTGGTGTGTGGAGGAGGGGATGTGAAATGCTCAACCGCGACTCGATGTTCTCCGCTCCTCTCACTGGAGTGCTACTCGCGTGCCAGGCATATCGCGTCGCGTCAGCTTGTCCGTATCTGCTTGTCCCTTTGCTTGCGGACATTTGAAGTTTTAAGCGTATGTGAGGTGCTCCGCAACAGCGTACAGGTAGTACCGTCGCATATATTAACGCTACATAGAACATAACTGACAACGTCATGGAAATCTATGAAGCGGGCGCAGCCACCTCAATAACTGTATATTAGCAACAGTCTTAAATAATGTGAATAAAAATAATACATCATGTATATCTCTTTCGTAAAACTAATTTTGCTTGGTTCGTAGCGAATGAGCCTCTATCGAGACATCGCCTCAATTCTTCCCCCAACCACACTCACCTCAACCCACTTCAACGTATCGAACCGTATTCCAGACCACACCAGCCTACTCCACCACCCGAATTCGCAGTTCTGCGCCTTGAATCCCGAGACCCGCACTGTCGCAAAAGCTGTGCGAAAGCTTTCGCAGCCGCAAGGTAGAATCTGGGTGCGCCTTGTTTTTGTTGGCCTCGAGTGCAACAGTGTGAGGCAGGCGCTTAAAATTGACAGACCCTGCCACCAGTCCCCACCCCACCACCCATCAATGCTTCTCTCGCACTTCTGAAGAAGCCATGAGTTGGCATCATGGATTGGGATCTTGTGGTGGGAGGAGGTTTCTAGGTCGCCTTTGATTTCTTAGGGAGTCACGGACAGTAGGTATCGCTTCCGATTACTGCTGCGTTATTTGGATGGTCTGTTTTGCTTGACCTCCGCATGGTTCCGCGTTGCTTGACCTCCGCATTCGGTTTCGTTCGTTTCCGTCGCCAAATTTACAAGCTTCGCTCGACTTTCTACGCTACACACGTAGGCGACGGAAAAGACGCGATTTTGATTTATTGAGCCTCATTTTTCTGCATTATTCCGCCTGGAGATTTGGCGATTTGGAGCGCTTGCAAGAGATTCGTGAGGAATTTCGACAGCCACTCTCCCATTATGGCGTTTGATCTTCGGTCCTAGTGCGAAAGCACGTGAGGCGGAAAATTGGAAGGAAAATTTGCAGTGCCACGTCAGCATGGGCCAATCGCAGTCGCTCTCGCTGGTCGAGGCGTCGGAGCTGGTTCGCCGGCAGCTCTCTGCTGACGTGTTCGTCTCCCATTTGCTGGCCGT